GGGAAAGGAGAAAATAAAGAAAAAAAAACTAGAAACAGGCCTTTTATAGGCCCTTCAAAACGACGTCGTTTTGGACGTCTGAATCGAACCCGACCCGTTTCGCAAGTTTTTCCTTTTCTTTTTCTTTTTATTTTTTGTTTTGATTTTTATGTTATTATTATTATTATTATTATTATTATTATTGTTATTTTATATTATTACTGGTAATAATTTAAAAAAACAAATAAATAAATAGAATAAAAAATAAAACTAAAATAAAATAAAGACCTAAAAAAATATAAATAAAAAATTTAATAATAATAACTATTTAAAAAAAAATAAATTTTATTACAAGCAAAAATATTATTTAAATTTCACTAAAGTGTTGGGATAATTTAAAAATATAATTTTTGCTAAAAAATAAATAAAAATTGTTAAATAAAAAATAAATTGTTTAAATGAATCTTTTAAATGTAATTTTTAGAGAAAGCTAAAAGAGTTTAGTTTTCTTTAATTATTGCAATGTAAAAATAATTTTTTGGATTTCACCATAGAGTTGGGATAATCCAAAATTATTTTCACTAAAATAAAGATTGATTTAAACAATGTAAAACAATAATAAAAAATAAAATTAATAATAATTGATATCTTGAATTTTTTAAAAATATATATATAGAAAATTAAAAGAGTTCGATTTTCTTTAAACAAGATATTATTATTTAGATTTCACCGGTGAGTCAGGATAATCTAAATTTCTTTTTACAAAAAAAATATAATTAAAGAATAAATAATAAAATTTTTAAAAATAATCATAATAAAGATTAATTAATTTCTTTAATTATAAAAAAAAATGATTTTATTTAGGATCTTACCAAAATTAAGATAATCTTAAAACTTGTTCAAAATTTGTTAGGATTTCACCGAAGAGTCGGATAATCTTAAAATTTGTTTAATAAATTTTGGGAACTTACCAAAGAGTTGGGATGTTTTTAAAATTTTTTAAAAAAAAAAAATTAAAATCTTATGATGAAATTTTGAGAATTTTGTGAATGATTAATTTTCTTGAAATATTTTCTAAATAATGATTTTCTATAAATTCCACCAAAGCGTTGTAGAATTTTTAGAATACGGAATAATAATTATAATGTTAATTTCGTAATAGAGAAAAATATTTTAAAATAAATTTTAGGAAATTAAACTTAAATAAAAAAGACCATGTTATCAAAATTATAAGATTACGCATGTTTAAATGGTACCGTTCTTTGAACGGACGATGTAAAGATGCTAATACATTCTTCACTCGTAACCGTATTCTCAGACCTAGTCCTGATTAGTCAGACCTAAACTTTTTTTAGTAAGTTTTAATTAATTTTAAAATTTTTTACTAAAAGATGATATTTTTTTGTGGCCAATCACACTTTATAAAAAGATTGGTGACGTCTCCAAAAATTTTCATCAAGTCTAGCGATCAAGTTCCCTTGGTCGAAAAATCATTACGACAATAATTTTGTTTCATTCATCGACTTAAGCCTTTGAAAACATTGGAATATCGATTGGGGCAATGCTTTGGTAATTAAATTTTTGGCTTTTCTCTGCATCTTCTTCTATTAACTCTTCATTTGGATGGTAAGTGAGAAGGATTCTCATCGCACAATCACGTTGTTTTGAGACCGGATATTTAGGAGTTCAGTGTCAAAACAATGTGATGATGGGCTAGGAATCCCTTCCCATCTACAAAAGAAACATAAGTTACTGGGATATGAAATTAAGCTAATTTGAGATTTCACTCGCCAATGTTGTTCGGAAAGACAAAATTTGGGGCATCCTTTAATTTGCACGGACATATTGCTCCAACAATTTTTTCATCATCGAATAACAGGTGATGATACTATCTCTATACTGAAGATTACAATTAAAACATTAAAAAAAAAAAGTAAATCTGCGGGCCTGGCCATGGTGTAAAGCAGGAGATTTTCTGCACAAAAATAAATACTAGTTAATAAGAATCTTTCTTCAGAAACTTATGCTCCTAAAACGGATGAGGATTCCTTTTCGGGAAACGAACAAATTAATATGCTTTTAATGAAACAGATAAGCACATTCTAATTCCAGTTCAGACAAGCTCAAGAATCTATTTGCATTAAATTCTTCAAAATGTACCATATTAAACTAAGCAGCACTTCATGAGCCCTTATGTCCTTGAAACTTATAATCAAATTTTGTTGGTCATATACTAAAAAAGAGTGAACCCAAACATTTGGTTCATCTATTAATTGGTTTATACCTTCTAGAAGAGATGTTTGGAAATGTTTAGAAAGTCAATGAACCCTCCACCAAAGAACATTATCTGTCCCTGTATGTTAATTAATAAGCACAAAGAAATTACCTTATATTTGAGCTTTCCTGAGAATATAAAAGAAAGATAACATCTTGGTTTATAATGAGTATATAGTAACGGACAGTGCAAAACTTCAATTTGTTGCTTTATGAAATGGTAAGAATTCTGTGTCTTCCTGGTATCAGAACTCTTCCATATTTTTCTTGTGGCATGAAAAAGTAGGGTAGCCTTCCAACATTACTGCATATTTCTTCAGTACTCCTCTACCTATTGTTGCATTATGTCAACAATATTTTTGCAGGATTGGAATCACACATTTCAGCTGGTTTTGTGGTTGCTGATTTTGGGATCAAGCAGTGTATTTTCTCAGCTTATTAACGTTATGAAATATGGAGCTGTTGGAGATGGACTGACTGATGATTCCCAAGTACATTTCCTTGAAATATATTCACACACACGAGCTTTTTGTTTTTAATTTTTTGGATAATTTATTTACTGCTTCCGTCCCTTTTTTTTTCATTTTTTTATTGAAATGTCTCAAAACTATATTTTTTAACACCTAAATTCTTATGTTTTTATATTCTAAAATTATTTTTCATTATTTTTCTATTTTTTATATTAAAAATCACGAAACATCAACTTTATTAAAAATTAAATTTGTAGCTTGGAATAGGAAAAAATATTACAATTGTTGAAATTTAAATTCTAAACTTATTATATGTTAGTTCTTAACAATTGTTTATTTGAACCAATTAAACTAAACTTCAAATTTATTATATAATAATTTATGTAAATATTTTAAAATAATTTATTAGAATTAATATTATAAAAATTTTAAATATTAGTGAAGTTAATAACATGTAATCAGTATTTTCGTGGTTATTTATAAATTTAATTTATTATTACATTGACAGTTACCTCAATATTTTTAATTTTTATTTAATATTCATTGTATTTGATAAAACCAAAATCATAAATCAATCACAAAAAAATGTAATCCACACTTTCAAAGACTCGTGGTATTATATACATAATATCATCATATCAAATTAGTAGATATCCTATTATATCATACTATTTAGGACCACGGGGTTATATTATCTTATTATTGTAATATAAAAAAGTAAGTGATAAAAAGTTATAAAATAAAAAAAGGGATAATTAAAAACATAATCAATAATACTAAACTTGAGAAGTTGAAACTGACAAAGAAAAAGGCAGCAAACAATAAAAAAAAATCACAAATAAGCCATAAACTCAAAAAAAAAAAAAAAAAAGAAACAACTATCTTAGTTATTCTTTGTACCAAAACATTTTTGTTGTCTAAAAGAACAATATGAAATAATTATATAAGTATCAAATCATGCTAGGCTTGGAATTCGGAGCATTATAGTATGCCAAATCATGAGAAATCACTAAATTGAGAAAATCCTTTGTTATGTAACTTACGTTTTGATTTGCCTATATCTTTCTACCGTTTCTAATTACTTAGTGAGAATTAAATTTATTTTAATTTATATCAATTTGTCATTTGAGAAAAGAAGATTTGGACCTTATATAATGTTTTAAATATGGAATCAGGCATTAATCACTGAACTAATTGTTCAAATGTAAAAAATGTAATTTTTTATGAAATATTTCTTAAAATATTTTAAAATTACAAAATATATATCTTATTTTATAAATGGAATAAAAAGAGTATATTGTTTAGAAGAACATATTACTTATAATTATCTACAATTATTGTGGTAAAAATTAATCAATTGTAATTTAGTATTTGTAAAATTCACAAAAAATGATGTAAAATTCACAATTTTAAATAGTAGATATTGGCTAATGGACCTGCTCATGGGTCGAGTGGTTCGCCTGAATCTGAAAACTTGTTTAAAATTTTAAAAGGTTTGGACAAAATATTAAATCCGTTAAAAAGGTCTAAACAAATAAATAAAATCTGATAAAAAAATAAGGTTAGACTTGAATTTGAATATTAAGTCTATTAAAAGGGTATGGACAAATAAATAAAATCTAATAAAAAATAAGGTCAAGCTTGAGTTTCATTATTTAAAGTCTAGGCTCAACCCTACCCAACTCGAAAATAAAAAAATATTTTTATTATAATGAAATAAGGTCTATTTGGTTTTTTTTTTTTTTTTGATGGACAAAGCCTATTTACTTTATTACTTATAATATAAGATAAAATCCAATTTTTTATGCAAAATATTAAAAAAAATTATCCAATTTAAAATTGTATTCAACAAAATTAAATTGAATCCAAGTCCAAATGATTCATATATTCAATTAAATTAATTAAATTAATAATTTACTAAAAAAATGAAAAACTTATTTTTTAAATTTTAAATACTAATGCTTTGAGCAAACTTAAGCTTTATTATTACATATAAAAATGGACTTGAGCAGAAAATAGGGTCCAAAAAATCAAGTTGGACTTAAATTTATATAAAATACTGAAATATCATGCTAAACTCAACCCGAACCTGACCCATAAACAGTTCTATTGGCTAATCAAGCATTGTAATAAAGAGTCATAAATATATAATAGTCTCTTATGGACCAACAAATAAGATCACGTTCAATATAATATCTACACTATAGTTTTTGCTTTCAAATTTTCATTAACTTCAAAAGCAAATCACCGATAATTTGTCTTCATCCAAATTATAGCTGCGCAAATTAATTAACATTTTATTTGGATTAGTGAAAAATGTGCGAAAGGCTTTTATTAAGGCATGGGAGGTAGTTTGTGGAGAGAGATCGAGCATGCCTGTCCTCAATGTACCAAAAGGGAGGAAGTTCTTGCTCAAGCCCTTGCAATTTGGAGGTCCATGCAACTCACCGAACGTCCATTTTCGGGTATAAAATTGTTAGAATTAGAATTTTAATTATTAAAATTAAGAGTTTAACATTTTATCAATAGATTATGTAACTATTAACATGAATTATATAGCCTCTTCGAATCCTATATTTAATGCAACTGAATCAAAACTTTGTAAAAAATGTTGGTAATGGATTTCAGATTGGAGGAAAAATTATTGCACCAAGGAAACTATCAGATTGGAGAGGCCATGACATTTCGAGGTGGCTTTCCTTTCGAAATATAAACGGACTTATTGTTGATGGAAATGGCACAATTGACGGTCGAGGTGTTATTTGGTGGAAGTCTGCCAAAGATGCGACTGGAATACCTACGGTAAGTTGCATCTTTCTTGCCTTATAATTTCTTTTTTCTACTAAAATGAAAACTTAAGTATTTGATTTAATAGATAATATTTGAAACTATCAAGAATTAATTCTAAATTATTAAAAAAATTCAACATTTTATTAACGGATTATATGGTTATTGGTAACTCAATAATAAATTTAAGTGTATATATATATTGTTGTTTAAAGGTTAAAAATCTAGATGTTATATCCAATATTTTTAAATATATAATGCTTGTCACACGTGCAAATTGCACAAAAAAAAGAAACTAGTAGAAAAATATATATATATCCCCTTCCATTAAATGGACTGATTCATTATATAGAATATACGTTGAATTTTTCTATTCTCGTATATGTTCAATAAATTTTAACATGTTGATGATGGATCTGATGATAATAGGCATTGGCATTTTCCTCATGCGATAACCTTAAACTCAGTGGATTAACACATATCAACAGCCCTAGAAGTCATATCTCAATAAATTCATGCACAAATGCAGCCATCTCAAATCTACATATAATCGCCCCAGAAACTAGTCATAATACTGATGGCATCGACATTTCTTCTTCATCCCATGTTCAAATTCGCAATTGTTTTATTGGAACAGGTAAATTTTCTTTTTTAATTTCGCCTGAATCCTTATAATCTTAAATTTTTTTTATGTCTCTTTTCTCTCTTCTTGATTTGAACGAAAATTTTTATTTTTTATTGTTCACCTATTTTTATTGTCCTTAATTAATAACTTCAACAGGGTTTAGGGATTTTTTATTATTTATTTTGGTTTACTATATTAAAATTTTTATTTTTTAAAAATTGATGTTTCATGATGTTTAATTAATTCTAAGAGTTAAAAAATCATGAAAACAAGTTTGAAATATATAAAATATGAGAGTATTAGGTGTTTAAAAAAAAGTTTTGAGACAAAAAATATGAATAAAGAAAATGAAATGGAGGAATTAGAATATTTTTCTTCCGAATTAATCATGTCAATGCTTTTTTTTTATTACTTTTCTCCTTTTTTTTTTTCTTAATTTGGATATAAACTTTTGCTGCATGATTTCAGGTGATGATTGCGTTGCAATTAACTCAGGCTGCAGTAATATCAGCATTTCTGGGGTGGTCTGTGGGCCAGGCCATGGTATAAGTTTTGTCATTAATTAATTAACCCTCTTAAAATTTTTATTTGGGTGATATATTTTTGAGTTTATTTGTTAATATAACTGTTGGAGTTTTTTAATTTTATAAGTAAGATTAAGATATCGATAAGTATTTTTTATATTAATTTTTTAATTATAATTTTACTATGCTCTATGAAATATGTGTTACTTTATTAATTTTTATTAACAATGACTAAGATAAACTTTTTAAATATAGCAATAATAATTTTAAGAAAATTTCTTAAGTATTTTAGCTTGTTTTTTGTAATTTATTAATTCTATGATGAAGGAATTTTAAAAAAAAAAGATTAATATATTAAATAGTCCCTAAACTATAATAAAATATTTAATATGATCTTTAATTTTTAAAAATCTCTAATTTAGTGTATGAATTATGAATATTTTAACACATAACGTGATTAATTCTAAATGATAACACATAGTTGAGAAGCAATCTTACAAATATCATATTATAATTAATAGATTTATAATTTAGATATCATATTTTAAAGTTGAGAGATTATATAGAATATTTCTTTATAGTTCAAAAACCATTGAGATATTAACCCAAAAAATAAAATCTAGGGACTCTTAAAGTTGCCCTTTAGTTTAACATATATGCTTCCGATAATAAGATTGAAAACTGAAAAGATTAGGTTTAATTAAGCAAATAAAGTAGTCTATAGATTTTGCCGTTTTAATTTTGCCTTGGGAAGTAAAATCTCAAACACTGAATTTTCCTAGGAGTTGTTGGAAAAGCTAGTTGTAATGAAATTAAACAACATACATATATTTGTCCTTTGCTAAGTGAAAAAATCAATTAATTCCCAGAAGAATTTCTTCTCAGTGTTGGAAGCCTAGGAAAGGGCGGGGCAGATGCACAAGTGCAAGATATACGTGTAGAACACTGTATTTTCAATGGAACCCTAAATGGAGCAAGGATCAAAACGTGGCAGGTAATTAAGATTAAGCTTACGTTTTTTTTTTTTTCAATTCAATACAAATCTCATTTTCTTCGACCATGTATTTGGCTGCGTCCAGGGAGGGCATGGATTTGCCAGGAAGATCATGTTCATAAACATAACTCTCATCAATGGCTATAAACCCCATCATCATTGACCAGTACTATTGTTTACCTGGTACAACCTGCCAAAATCAGGTAGGAAGTGCTAGCTATCCACTTTTTTCTACTATTGGGTTTTCACTAATCATGGTTTTGATTTTCTGCATTGTTAAAGAAATCGGCTGTTAACCTAAGCGGTATTTCATTCATGGGGTTTCGTGGGACATCCTTGAGCAACGACGCAATCAAGCTAAGTTGCAGTAAGAGCGTTGGTTGCACCAACATTTTATTAGATCACATCAACATAAAATCAGCTGTTAGGGGCACGACTGTTTATTCCTCTTGCATCAATGCTCATGGCAGATACATGGATTCATTCCCCAAAGTAGATTGTTTGTTACCCTGAAACTGTTTCTATTTTATTGTGCATTTACTTTTAAGAAACAAATAAATCTGTTAGAAATGGAACAGAGAAAGTTGATGCTTTCTTATGGATATTATAGTAACCCATTTTATTCGGATCTTTTGAATTATTTTTTAAAATAATTTGTGTTGAATTACTAGAGCAATCCCTTTGAGTTTCATTCGTTTTAATTTTAATCAAGAAAAAATCAGAAAATTAACGAAAATAAAAAAAATCCGAACTGAAATCTAATAAAAGGAACAATCAGATTAAATTTGGAAAGGTCAAAGTTTGAGAAGCAAGAAGGAAACCAAACAATTTTAGAAAAAAGCTTAAAGGCAAAGTAAAAATAAAAAGGAAAGAGAAAATCATAATCATATCTGTGTTGGCTTATCCGATTTCTCCAATCCTCTGTTTCAATTAAACCCTAAGATTTTTTGGACTATGAACCTTATAAAAAACAGCCATAATCAGCAAGCAATCACACAACAATCAAAGCCGCAAAAATAAAACAATTAACACAGAAGTAAACAATTTTCACCAAAAAGGAAAAATCACTAAGAAAATTATTATTATTATTATTGTTATTATTATCATTGATAAATTCTACCGTGATCTTCCAAATTCAGGAAGGAAAACGGTAATTAAGGCACAGAAGAAGCCTTTTGATCAATTAAAATTATTACATGTATGGAGCTTGTAAGATTACAACCTGTTTTTATCAGGTTGTAAGCCTTAGACAACATTCAGTTGGCATCGGTAAGTCGAGAAAGCCAATTGATTTCTAGCTGCAACAACGCCTTTGGACAGAATAGATGAATTATGGAGCCAAAATCCTGTCTCCAGAATATAATTTGAGGGACACTGTGGTTTATATATAACAGCAAGCCAGATACATCATCATTCAAATAACGTAATATTGTATCATTACTTAAACCTTGGAAAACATTGGAAAATCAATTGGGACAATGCTTTGATAATTAAATTTTTGGCTTTTCTCTGCAACTTAACTTCTTTTGTTAAGGCTTCATGTAGATGGTGGATAGGAAGGATTTTCACCGTGTCCTTGCATCATTTTGAGACTAGATGTTTAGTAATTCAATCTCGAAACGACGCGATGGTGGGATGGGAAATTAACGCAACTTGAGATTTCACTCATCGATCTTGTTTGGAAAGACAAAAATTGAGTTATCATATTAGATTTATACGAACACATTGCTTCAACAATGTTTTCATCATTAAATAAATTCTAGGTAAGAACAACCTCTCTGCAGGAACTTGTGTTTGATAATATCCAATTCCAAGTTTTTAAAACTGATTAGGATTCCTTTTCGAGAAACGAACAAATTAATATGCTTTTAATGAAACAGATAGTAATTCCACATCAGACAAACTCGAGAATACATTGCATTAAATACTTCAAATTATACTAAATTAAGCTAAGCAACACTTCATGAGGAATTCTGCGGAAGGAAAGGATCATTTTGCCATTTGAAACTTGGGTTTGGCTTCAGCCCCTTGTTTTGTTCATTATTTGTTAACACATTCATCATCACCATTCAAATGTATAAAATTCACCTAAAAATGGTAAAAGTCATACTTGTGAGTGATGATTAAAATTGAATGGAAGGGAAACTGTCCTTGAAACTTATAATCAGATCGATTTTATTAATCAAGAATACTAAAAAAATGAGTATTCTAACATTTGACGCAATGATTGATCCATGATCTCTTTGCTCAAATAGCAAAGTTATATTCCTCCCAAGGAATTCTCCTCAAACAGAAAAATATATATTAAAAAGGACTTCAACATGGTTTCATTTATTACTACAGACAGCATCCAGAAGAAATGAAGTTACATTTGGAAAGTCATTGAACTCTCCAATCTGTATGTTATAATTTATTGATTATATTTGATTATTCCTGAGAAAATAAATGAAAGACAACATGCATATTTATAAAGGGTATATAGTAAGGGACAGTGCAAAACTTCAATTTGTTGCTTTGTGAAATGGTAAGAATTCTGAGTCTTCCTGAGATAAGAACTCTTCCATATTTTTCTTGTGACACAGAAAGTAGGTTAGCCTTCTAACAGTGCATAATTCAGCACTAATCTACTAACGTAATGCTGTTGCAATATTACAATAGAATTTGTTTTTGTTTGTTAATATTTTTGCAGGATTGGAATCACTCATTCCGGCTGGTTTTATGGTTGCTGATTTTGAGATCAAGCAGGGTATTTTCTCAGCTTATTAACGTCATGGATTATGGAGCTGTTGGAGATGGAATGACAGATGATTCCCAAGTACATTTATATTAACCCTTTATATTTTTGTGTGCAAAGTTTAATTATTTTTGTGTGCATGTATTTAATTAACATTTTATTCGGATTGTTGCAAAATGTGCGAAGGCTTTTATGAAGGCATGGATTGTAGTTTGTGGAGCGAGATCGAGCATGCCTGTCCTCAATGTACCAACAGGGAGGAAGTTCTTGCTCAAGCCCTCCCAATTTGGAGGTCCATGCAACTCACCTAATGTCCATTTCCAGGTATAAATCTTTTATAATATTTAACAATAAATTATATTCTCTTTTGTGTATTCGAGATTATTAGGATTTGAATTTTAATTATTAAAATTAAGAATTTAATATTTTATTAATAAAGCATATGGCTGTTAACGTGAACTATATAACCTCTTCGAAACCTATATTTAATGCAATTGAATCAAAACTTTGTCAAAAGTATTGGTAATGGATTTCAGGTTGGAGGAACAATTGTTGGTCCAAGTAAACTATCAGATTGGAGAGGCCATGACATTTCGAGATGGCTTTCCTTTCGAAATGTAAACGGACTAATTGTTGATGGAAATGGTCTAATTGACGGCCAAGGAGCTATTTGGTGGAAGTCTGCTGAAGAAGGGAAACCAAGACCTCTGGTACGTTGCATCTTTCTCTCATTATTAAATTTGCACATTTAAATAAATAGATGATGCCTTAAAACTCACTTTTTAGAATCATTCTAATGTACAATTTAAACTCATAATATGCCTGAAGTCGTGTTTGATTAAAAACCAGTAATAGTATATTACTAATTATATTACTTTCAGGTAGGGTTGTAGCAAATTAAATTACCATCTTTTGTTTTTTGACTTTTGAATTAAATGGACTATTAAATGGACTGATTCATTATAAAGTTTATATGTTCAATTTTTCTATACTCGTATATGTTTAATAGATTTTGACGTATAATGATTTTTGTTGATGAATCTAATGATACCAGGCATTGGGATTTTCCTCGTGCAATAATCTTAAACTCAGTGGATTAACACACATCAACAGTCCTAGAAGCCATATCTCAATAGATTCATGCACAAATATAACCATCACAAATCTTCACATAATCGCTCCAAAAACAAGCCCTAATACTGATGGCCTTGACATCTCTTCTTCATCCAATGTTCAAATTCAAGATTGTTATATTGGAACAGGTACATTCTTTTTTAAATTTGCCTAAATTCTTATGATTTTAACCTTTTTCTATGTTTCTTTTCTTTTGTTCTTAATTTGAACGAATATTTCTATTTTGTACTTTTCTTCTCTATTTTTGTCCTTCATTATTAGCTTCAATGGTGTTTAGGGAGATTTGTTATTTTGTTGTTGGGTTTATTATATTAAAATTTTATTTTTTAAAAAAAAATTGACATTTCATGATTTTTAATTTTAAAAAGTAAAAAAAATATGAAAAAATTATTGAAATATAGAAAATATGAGAATATTAAGTGCTTAAAAAAAGATAGTTTTGAATCATTAATAAATATGAATAAAGAAAATGAAATGGAGGAAATAATATTTTTCTTCTCAAATTAATCATGTAAATTCTTGTTTTTTGGTTTTCTCCTTTTTTTTTTTAAATTTGGATTCAAACTTTCGTTGTATGATTTTAGGTGATGATTGTATTGCAATTAACTCGGGCTGCAATAATATCAACATTTCTGGCGTGGACTGTGGGCCAGGCCATGGTATAAGGTTTGTCATTAACTAATTAACCCTTTTAAAATATTTATTTGTTTAATATTTTCTTAGAGGTCGGTTTTAGGTGGATTTTTTTTTTTTTTAACTTCACAAGTTAAAGATAAATATTTTTTTATTGTATTCCTTTTTAATTATAATTTTAATTTTAATAAATCTCATGAGATATGCATTACCGATTAACTTTTATTGACTGTGAATAAGATACTTTTTTATTTTGATATAATAATAATATTTATAAAAAGTTTCTTAAGGGATTTTGCCGTGTTTGTAATTTATTAATTGAATGAAATTTTCTTTTTAAAAAATAAAAACTAGGAACTCTTAAAATTGCCTTTTAACATATATATGCCTCAAATTATAAGATTGAAAACTGAAAAGATTTTTTTTTTTTTGAAAATGAAAAAAGATTATGTTTAATTATATCTATTATATTTATTAATTCAAGCAGATCAAGTAGTCTATATGTTTTTAATTTTTAATTTGTATAGATGGTTTCTAGTTTTGAAGTTTATAAGCTAATTCAATTAAAAATCTCAAACACGCTTTGCTAAATGAAAAAATCAATAAATTCCAATAAGGATTTCTTCTTAGTGTTGGAAGCTTAGGAGAAGGCGGGGCAATGGCGGAAGTGGAAGATATACGTGTAGAAAACTGTACTTTCAATGGTACCCAAAATGGAGCAAGGATCAAAACATGGCAGGTACTTGAAGATTAAGCTCATTCCTTTTCCATAATTCAATTCAATTCACATCTCATTTTCTTCGACCATGCACTTGGTTGTGTCCAGGGAGGGTCTGGATTTGCCAGGAAAATCGTCTTCACAAATATAACTCTCATCAATGCTTATAATCCCATCATCATTGACCAGTACTATTGTTCGCCTGGTAAAACCTGCCAAAATCAGGTACGAAGTACTAGCTATCCACCTCTTTCTTCTATTGTGTTTTCTCTAATAAGATTGGTTTTGATTCTCTGCGTTGTTAAAGGAATCGGCTGTTAAGCTAAGTGATATTTCATTCATGGGGTTTCGAGGAACATCTTTGAGCGACGACGCAATCAATCTAAGTTGCAGTAAGAGCGTTGGTTGCACCAACATTTTATTAGATCACATCAACATAACCTCAGCTGTTCCCGGCGAGATTGTTTATTCCTCTTGCATCAATGCTCATGGCAGATGCATTGATTCCATCCCCAAAGTAGATTGTTTGCTACCCTGAAACTGTTTTTTATTATATTATTGCTCATCTGCTTTTAAGATGGTTAGAAACGGAACAGTGAATGTTGTTATTGCTTTTCTTATGGATATTATATTAGATACCCATTTTGTCCGAGATCTTCTGAATTATTTTTTAAATAATTTAAGTTGAATTATTAGATCAATTCTTTTAATGAGCTTAATTTTATTTAATTTTAATTTGGATTTTAAAATTATATTTGATTTTCATAACTCATAGTCAAATTTTATTAAATCGGCTTAAAACTCAATTTTGAAATCTAAAATTTAATTTCGTAAGTTTCGAGCTTTACTTTCAAGCTTAGAATTTGCTTTTGAACGTTGAGATGCACTTTTGGATCATTTAATTATTAATTGGGTGTTAATTTTGTTTTTCAATTCATAATTGGACTTTGAATCCAAGTAAAAAAAAATGCCCGAGAAAACTTAAACCAAATTAGGGAGGTGTTGGATATAAGAGGAAGATCTCATTCGAGAAAACTAGGTTCATCCGACCTGGTAGCCCTATTATTATCGACCAGTATTGTTATCCCAGTAGAGTGAATTGTAAAAACGAGGTGAGTAAACTCGAATCAAAATGAAAAATCTAGTTGCTCTAACTCCTAATCATTTTCCTTGAGGTCTTCATATCTAATATATATATATATATATATGTATAAAATGGATATAAATATGGATCTGAATCCTCTAAATATATGAAATTTAAAAAAAAAATTGAATGCTTCTGAATTGACACTCGTATCTAGATTTAGTAACATATAGACATAAATAATTAATAAATTCATACAAAACACGAAGATGTTTATTATTTTTTTTTTTTTTCCTATCAGAGTCAGACCAAGTCTAAATCAGGTCATTGGACTATTACAATACCAACATACCTTGTGCTTGATCAAGCATGTTGGTCATTAATCCGGAAAATTTAACAATTCGTATCATATTCTTGATTCTTTGATAGAAGGCTGCCGATGAAATCTTTCGCGATTGAAATATCCTGTTGTGTTTATTTTAATGAATATAATTATGCTATATATTGCAACCATATATGTACGCTGACAGTTGGTTTTCCATCCAAATTTGCAGACATCAGCAATCAAAATCAGCGTCGTATCATACAGGTTGATTGTTGTAACATCAATCACAAAAAAGTCATCAATTTGAGCTGTGGCCAAATGACTGACAATGTGATAGAATCAATACTAATTTAGCAATAAATAAATAGGATCAACAAAAAATCTTTGGGCTTTATTTAAAACACGCTTTATTACAATTTTTTTTTTTTCTCTGTGGGGAGGCCCCATGTGGGGCTATGGCTCCCCGCCTATGGTTCCAAAGGCTTCTCTTACCATGCATTAAGACAAAGTCTCATTTTTGGCAGTTGACTTTTTTTTTGTTGTAAATATTCAGTAATAAAAATTATCCTTCCCTTTGTGCAAAAGAAAAAAAAATTCATCGACAAAAAAATAGAAGAAAAAAGTAAGAAATATGGAAAGATATTCGCCCCAGATTTACCTACAATTTCTTTTATAGATAAGAAACAATGGAAATTGAATTGAGAGAATCAAGGGTTAGATTTTATAATTAATACAATGAGTTTGGCTGAGAAAAAAAAAATCAAGAGTTAGATTACAGAAGCAACTTTCCAATTTCGAAATGATGATTACTTTATATATATATATATATATATTTATATAAAAGACAAGCTCCACTACAGAGTAAAAGATTCACAGTTTCTCACCATTTTAGCTGATAATTAGAACCAAATTTCTCTCTTACTCTCTCTCTCTCTCTCTCTCTCTCTCTATATATATATATATATATATATATATATAAGACAAGCTCCCCTACAGAGTCAAACTTTGCTAATAGCTTTCTGTGATATTCAAAACATATATATATATATATATATATATATATATATAGAGAGAGAGAGAGAGAGAGAGTAAGAGAGAAATTTGGTTCTAATTATCAGCTAAAATGGTGAGAAACTGTGAATCTTTTCTTATTTCCTTTTTCTTTGAGTTAATTATAGTAATTAAAATGAAGTTGTTGATGCAGGATTTTTTCACAATCTTGTCAAATGTTATGCTTATGCATGGCTACCTTGGGTTATTCTCAAACTAATTTTGATGTAACCAGTTATGGAGCTGTTGGAGATGGTACCACGATGATTCCCAAGTACATACCCTTTAATTTCCCAATTAGCCGTAATATAATTATTATCTATATTATTTTCTCTGTCCTAAATTGAAGAAGAAAGTTTACTACTCCTTCCGTCTCAATAAAAATGAGACATTGAGACTTTTATTGGTAAATTTTTTTCAATTTTGACCTTTTAATACTTTATATTAATTATTAATAAATTATGAAAAATTATAATTTAAAGACTTTGAAAAAAGTGATTTTTAAATATATATTGTAAAATTTAATTAATTAAAATATTAAAATAATAGAAGCCAAATTTAGATAATTTTAACAAAAAACTCAAATGTGACAATTTGGGACAAACAGAGTAATAATTTCGAAGGAAAAAAAAGTTATTTAAACTTTAGCGCTCTAAAGCCTCCACCATAAATTCGCAAGTTCCAAACAAGACTATATTTGATATGTACGAAGGTTTTGAGAACGGGAGTAAATTTCTACAATTCCAAAAGGATGTTTAAATAATAGATACAAAGGAAATGATGAAGAAAAATTTTATAGTTCAATCCAACTTAAAAATTTTTTTTGTTGGATAATTTATTTACTATTTTCTTCTACCTATGTCTTATGTAATATTATATACCCAAAGTTATTTAATTGTTGTATAAACTTGTTTAAAAACATTGTTTTCTATTTTCAAAAAAACAAAAAAAAAAAACCAATGTTTTTCTGTTCAAATGGTATACTCATCAATGGGTTTTATAAAAGTCATTTCAATCTTCGGTAAATCAAGTACATGTATTTAACTAACATTTTATTCGGATTGTTGTAAAATGTGCGAAGGCTTTTATGAAGGCATGGATTGCAGTTTGTAGAGCGAGATCGAGCATGGCTGTCCTCAATGTACCAAGAGGGAAGAAGTTCTCGCTTAAGCCCTCCCAATTTGGATGTCCATGCAACTCACCTAACGTCCATTTCCGAGTATAAATCATTTATAATATTTAACAGTGAATTATATCTTTTTTTATTCAAAATTATCATAATTTTAATTTTAATCCTACATTTAATTCAATTGAATCAAAAACTTTGTCAAAACGTTGGTAATGGATTTCAGGTTGGAGGAGAAATTGTTGGTCCAAGCAAACTATCAGATTGGAGAGGCTGTCACGTTTCGAGGTGGCTTTCCTTTCGAGATGTAAATGGACTAACTGTTGATGGAAATGGCCTAATTGACGGCCAAGGAGCTATTTGGTGGAAGTATGCTGGAGATGCGAAACCAAGACCTTTGGTAAGTTGCATCTTTCTCTCATTAATAAATATGCTCATTTTAAGAAATAGAAGATGCCTTAAAACTAACTTTTTAGAATTATTCTAATATATAATTTAAACTCATAATATGCCTGAAGTTGTGTTTGATTAAAAAACAATAAATTATATTACTAATTTTATTAATTTCAGGTAGAGTTGTAGCTAATTGATTAAAAAACAGTAATACTTTTATGTTTTATTCTGGTGATTTAAGTGAAAAATATAAAAATTTTTAAGGATTATAATAGAATTTTGGAAATAAAATTTTATGTGACTGTGTGAAATATGTGTATTAAATGAATATGTATACATTTTCCTTGATGTTAATAAAAGAACTAAAAGCATGAAACATTTGTGAAGGTTAAATGGACTGATTCATTGCAAAGTTTATACGTTCAATTTTTCTATACTCATATATGTTCAATAGATTTTGATGTACAATGATTTTTGGTGATGAATCTGATGATACCAGGCATTGGGATTTTCCTCATGCAATAACCTTAAACTCAGTGGATTAACACACATCAACAGCCCTAGAAGTCATATCTCAATAAATTCATGCACAAATGTAACCATCACAAATCTTCGTATAATTGCCCCAGAAACAAGCTATAATACTGATGGCATTGACATCTCTTCTTCATCCAATGTTCGAATTCAAGATTGCTACATTGGAACAGGTACATTCTTTTTTAAATTTGCCTAAATCCTTATAATCTTAACCTTTCTATGTTTCTTTTCTCTTTTCTTAATTTGAATGAATATTTCTATTTTCTACTTTCCTCCTTTTTTTTTTGTCCTTAATTAATAGTACTTTTAATGGTGTTGAGGGAAATTTTATTTATTTTGCTTTTCGCTTTACTATATTAAAATTTTAATTTTTTAAATAATTTGATGTTTCATGATTTTTAATTTGAAAATTTTAAAAAAAATCACGAAAAGAATTTTGAAATATAGAAAATAAGAGAGTATTAGGTGTTAAGAAAAGATAGTTTTGAATCATTAATAAATATGAATAATGAAAATGAAATGGAGGAAATAATAATTTTCTTTTCAAATTAATCATGTAAATGTTTTTTTTTTTAATTTGGATTTAAACTTTCATTGCATGATTTTAGGTGATGATTGTATTGCAATTAACTCGGGCTGCAATAATATCAGCATTGCTGGCGTGGACTGTGGGCCAGGCCATGGTATAAGGTTTGTCATTAATTAATTAACCCTCTTAAAATATTTATTTGTTTTATTTTTTTTTTTAGCTTGTTTTTGGGTGAAGTTTTTTTTTTTTATTTCACGAGTTAAAGATAAATATTTTTTATTATATTCCTTTTTAGTTATAATTTTAATAAATCTTATGCGATATGCATTACCGATTAACTTTTGTTGACTATGAATAAGATAATTTTTTATTTTGATATAATAATAATATTTATAAAAAGTTTCTTAAGGGATTTTAGCCTTGTTTGTAATTTATTAATTGAATGAAATTTTCTTTTTAAAAAAATAAAAACTAGGAACTCTTAAAATTGCCTTTTAACATATGTATGCTTCAAATTATAAGATTGAAAACTGAAAAGATTTTTTTTTTTTTTGAAAATGAAAAAAGATTATGTTTAATTATATCTATTATATTTATTAATTCAAGCAGATCAAGTAGTATATAAGTTTTTAATTTTTAGTTTGTATAGATGGTTTCAAGTTTTGAAGTTTATAAGCTAATTCGATTAAAAATTTCAAACACGCCTTGCTAAATGAAAAAATCAATAAATTCCAATAAGGATTTCTTCTTAGTGTTGGAAGCTTAGGAAAAGGCGGGGCAAAGGCAGGAGTGGAAGATATACGTGTAGAACACTGTACTTTCAATGGTACCCTAAATGGAGCAAGGATCAAAACATGGCAGGTAATTGAAGATTAAGCTCATTCCTTTTCCATAATTCAATTCAATTCACATCTCATGTTCTTCGACCATGCACTTGGTTGTGTCCAGGAAGGGTCTGGATTTGCCAGGAAGATCGTGTTCAGAAATATAACTCTCATCAATGGTTATAACCCCATCATCATTGACCAGTACTATTGTTTACCTGGTAAAACCTGCCAAAATCAGGTATGAAGTACTAGCTATCCACCTCCTTCTTCTATTTGGTTTTCTCTAATTTAGATTGGTTTTGATTCTCTGCATTGTTATAGAAATCGGCTGTTAAGCTAAGTGGTATTTCATTCATGGGGTTTCGTGGGACATCCTTAAGCGACGACGCAATCAATCTAAGTTGCAGTAAGAGCGTTGGTTGCACCAAGATTTTATTAGATCACATCAACATAACCTCAGCTGTTAGGGGCAAGATTGTTCATTCCTCTTGCATCAATGCTCATGGCAGATACATTGATTCAATCCACAAAGTAGATTGTTTATCACCCTGAAACTGGTTGCTATTATATTATTGCCCATCTACTTTTAAGATGTTTCTGATATGAAACACAAAAATATGTTAGAAATGGAACAGTTAATGTTGTTGCTTTTCTTATGGATATCATCTTAGATACCCATTTTCTTCGGTATCTTTTGAATTATTTTTAAATAATTTGAGTTAAATTACTAGATCGATTCCTTTAATGAGTTTAATTTTATTTCATTTTAATTTGAATTTCAAAATTATATTTGATTTTTGTAATGCATAGCCAAATTTTATTAATTCGGCTTAAAGTTCAATTTTGGGATCTATAATTTAGTTTCATGAGTTTCGAAATTTACTTTCAAGCGTCGAGATTTGTTAATTGGGTTTTAATTTTATTTTTGAATTCATAATTGGACTTTGAATCCAAGTAAAAAAAAAATGTCCAATAAAACTTGAACCAAATTAGGGAGGTGTCGTGTTGGACATGAGAGGAAGATCTCATTCGAGAAAACTAGATTCATCCAAGCTAATAGCCCTATTATCGATGAGTATTATTGTCCCAGTAGAGTGAATTGTAAAATGAGATGAATAAACTCGAATGAAAATGAAAAATCTAGTTGCTCTAACTCCTATTCATTTTCTTTAAGGCACCCATATCTAATATATATATCCAATGGTTATGGATATATATATATATATATATCTGAATCCTCTAAATATATATAAAATAGAAAAAAATTGAATGCATTTAGATAGACACTCATCTTTAATCTTAGTAACGTATAGGCCTAAATGATTAATGAATTCGTACAAACAACAAAACGTCTTTTTTTTTTTTTTGGTTTATGTCAGGGTCAGAAAAAGTCTAAATCAGGTAATTGGCCTGCTACAATAAAACCTTGTGCTCGATCATTCGTGTCTAAACTTGTCCAAAATGTAGTCGTTAATTCGGAAATTTTAAAAATTCGTACCATGTTCTTGCTTGTTTGATAGAAGGCTGCCTATGAAATCTTTCACGATAGAAATAATCTGTTGTGTTTATTTTAATGCATATAATTATGCTATATATTGCACCCATATATATACGCTGACAATTGGTTTTCCATCCAAATTTGTAGACATCAGCAATCAAAATCAGCGATGTATCATACAGGTTGATTGTTGGAACATCAATCACAGACAAGGTCATTAATTTGAGCTGTGGCCAAATGACAGTGAAAATGTGATAGAATCAATACTAATTTTAACAACAAATGAATTACATCAGTGGAAAATCTTTGGGCTTTATTTAAAACACGCATAATTGCAAAATTTTTTGACTTTGTGGGAGGCCCCATGTGAGCATTGGTCCGCCTATGGATCCAAAGGCTCCTCTCACCATGCATTAAGACAAAATCTCATTTTTGGCAGTTAACTTTTTCTTTGTTGTAAATATTCAGTGGTAAAAATTATCCTTCCTTTTGTGCCAAAAAAAAAACATAGACAAAAAAATAGAGAAAAAAAAGTAAGTAATATGGAATAATGGAAAGAAATTCGCCCCAGATTCAACTGCAATTTTTTTTTGTAGATAAGAAAAAATGGAAATTGAATTGAGAGAATCAGGAGTTAGATTTTATAATTAATAAAATGATTTTGTCTGAGAAAAAAAAATCAAGGGTTAGATTGCAGAAGCAACTTTCCAATTTCGAAATGATGATTACCGTATATGTGTGTGTGTATATATATATATATATATATATATATATATAAGACAAGCTCCCCTACAGAGTCAAACTTTGCTAATAGCTTTCTGTGATATTCAAAAATATATATATATAGAGAAAGAGAGAAATTTGGTTCTAATTATCAGCTAAAATGGTGAGAAACTGTGAATCTTTTCTTAATTCCTTTTTCTTTGAGTTAATTATAGTAATTAAAATCAAGTTGTTGATGCAGGATTTTTTCACAATCTTGTCCATGTTATGCTTATGCATGGCTACTTTGGGTTATTCTCAAACTAATTTTGATGTAACCAGTTATGGAGCTGTTGGAGATGGTATCACAGATGATTCCCAAGTACATACCCTTTTCTTTCCCAATTATCTTTAATATAATTATTATCAATATTATATATTAGATAAATTATGTATTATGTCATTTAATTAAAAGAGAAACTGACAAATCTCTTCTTAAATATAGTACTATGTTTCAAAGAATTTTCATTTTTTAATTAAGGAACCCTTTCTTGGCTATTTTAATATCATAATCTCAGAAAATTCATTCACAACATGGGATTTTGCTCATAGAATTTTGTTTGTATTATATATTCGGTTTTTTTAATATCCTTTCATTAATTAAAAATTAATGTATTTAATATTTATTATATTAAATGTTCCTATAATGTTAATTTAGAAATACAAAATTCATGTAATTTAAAAAAAAAAAATGTAAAAATCATCTAGAAAAGTTTTTTTTTTTTTGTGAAATTAACAAAAATGAAGATAAAAATTCATACTAGATAATTAACATTTCTTGTGTGTTAAATGGTTGGGGATTGATTACTAAGCTTCTTTTTTAAAATTAATTTATTAATTTCCAATGGAAAGGCTTTCAAGATGGCGTGGCAAGAGGTGTGTGGAGCTACTTCCACAAGTCCTACATTACATATAAATTAATCAAATATTAAATTTTCATTTTTAAATTTTTTTTCAATAAGTTCTAACTTAGAGATGGACTCTAAATTTTGTTTTCACTAAAAATTCATAAATATTCTTAATCGACTTACAAATTTTTTTATGTTTTTTTTTTATTATTATTTTGATTAACCTCTTAAACAAACAAATCTAATGGCAAAAAAGTAATTTACATTTTCCAAATATAGACTTATTTTCTCTGTTCTAAATTGAAGAAGAAAGCTTACTACTCCTTTCATCTCAATAAAATTGTCATATTTTGACTTTTATTGGTAAATATTTTGACCTTTTATTATTTTATATTAATTATTAATACATTATAAAAAATTATATTTTAAAAACTTCGAATAAAGTGATTTTAAATATATAATTTTTGTAAAATTTAATTAATTAAAATATTAAAATAATAAAAGTCAAACTTAGATAATTTTAACAATAAAACTCAAGTGTGACAATTTAATTGGGACAAATAGAGTAACAATTTAGAAGAAAAAAAGGTTATTTAAACTTTAGCGCTCTAAAGCCTCCACCATAAACACGCAAGTCCTAAACAAAACTATATTTGATAAGAATGAAGGAAAATAGTGGGAAGAAAGAGGAATGTGTGAAGGTTTTGAGAACGTGAGTAAACTTCCACAATTCCTAAAGGATGTTTAAATAATAGATACAAAGGAAAGGATGAAGAAGATTTTTCAAGTTTAATCCAACTTAATTTTTTTTGTTGGTAATTTATTTATTATTTTATTCTACCTATGTCTTATGTAATATTATATACCTAAAGTTACTTAATTGTTGTATAAACTTATTTTAAAACATTGTTTTTCTATTTTAAAAAGAAAAACCAATGTTTTTCTCTTCAAATGGTATACTCATCATTGGTTTTATAAAAGTCATATGAATCTTTGTATATCAAGTACATGTATTTGATTAACATCTTATTCGGATTGTTGCAAAATGTGCGAAGGCTTTTATGAAGGCATGGATGGCAGTTTGTAGAGCGAGATCGAACATGGCTGTCCTCTATGTGCCAAGAGGGAAGAAGTTCTTGCTCAAGCCCTCCCAATTTGGAGGTCCATGCAACTCACCTAACGTCCATTTCCTGGTATAAATCATTTATAATATTTAACAGTGAATTATATCCTTTGTTTGGCATTCAAGATTGTCCGGATTTAAATTTTAATCATTAAAATTAAAAATTTAACACTTTATTAATAGGTCATGCAGATGTTAACATGAACTATATAGCCTCTTTGAATCCTACATTTAATGCAATTGAATCAAATTTTGTTAAAGTGTTAGTAATGGATTTCAGGTTGGAGGAGAAATTGCTGGTCCAAAGAAACTATCAGATTGGAGAGGCCATGACGTTTCGAGGTGGCTCTCCTTTCGAGATGTAAATGGACTAACTGTTGATGGAGATGGCCTAATTAACGGCCAAGGAGCTATTTGGTGGAAGTCTGTGGGAGATGCGAAAGCAAGACCTTTGGTAAGTTGCATCTTTCTGTCATTAATAAATATGCACATTTTAAGAAATAGATGATGCCTTAAAACTCACTTTTTAGAATGATTCTAATATATAATTTAAACTCATAATATGCCTGAAGTTGTGTTTGATTAAAATACAATAATATCATATTACTAATTTTATTACTTTCAGGTAGAGTTGTAGTAAATTGATTAAAAAACAGTAATATTTTTATGTTTTATTCCGGGGATTTAAGTGAAAAATATAAAAAATTTTATGGATTTATAATAGAATTTGGGAAACAAAATTTTATGTGAGTGTATGAAATATGTGTATTAAATGAATATGTGTATATTTTCCTTAATGTTAGTAAAAGAACTAAAAGCATGAAACATTTGGAAGGTTAAATGGACCATTAAATGGACTGATTCATTACAAAGTTTATACGTTGAATTTTTCTATACATATATGTTCAAAAGATTTTGATGCACAATGATTTTTGGTGATGAATCTGATGATACCAGGCAGTTGGATTTTCCTCATGCAATAACCTTAAACTCAGTGGATTAACATTAATCAACAGCCCTAGAAGTCATATCGCAATAAATTCATGCACAAAGGTAACCATCACAAATCTTCGTATAATCGCCCCGGAAACAAGTCATAATACTGATGGCATTGACATCTCTTCTTCATCCAATGTTCAAATTCAAGATTGCTACATTGGAACAGGTACATTCTTGTTTAAATTTCCCTAAATCCTTATGATCTTAACTTTTTTTTTTTTAATTTGAATGAATATTTCTATTTTCTACTTTCCTCCAATTTTTTTTGTCCTTAATAAATTGTACTTTCAATGGTGTTGAGGGAAAAAAAAATTTTTTATTTCTTGGGTTTACTATATTAAAATTTTAATTTTTAAAAATTGATGTTTCATGATTGTTAATTTTAAAAAGTAAAAAAAAAAAATCATGAAAACAATTTTGAAATATAGAAAATATGAGAGTATTAGGTGTTAAAAAAAAAAAAGATAGTTTTGAATCATTAATAAATATGAATAAAGAAAATGAAATGGTGGAAATTTTTATTCTCAAATTAATCCTGTAAATACTTGTTTTTTTGTTTCCTCCCTTTTTTTCTCTTTTAAATTTGGATTTAAACTTTCGTTGCGTGATTTTAGGTGATGATTGTATTGCAATTAACTCGGGCTGCAATAATATCAGCATTACTGGCGTGGTCTGTGGCCCAGGCCATGGTATAAGGTTTGTTACTAATTAATTAACCCTCTTAAAATATTTTATTTGTTTGATTTTTTTTGTTTGTTTTTGGGTGAAATTTTTTTTTATAACTTCACAAGATAAAGACAAATATATTTCATTGTAAATCTTATGAGATATACGTTACAGATTAACTTTCATTGACTATGGATAAAATAATTTTTTGTTTTGATATAGCAATAGTAATTATAAAAAAGTTTCTTAAGGATTTTTAGCCGTGTTTGTAATTTATCAATTGAATGAAATTTTCTTAAAAAAAAGAAAAAACTAGTAACTCTTAAAGCTGCCTTGGGAGGTAAAATCTCAAACATCATTTGCTAAATGAAAAAATCAATAAATTCAATAAGGACTTCTTCTCAGTGTTGGAAGCTTAGGAAAAGACGGGGCACAGGCAGAAGTGGAAGACATACGTGTAGAACACTGTACTTTCAATGGAACCCAAAATGGAGCAAGGATCAAAACATGGCAGGTAATTAAAGATTAAGCTCAGATTTTTCCTTTTACATAATTCAATTCAATTCACATCTCATTTTCTTCGACCATGCACTTGGCTGTGTCCAGGGAGGGTCTGGATTTGCCAGGAAGATCGTGTTCGCAAATATAACTGTCATCAATGCTTATAACCCCATCATCATTGACCAGTACTATTGTTTATCCGGTAAAACCTGCCAAAGTCAGGTATGAAGTACTAGCTATCCACCTCTTTCTTCTATTGTGTTTTCTCTAATTAAGATTGGTTTTGATTCTCTGCATTGTTGTAGAAATCGGCTGTTAAGCTAAGTGGCATTTCATTCATGGGGTTTCGTGGGACATCCTTAAGCGACGATGCAATCAATCTAAGTTGCAGTAAGAGCGTTGGTTGCACCAACATTTTATTAGATCACATCAACATAACCTCAGCTGTTAGGGGCAAGATTGTTCATTCCTCTTGCATCAATGCTCATGGCAGAGACATTGATTCCATCCCCAAAGTATATTGTTTGTCACCCTGAAACAGTTTTCTATTGTATTATTGCCCGTCTACTTCTAAGATGACTCTGACATGAACCATAAAAATGTGTTAGAAATGGAACAATGAATGTTTTTGTTTTTCTTATGAATATTAATAATAGATATCCATTTTGTTTGGAATCTTTTGAATTATTTTTTAAATAATTTGAGTTGAATTACTTGACCAATTTATTTAATAAGTTTAATTTTATTTAATTTTAATTTAGATTTCAAAATTATATTTGATTTTTCTAATTTATAGTTAAATTTTATTAAGTCGGCTTAAAGCTCGATTTTGAGATCTACAATTTAATTTCATGATAAGTTTCGAAATTTGCACCCATACCAGACCTATTGTAATGGCCTGCAGCCTTTAGGCCTTAGCCTTGTAGTTAAAATGCTACTTTCATGGACTTAATCATGTGATACGGAATTAATGCAATGAAGAGAGAAGAGACGAGGGGAAATTGAAAACAGATACAGAATTGGTTTGGCTAACCAAAAATTTTGGATCATGGCGTGATAATAATCTATCATTGTATGATGTACTTCTAATTGTATTATTTGTTTATATTAATAATAAAATTAAATTAAATTCACATATTACAAAGAGATTTAAATTTAAGACTTCAAGATTTCAAATAATAAAAGAGTCTAAAATTTTTTTAGTGAGACTATGTTAAATATACTAAGTTTTATAAAAAACAAAATAACAACATAACAATACTAAAACATCTAAAATTTTTATATTCAATAATAATTGTAAAAATTTTACAACTATAGTTCACCAGGTTTCACAATTTGAAAATGTTATACAATAAGTTCGTTATCAATACTTTTAAAAACACATTTTTAATATACAAAATAAATTATTGTTTAAATGTTGATATTTCTTTTGATTATGTAAACAAATTTTCAAAATGTTTATTACTAAAAATGTTTTCTTTCCTATGACAGTGAGGACTAATAAAATCAGTACTAATTTTAACAAAAAATAAATTGGATCAATGAAATATCTTTGAGCTTTATTTTAAACAGGCATAATTGCAAAATTGTTTTGTTTCAGTGGAAAGGCCTTATCTCCGCCTATGGTTGCAAAGGCTCCTCTTGCCATGCATTAAGCCGAAGTCTCATTTTTGGCAGTTAACTTTTTCTTTGTGGTAAAGATTCAGTAGTAAAAATCATCCCTCCTTTTGTGCAAAAAGAAAATCATAGACAAAAAAATAGAAAAAAGTAAGTAATATAGAAAGATATTCCCCCCTGATTCACCTGCAATTTTTTATTGATAAGAAACAATAGATGTTGAATTGAGAGAATCAAGAGTAGGATTCCAGAAGCAATTTCAAAAAGTAAAATTCCAATTTCGAAATGATTATTATTTTATATATATAGTATTAATCATTTCGAAATGATTATTACTATATATATAATTATCATTCCGAAATTGGAATTTTAATATATATATATATATATAAAAGACAAGCTCCCATACTGAGTCAAACTTTGCTAATAGCTTTCTGTGATATTCAAAATATATATAAAGAGAGAGAGAGAGAGAGAGAGAGAGAGAGAGAGAGAGAGAGAGAGAGAGAGAGAAATTTGGTTCTAATTATCAGCTAAAATGGTGAGAAACTGTGAATCTTTTCTTCATTCCTTTTTCTTTGAGTTAATTATAGTAATTAAAATCAAGTTGTTGATGCAGGATTTTTTCACAATCTTGTCCATGTTATGCTTATGCATGGCTACTTTGGGTTATTCTCAAACTAATTTTGATGTCACCAGTTATGGAGCTGTTGGAGATGGTATCACAGATGATTCCCAAGTACATACCCTTTTCTTTCCCAGTTACCTGTAATATAATTATTATCTATATTATATACTAGATAATTATGTATCATGTCATTTCATTAAAAGAGAAACTAACAAATCTCTTCTTAAATATAGTACTATTTTTCAAAGAATTTACATTGTTTAAGGAACCCTTTCTTGCTATTTTAATATCATAATCTCAGAAAATTCATTATATTATGTTTTATGACTATATATTCAGTTTTTTTTGTAAATATCCTTTCATTAATTAAAAATTAATGTATTTAATATTTAGTATAGTAAATGTTCTTATAATTTTAATTTAGAAATATAAAAATCATGTACCAAAGTTTTTTGTGAAATTAAAAATAAATGAAGATAAGAATTCATACTAGATAATTAACATTTATTGTGTGTTAAATGGTTGGAGATTGATTATTAATTTTTTTAAAAATTAATTTATTAATCTCAAATGTAAAGGCTTTCATGATGGCATGGCAAGAGGCTTGTGGAGCTACATCGACAGGTCCTACTCTCTACATCCCAAACCAAAAAACATTCTTTTTAAACCCCATAAGGTTTGAAGGTCCTTGTAAGTCTCAAGTTCGAGTTCAGGTCAGTGATCAACGTTTTATAAACTGTTATATATTTTCATTAAATCAAATATTCGAATATATCATGTATCTATCTTGATCAAGCACAGATAATGGGTCAAATTATCGGGCCTGCCGATGCATCAGCTTGGAATGGTGAAGATGCAAAAATGTGGCTCACTTTTGCAGGTGTCAATGGGCTTCATGCATTCGGGAATGGACAACTTGATGGCCGAGGGGAAACTTGGTGGAAGTCTTGCCCAATTGTAATTAAGTTGTTACATTTACATTAATTTTATTTCCTCGATCCTTTTTTTTTAAATTTTTTTGGTTTGCTTTAGATTCTCAGAAGGAAATTTCTGCACGTCTAATTTGGATGTAAAAAGTAAACAATATTATCGAAGAATTAAAAATGAAAATTTTAATTTTTATATCGATAACAAAATGAATGATTATTTTTATTTTGTAACAATTCAATTCAAATTTTACATGGGTAACACATCTCTCTTTGATTTTTTTTGCAGATGAATGGCTGCATGAGACCCACGGTAAGAGGAAATTTTTTTCCTTCCTAATATCTTGTCTATGTTACCGTTCATGTATAACTCTCTCTATGTATACCGGTATATACAAATATTTTTGCATTTTTTTCAATTTTTGAAAGAAAGATTCGAACCAAGTTCTACGAAGATAATATATTTTTTCCACACCATGGGTAGCTTTATTCGATCATGGTTTAGAGCAAAAAAATTATAAGTTGAAGACTCGAATTCCTTGTCTCTTTGACTGATATTGATGTATAATTGTTTAAGGCTTGTGATTAAAATGTTCATATGAAATAATCGTATTAATTATGGTTAGGCATTGGCATTCCTTGGCTGTAGCAACCTGACGGTGGATGGACTGAAATCGATCAATAGTGCACAAAATCATTTAACCATAGGAGGCTGTGAAAATGTAGTCCTCTCCAACCTCAAGTTATCTGCCCCTGATGATAGCCCTAACACCGATGGCATTAAAATTGGTAGCTCTACCAACGTTCAAGTTTTCGACAGCACAATTGGAACCGGTGAGTTCTTTTTACTTCAAATGCTTATTGATAACCAATTTCCTCCTTTTCACTCCAAAACTAAGCTCTTTTTTGGTTCATAATCAACAGGGGATGATTGCATTGCAATAATCTCAGGCAGCTCTTTTATCAACATTTCTGGGATAGCTTGTGGCCCTGGCCATGGCATAAGGTCTGTTGTTAACTTTCTCTTTGGGAATGGCCCTCAAAAAACAAAATTTTTTTGGGAGGTATGTTTTTATTAATATTGAAATGGAAGCATTCCTCACAGCATTGGAAGCTTAGGAAAAGATGTAGAGAATGCAACCGTTGAAGAAATACATATAAAAGATTGTATTCTCAACGGAACTGATAACGGAGCCAGGATTAAAACATGGCAGGTGCAAAAACAAAGCTCAAATCGTGTACTTCTTTTCATATATTATAAAGGGTTTTCGTATTTTAGGATTATTTTCACTTTTTGATAAAGATGTTAGTACTATTCTTTGAAAAAAAATTTTCGTGAACAATTATTTTATAAAAAAGTTGTTTCATAAGTATATTTAATTTTATTCAAGGATGCTAATGTTGTGCAGGGTGGGGTTGGCAATGCTAGGAAGATCACATTTGAGAACATCCAACTCAATTCATCTCGCAACCCAATCATAATTGATCAGTTTTACTGTCCTACCGATGGATGCAAGAATCAGGTAAACCCAATTCATTGGAATTCAAATTTGACGATCTGATCAACGTGCATTCTCCTAAACAAAAGTAAATTGTGTTACTAACACGTTTTTATTTTTAATTTTTCTTACAAAAAAAAATTTTTTTTGATCGAAGAGCAAGGCTGTTGCAATAAGTGAAATTTCATTCATCGGGATTAATGGGACATCAAGCAGTGATGAGGCCATCAAATTTATGTGCAGTGAGAGCATCCCTTGCACTAATATTTTGGTACAAAATTTGAACGTAACGTCAGCTGTTGGAAACAAGACTATATTTGCCTCTTGCCTCAATGCTCGTGGAACATCTTCTAATTCTGTTCCTAGTGTTGATTGCTTGTCAAATTAAGCCCATATACATATATATATTATATGATTTGGGATTTAGGATTTAATGTTATATGTATTAGAGATCCACTTATATTAATATGAAATGTTTTACTTTTATATTGGTATAACTAGATTCCTTCTTGATTAATATTATAAATTACACATGCTTCCCTTAAAATTGATCAAAAATATATATTTAACCCTATACTTAAATTGTCACAAATATAGCTATATATGCATGCATGTCATTGGTGTAACATGCATGTGATAATTAAGGAGAACAACTCAAGAACCAAATTTTTATATAGATGAATGATATTCTCCATACAAAGGACCATATCTTCCCCATTTTTGTATTCCTATTTGTATAGTTTAGTTTGTTAAATATTACTACAATTATCTCTAAAAAATAGAAAACAGTGGGAAAAACCAGAAACATTAATAGACAAAACAAAATATCAGAAAGATAGCAATAGACAACAAAAAATTTCAAGCGAATGAGGTAACAATATTTGGCGAGACTTAAGAGCCATCAGCCTCTATGATTTGGCATGTACCAACAACCATACAATCCAAAATACACATCAAATTCCTTTACTAGAATAAGGTTGCAAAACTTTTTAGCCAACTACCAACCTAGCAAAACTCATTCCTTGCCACCCAAATCCTCTTCATTTCCTCCTTGTCTCTCCTTTTCTTGGGTGCATAATACCACCTCCCACCACCCTATCTAACGTTGGTGTTGACCGCTTTTTCGTCGACGTCTCTTCCTCAACAGCCATGGGGAAGGGGCTTCCATCACCACCTCCATCCTTCGATATCGAGACCGGAACCTACAAGCGACATCATAGGAAACGACCACCTCCTCCACCGAAGTTTTCACCTCCGGCCCCGGAACCATGGCTTGCTTGGCTCATGCCTCTCGTATTTGTGGCTAACATCGCAATGTTTGGTGTCACCTTGTACATCAATGATTGTCCAGCCACAACCGGGTCAGAGAACTGTCTTTTCTATGATTATCTAGGAAGGTTTTCGTTCCAACCTTTTGAGGATAACCCTCTTCTTGGCCCTTCATTAATCACGTAAGAATTTGCTTCTCTCATTTTTTTTTTTTTGTGTCGCACATTAATCCTGGTGATAACCCTTTTATGTCTTCATAAATTTTTTTTTGAACGAATTAACATTGTCCTTAAAATTCTTTGGTTTGATTCTCTCTTTGCGTTCTTCTGCTAACCATGAAATTTGAGATAAATCCAATTATCTCTTGTCCTGCACCAATGGAGTCTAAAATTAAAATTCAAGTAACCTCTTGCATGTAATTTTGGTTTTCACAGGCTGAAGAAACTAGGAGCTCTTGATTGGAAGCTAGTAGTAGAGGGCAATCAAGCATGGCGCCTTATATCCTGCATGTGGCTTCATGCTGGAGTAATCCATTTAGTAGCTAACATGATGAGCCTTTTATTCATGGGAATCCGACTCGAGCAAGAATTTGGATTCTGTAAGAACTTAATCTGTAAATATAACTACTGAGTTTTCATAAGGTAACTAATTCTCAGTTACTTGAACATTGCAGTGAGAATTGGACTCTTATATATGATTTCTGGCTTTGGTGGGAGTTTGAGGTCTGCTTTAACTCCTGGTCGGAGAGAAACCATATCTGTAGGTGCATCAGGTGCACTTTTCGGGCTGTTGGGAGCCATGCTTTCAGAGCTCATTACAAACTGGACAAGCTATAAAAACAAGGTAAACACTGTATGCTTCACAAGATTTTAACTTGTTTAAGCAAAATAAAAATCTCTAAAGACTATTTTGAGAGATTGAGCTAACAGAGGGTTCTGACTCTTGTCTATTCAGTGTGAAGCTCTGTCGACCATGTTGTTGATTATTACCCTGAATCTAGCAGTCGGATTTTTACCTCATGTGGACAATTCAGCTCATATAGGAGGATTTATCTCGGGATTTCTTGCCGGATTTATACTTCTAATGCGACCACAGTTTGGATATGTAAGCAGCAAGCACATTCCACCTGGATATGAGATGAAACATAAAATTCCAAGGCACAAATGCTACCAGTATCTGTTTTTTGTTATCGCCTTAGTTCTGTTAATTGTCGGGTAAATTACTAAAAGATCTACTGAAGATTTTGACATTGAAAGTAATCCAACTTTCAGCTAACTTTTCTGGCATTTTGGCAGATATGCAATTGGCTTAAATAGGCTATTTGCAGGTCAAACGTTTTAAAGCAAACCTCTCATGGACAAAGAGACCATTTTTGTATCAGCTCCATTGCCTTCTTTTCAAACAGCACAGGTATGATACCAGAAACTCTCCTTTCATCTGTTTTAAAGGGCAGTTTGAATGTGAACAACGGTACATTCTTATGTTCATGTTGATGCACAAATCTTCAATGCTTGTTGTTTGAACATTACTTTCAGGCTACTATCTTCCCGGTGGATCCATGTAGCAGGAGGTCAAAGAAAAACCATAGCAGAAGCCTCTATAATGCTTTTTAAACTTAATATAGCTGGATTAATAGTATATAAACGAAACACATGCGTGATGACTCTTTGTTGTATTGTGAAGAATCAAAATTAGATTACAATGATGTATAATTTACTCATTATTCACTGTTTCATTAATTCTAAAGGAAAGATTGATGTACATATTGAATTAGAGATCAGGAACTTACTTGTATAATTCTTTGCATGGAAAGGATGAAGTTCGAAATCTTTTCCACATTTTTTAAAATCTTTGCAATACATTTCCAGCAAATCCTAACCCAATTGCCTAAAGTAGTTGAGCGGTGGGAAGCTAAAGAGGACAAAAAAAATTCATGAATTCTACCTAATGATTCCAAAATTCTCAATACTCAGATACATCACAGGGTTTGTTCTAATAACAGTTGATTAAACTTCAAACTCATCCCCGCTCATGTTTAGGTAACCTTTTAAACATGATTTTCTTCTAGGATACTTTTGCATGAATTAAATTACAAGAAGCTATTTTTTCCAAAATAAATGACGAGAAAGTTGTAAAGCACTATCTCACTTCAAATCTAGTGTACAATTAATTAGACATTCAAATCAGTAAACCATTTGACTGGAAAACTTTATGTTCCTTGGCCTGTGATCTTTGTAGTCCCCATTAGTTCGGGCAGTCGGCAGTTGAAAAATGAATATGATAGGATTGATACAGAAGCAATCTAACAAGAATCATAGCTGATTCAAGCACCGTCATTTCTTTCTAGTACATCTTCAGCCAAACTGTCACGAAGTTTCAACCTTTTAATAATAAGGGGTTCTTCATTACCATCCAGGAAATGTAAGCAACTCATCAAGAACTTGACAGAAGCGAAATGTTGAGAAGAAAGGTTGCTGCAAGTGTACATAAGGTGCTCGATCTCCAAATTTTATATTTCAAATTTTTGTTTCAACGTGCCGTTAGAACTTGTAAAAATATTGAGAGGACAGGAAAGAAGATGATCAATAAGAAAACTAGCTACATTTTGGACTTCAATTTCATACCACTTCATAACAATTCAAAGAATCAAGCTTCAACATCATGCTTTAAGAAAGCAGAGTGGAGGAAAGAAGATAAATTAAGATGAAGAGAAAGCAAAAACAAAAAAAAAAAGAGGAATATCACTAAAGGCTGTGACTGTCAGGCAACAGCATAAGTGAACCATATTAAATGGTCGTATTAAAGAAGTAAGCCTCTGAAACTGCCCTCCGCATTGCAAAAAGTATTACCGTGGCTGATAACTAGTTTAAATTGTGCTTTCTCAAGGCAAGCTCTATGTCCATCACAAGTCACATAAATAATCAAAATTCAGAAACTTGACAACAAGAAAAATGGACAAGGAAAAATCCCGTTTTAGCATTAAACAGGCCATAATTTGAACAATAAGCTTAAAGCATAGGATCTTAATGTGCTTATATTCTGTTAGAGTAATGACATCAGAAAGTATCTCTAAGGAAACAAGGCTATAAAAAATTAGATTATGCCACTGCAACTTGAAAGAGAAGTTCTATAGCCAATGAAAACATCAGGATTCATATACAGTAAGGCATATCAAATTGAGACTAAGAACTCTCGATTCATACTTAGTATCTCAAGTTATTCTGTTCTGTGAAGCAAATATCGGTTGAACAGATTAAGATCCCTACATTTCCACTTCCCTATAAAAATTTCTTTGAAAAAGTGTACTGACTGACTATATTCCTTCATATCTCACATGAGTCTGAATAACCGAAAATTGCATATCGGTTGTTTGCAATGTTGTCATACATATAATCCCTTACGAACCTGCAACCCAAAAAAGGAAACAAAAAAATTCATGACAGAGATCCCAATTCACTACCTCCATAAGCTAAGGGAGTAACGCATAACTTACAAGGGTACAAACTGTAGAAAGAATGCAAGCTGAGGGAAAGGCAAGTCTAGGTATTCCATGATCTTCAGCACTGCTTCTGACTTAATATATGATCTGAAATCCACCATCAAATCTCTAGATCATCAGACATTTCTTAAATTAGACACGCTAGTTTTTTCTAAAAAGTTTGGCTTGAAAGTTTACAGTTTGCCAAACTCTTGTTAGATTCTCTTCTCTTATATTCTTGTTATTTCTTCGAAGTTCATACAAAACAGAGTATCAGGGAAAACTGAAAAAAAAAGCCCAGCGGCTAAAATCAAGCCAATAATCATAATTAGGAAAGAACATTACCTATCCTTTTCAACAAGAACAACACTAGAAATATCGTCAGGAGCTCTTCCGGACCTCCTCAACAGCTTCTTCCCTGCTTCACTCTGAAGAGCCTCGAACCTAATTCTCCTACTAACATTGACAGAAACAAGGAAAAAAAAAATCAATCCACAAAACATAGTTAATTAAGCAACCCATACTTGTAAAAATGTAAAAATGACATCTTCGTCCAAACGAAACAACAGTTTCTTCATAGGGGATTTCACTTTTCCTCCCAAATTTCATTTACTGACCTGTTCCGATCAACATCACGAACAAACCTCACGCCTCCATTACACAAGTTACAAACTCCTGTCCAAACAAAACAAAATTAAAAAAATTTCAAGTGAACATGTCTGAACTTAGTTAAAACTAAACAGTAAAAATGCTGTAATAAATAATAAAAAAGAGCTGTTAGTGTTGACCATCAAACAACATGATAGGCCTCGTGTCTTGGTCGAAAAAGCTGGAAGTGGCTTCGACCCAGTTCACAGTATCAGGCCGAGGTGGGGACAGAGTAGCAAAAACGGTTGAACGGTTTCTGAATTTCGCAGGAGGTGAGAAGGTTAATCGTGCGCACCCGCTGGAAAGAGTAAGCGCCATGGCAAAGAGCAGTGGCTGAAAGCTTCAGTTCTTCTTTTTTTTTTGGGTTTAAGAAATGGTTCAGTGGAGATTTATCTGGCTCCACGTGGAATTTTGGATACCATATAAGACCTAAAATGAATCAAGCGCGTGTCCAACTTGTAATTTAATCAAGGGTTGACATTATGGTGAAGTTGAAAACAATGATTACCGTGAGATTAAAGAATGCATCTGTAAATTAAAATTAATAACGGTGAAATGTGTTTAAATGCAAATGTATCCATCACCGTAAAATTGGATATGACATCGATTATTTTGATAAAAAGAAATAACAATTATCTTAAAAAAGAAAGAATCAAATGGATTTAATAAAAAATAAATTTTTGATAAAAAAAATTAAAGAATGAATTGTCATAATTAAAAATATACTTTTTAATTTTAATTTCAAAACAGTCGAACATCTATCAATTATCTATAAGACCAATGAATCATTGGATTTTTTTTTTCTAATGAAAAAAAATGATAAGATTAGAATAAACCAATTGTAGCATACCAATGGGATCCAAACGCCCCTTCTATACCAATGGATCCAAAAACTATCCCATTGAATCGAGTGCTGTTAGATTCAAATGGGACCTTAATTTTAAAATAATTAAATTAAAGGATATAAAATTTTTTAAATTATAATTAAAATTTTTTTTAATTTTTTAATTTTTTATTATAATTAATTAGTTTTTTTATATCATTTATATTTAATTAAGTTTTTATTTGAATAAAAAATTAATATTATTAATTTTTTAATCAATTAAGATAAAATTTCATATAATATAAATAAAATAGATGAAAATTTATTATGTGATATAATTAATATATGTAAAAATTAAATTAAATAATTTTTCTTATTTTCTTTATTTTTCTTTCTAAGATTTTTTATGGATTTAATTAATTATATATCAAGAATTAATTAATTAAATTTTATCACATATTAGATTAAATCAAAATAAAAAATTAAAAAATTTAATTGATTGCAATAATATTAAAATTTTAAATAATTATTAAATTATAGTTCAAGATATATTTTTTACCTTTTAATAAAAAAATTATTTAGGAGTAATATTATTATATTAATAATAAAAACAAGACATTTCTTTTATTTTAATAAATTAAGAAAAAAATCTTAGGGCAAAAGGACTAAGTGAAGCGGGGAATTAGGTTAGCACCGTACTAGGGGGACTGGGGATTTTGTGTCTCATAATTTGTACCAATCGGAAGAAGAAAAACAAAGCGGAGCAGCCAGAGAAACATAAAGAGATCGAAGAAAAGAAAATGGGTTGGATCGGAGACACCGTAGACTCCATCAAATCAATCCAGATCCGCCAGCTTCTCACCCAGGCCGTTAGTCTCGGTATGTAAATGGCTTCTCTAGTATATGTTGCAGGAATGTCACAGATTTCCATGCCTTTTAACTGTAACTAAAAAGCTGTCAAATTGGTTCAGTTCGAAATGAGACAAATTTTTAATCTTTTGGGAAACCCAAGCGAAATTGTGTTACCCCTTTTTAGAATTTAAGAACATAGTTTTGATCTTTGTTTCGGATAGATCCGGAGTAGAGTATTTATTTTGTTTATGGGTTTGTTTAGTGGATCATTCGGGTTGTCTAGAAATTTACTTGAAGTTGACTCCTATTGACTTTCAATGGTAAGACAAGAAAAAGAATGTCCTTTTCTTCCTTTTGACTCATGTTGATCCCAAATGTTTTGAATTTGATTGAAGATATGAGCATAGCTATCGTGTAATTAGTTTATTTTGATTGCGGCTGAAATAAACTCTGCAAAAGTGTATGATATATCTATGCATGTCTTTTGAGTTCCTTTCAATGTTTCATAGAAGCTTTAAATTGCAAGCTTGTTGTAGGATCATGTTAGGGCATGCATGGGTTTTCAAATAAACAAATTTATTTTGAAAGGTTGTCAGTCATCAATTATTCACCCTGTGAAATTTTGATCATATAGAAAGCGGTACTGTTTCAGGTATGATTGTTACATCGGCCCTTATAATATGGAAGGCATTGATGTGTATCACTGGCAGTGAATCTCCTGTTGTTGTTGTTCTTTCAGGAAGTATGGAACCTGGCTTCAAGAGGGTAAGTCAACTTAAGAAGTGAATGCTTTGATGATTTTGCTGTGTCCAGCAATCTTAGGTGTAACCTTCTACCATTGTGCACCTTTCTTCTTCTGAAGCAAATGGGATGCGAATGGTCCTCCAGGATATTTGAAAATAGAATATAGGAATCCTCATTTCTGCCTCTGTCTTGAACAGACAACCTTTTTTTAAACTACAATTGATGTTATATTTTTCCATGTCCTAGGATTGGTTCTTTTCAAAGCTCTGTTTTCTTTCTTGTGACTTTTGAAGTTAAGCCACTGAGAGTTTGCACCCATGACATTCTTCTTTATGGTGCACTCAATCAGGAGGAAATATTTCCTTCAGATTAGCATCGCCGTTGTTCCTCTTGAGAGTTGTTATCTTGTCATTTGGAGAAGTTCAAATTATACTCTGTTATTTTAGAAAGAAACATTAGAGAGTTTGAAAATGAAGATTTTATGGTTTTGAAGTTCTAACTTTACAAATAAAGGATAGAGAGATTGCCAACTCTGCCATCTTACATCTTATAAAAGTGCTTTTTTTAGAATGTACTATATGAGCTGTATATGTTATGTAACTTAAAGCTTTAACTAATAACTTGCATCACTTCTGTTTACTTAGAGCTGTTTTTCTGGAAACTGATATCAGTTTTTACCTATACTTCATTCGTCATTATCATGTCAATGTCTGTCCGCATACTGCTTTTATCTGACATGAAATTCAGGCAAACTAAAGTACTTGGTTGGTGGCAACTGCACTCTACTAGTTATTGTTAGCAATCTGCCAATAATCAAGTTCGTGTCATTTCATTTAATGAATAACTTGCTTTGGATGTGTAAAAAGATCCTAATGAAAGTTATTTTGTTATATATTCACTTCCATAAACCTACTTGACATGTTGAATCATTGTTGTTCATTTGCCCATGTGTGTAGATGTTGCTTAATTAATGAATTGAGGATTATATCATACGCAGGGGGACATTTTGTTCTTGCACATGAGTAAAGATCCTATCCGTGCTGGGGAGATTGTTGTTTTTAATGTTGATGTAAGTGCCTTTTTTTTTACATTTTATTTTTATTTGGTTCTTTATTTTTGTATTTTTTATTGTTGATGTGGTTGTTTTTGCCTTCATGCTCTTCTGCTAATTCTTTTCTTAAACTGTGAATTTCTCAGGGACGTGAAATCCCAATTGTCCATCGTGTAATTAAGGTAACATTTTAATATTTCCACTTATTTTATTGATCTTGGGCTGAGTTGTATGTATTATGACCGTAAAAAGTGATTTTCAATTGATTTTGAAGCATTGCTATTACCATCTCCATCTGGGCATTCATGCATATTAGCAACCATTGTTTTCACTTGCCATTTATAGGAGCACGAAGTGAATTGATTTAATTTTCTAATTTGGTTATAAACAAATGTTTCCATGTAAGAGTCAGTGTGTTAGGAACATATATTTGCTCAAGCAATTGGTACATGACCAATCAATTTATTTGTTATAGATGCTGGATGACTGATTTTTGTTGGTAAGGATATGGCCTGAGGATAATGATTTAACAGGACATTAACAACAGGGAACTATTGGCAATGAAGCTTCTCTCTGCTTTCTAGTTGCAGCAAATGTGTTAGAAAGATAATAATAATTTGCACTTACATATTCTTTATGCAAGTGTAAAATTGCAGCAAATGTGATGGTCAATACTTGAAAACATCATGATTTTATCATCATATTGTATCAGCACACGCAAATCTGATTTCATTGTGTTTGTTTAACTGTTATTTGTGTGTTTTGCATCTCTCAGTTTCTTTGTTTATTTCTTTGGGATTCATATCTTTTTGAACTATTCATGAGGTATATTGGTTTTTTCTTGTTTCCTTCATGGATTATACTATTTTTTCCCTCAACTCTTATGTTATCATCAAGATGCAATCACTCCTAAAATTACATTTCTATGTTGCTGAATTATGTTTTCTCAAAATTGTATGGTTTGGAGATTGTGATTGCTGTTATAGCTTGCTGCAATTATTTTCAATGCTTGCTTGTGGATGTTCACATTGGAGCTAGCTGGTCAATACAGTGATCATTCTTGATTTAGATGACCTATTCTTGGGACTCTAGTTTCTTGAAACTGTTAAATGTCTTACAAAGCTTCTATACTATCTTTAATTTGAATCTATATAAGTTGAAAAGAAGAACCCTATTTTGTTATTTGAACAGATTTATCAATGAACATGGTCCTGGCATCTGTTGAATTTTGATATTTGATATTATTGTAGGTCCATGAAAGGCAAGATACTGGAGAAGTTGATGTCCTCACCAAAGGTGACAGCTTATTTAAATAAAGATTAAATTTGTTAGAAATTGCCAGAATTGCATTGTTTGGTATTTAAATGTTTTTCCTTTATCTCTGCATTTTCAGGAGACAACAATTATGGGGATGACAGGCTTTTATATGCTCAAGGTCAGCTCTGGCTTCAACGGCACCATATCATGGGCAGAGCTGTGGGGTAAAGCCTCTAGCATTCAACCTTTTTTTTTTTTTTTTTTGTGTGTACATGCAGTTGATGGATGATTGTCATTCTTTGTGGTCATCTTCAAAATTCATAGCATGTCTTAAGAATTACATACACTCATACACACATGCGTGTTATGGAGACTTTGACATCTTTGTTAATTACTGTTACTTTTCTTTGAAAGTTGAATCTTAGTGTTTCCACGTACAATACCACCCTCGAAATTGGATACTGGAAAGTCAATTTATTAATGTTAGGAGAGGAATGTCAATTCTAGAGGAGAATTTATCCTAAGGGAAATGGCTTTCTTTTGGGGGCAAGTTAAAAATGGGGGTGGGAATTTGATTTCTCTTAAGTGTTTGGATTGGAAAGCTTGTTAACAACTAGTGATGTCAGTCCATGAAAATGATGTTTTATGCTCCAGGAAAGACTTGAACAATGTTTCAGACATAAGTTTGTACCAATTGGCTTGTTCATCCAAAGGTTTTGCTGTTGCTGTGCCTTTATATCGGTTTATGGGAGTTATGTAAAAGATCTTGCAAGGCTGAGTTTTGGTTTGAACTGCTCAATCAATCTTAAGCAAAAGGGTGATGTATCATTTAATCGAGAAAAAAAAAGAAATTTCTAATTGCTTACCTTAATTGCAGGTTCTTGCCTTATGTTGGTTGGGTGACTATAGTCATGACTGAAAAGCCAATTATCAAGGTTTGTTTGCTCCTTTTTTTTTTCTTCTATAATTGGAAGTTTTATTTCAAAATCCAAAAGAAGCAGAGACAAGTCTGCTGCATAGAAATAGGGATTACTTGTAATAGATAGCCGACAAGCGATTTCCTAGTATGCTAAAGAAAATTCTCATATTCACAACTGGTGACTACAGTTATGTTAGGTTTACTTGTAACCTTTTTCGGGATTTCCCGTTTTGCATTCTGCATCTTTGCATTACTGTTGCATATCCAGCAACAAGAAAACAGTTCCCCCTTTCATTCATATTGCCTTGGTCTCACTTTTATAGTTTCATGTATATCAGACATTGAGGTTGTGGGGTGGCCTGTTTTACAAAGATACGGATTTTAGAAGTTCCATAACATGTGGTGCATAAATGATCATCTTATATGTCATCTTTTCCTTACAAACTTTCTTTTTGTTTGTTCATTGCAGTATATTCTTATCGGGGCATTGGGATTGCTTGTTATAACTTCCAAAGACTGACAGCTGAAGCAAATTCAAGGTTTGGCCAAACACCAAGCAGATCCTTCTATAAGACTAAAATTGCCAACTGCTTCTACCCTCTCCTTTGTATTGGTCATTCCTGGCTTTTGTATACTGAGAACGGAATACTTGGTTATGATTTGATAATTTAAGGCCAGAAAGAATTGTAGTGAAGCAGGCATCAGCAACTCTGGTTTTACTTTCTATTTATATATGGGATTTTTAGCTACCGCTACCTTGTCTCTGACCGAATTAAAGATTGATCTGATCTTAGCTACGAACTTTTTTTTTTTTTTGACAAACATCATCGAACAACCAAAATTAAGAATTCAAGTAGCTTAGGCGCTGAAGTTCCGACGCAGAAAAATCCAATCAAACGGACAGAGCTGAGAATTGTCTTTTTAGCCATCCAATCCATAACAAGGTTTCTTTCACGACTAACATGGCAGAAATTGATATTAAAAGAAAAGGGTAAGCAAAACTTGGATGCTTCAAAGTATTGGGAAAACTTAAGATCCACTAAGCTTTTAAGTCGTGGTATAATAACCTGAGATTGTATCGATTGCAATGCCACTACAACACTAATCCAAGCTCATTTCTTTGGCCAATCAAGCGGACGGCATTCCTGGAACAGCAACTGCAGGGGACGTTTAACATTTGGAAGTTTAAAATTGTCAACTCCCCAAATGATTAAAGCCCATAAAGCCTACCCAAAATCCGTTACTCTTTTCTTTACCTTCTACTCGTTCATCATCTTATGTCTAAAACCCTTCTCTCTCGCATCAAACCTCTCCACACCCCTAAACGAACTCCTCCTTCACCGTTTCGCGTCCCTCTCCACCTCAAAAACCTTATCAATGAAACCATCCAAATCCTCAAAACCCACCCACAATGGCCAGATTCCCTGGAAACCCGTTTCTACGACAAAGAAACCCGCGTTTCGGAGATTGCCCATTACGTGTTTGATCGAATACACGACGTAGAATTAGGTATAAAGTTTTTTGATTGGGTCTCTAAACAAGAACCCCAGCATTTTCCCCTCAATGGGTTGGCTTATTCTTCATTTTTAAAGCTCCTAGCGAGGTTTAAACTGTTTTCCGAGGTTGAAACCGTGCTGGAGAACATGAAAATTGAAGAAATAAAGCCTACCCATGAGGCTTTAAGCTTTATTATTCGCGTTTACTCGGATTGTAGCCTTGTTGATAAAGCTCTTGAACTGTTTTATTCTGTGGTTAAGATTTATAACTCTGTTCCTAGTCTTTTTGCTTGTAATTCGTTGCTTAATTCACTTGTGAAGTCAAAGAAAGTTGAGATGGCCCGCAAAGTGTTTGATGAAATGGTTGTAGGAGATGGCTGTGTGGATAATTATAGTGTCGGTATAATGGTGAAGGGTTTATGTAACATAGGGAAGGTTGAGGAAGGTGAAAAATTGATTGAGGATAGGTGGGGAAAAAGGTGTGTTCCGGATGTTGTCTTTTATAATACATTAATTAATGGGTATTCCACTAAAGGTGATGTTGAAAGAGCTAATGAGCTTTTCAAGAAGTTGAAAATGAAGGGGTTTTTGCCTACATTAATGACTTATGGAACTATGATAAATGGGTTTTGTAAGAAAGGGGATTTCAAGGCAGTTGATAGGCTTTTGCAAGAAATGAAAGAGATGGGTGTGCCTGTTAATACTCAAGTTCATAATACTATTATTGATGCTCAATATAAGCATGGTTTTGAGGTTAAAGTGACAGACACTATAAAGCAGATGATTGAGAGTGGATGTGAACCTGATATTGTTACGTATAACACTTTGATTTGTGGTTTATGTAAGGATGGGAAGGTTTGGGAAGCTGGTCAGCTTCTGGAACAGGCAAAGAAGAGGGGATTGATACTGAATACGATTAGTTATACCCCTTTGATACAAGGCTATTGCAGAGTAGGGGAATATTTGGTGGCACAGGATTTGCTTATTGAAATGTCAGAGAGAGGATATAAACCTGATTTAGTTGCTTTTGTAGCTCTTGTCCATGGACTTGTTGCAACAGGAGAGGTGGATGCTGCATTAACAATTAGACACAGGATGGTTGAAAGGGGAGTTGTACCTGATGCTGGTATATATAATGTTTTGATGAATGGACTTTGTAAGAAAGGAAAATTTTCTGCTGCTAAAGTCCTCCTCGTCGAGATGCTTGACCAAAATGTACCCCCTGATGCTTTTGTTTATGCCACTCTGGTCGATGGGTTCATCAGAAATGGCGACCTTCATGATGCAAAGAAACTCTTGGAAACCATGATTGAAAAAGGCATGGATCCTGGTGTTGTGGGATACAATGCCATGATTAAGGGTTTCTGCAAATTTGGAAGGATGAAGGAAGCACTGGCATGCGTCAGTAGAATGACAGAAGCACATGTCACCCCAGATGAGTTCACTTACTCTACAATTTTAGATGGTTACATAAAGCAGCATGACATGGGTGGTGCATTAAAGATTTTTGGACAGATGGTGAAAAGAAAATGCAAGCCCAATGTGGTGACATACACCTCTCTGATCAATGGATTTTGTCGAAGTGGAGATTTCAATACGGCTGAACAAGCTTTTATCACGATGCAATCTTGTGGTTTGGTGCCTAATGTAGTCACATACACTATACTTATTGGGAGCTTTTGCAAGGAAGGTAAACTTGCAAAAGCAGTCTTCTATTTTGAATTGATGCTGTCTAACAAGTGCATGCCAAGTGATGTTACTTTCCATTATCTTGTAAATGGCTTCACAAATAATCCAAGTGCAATTCTGGATAGTCAGTCTTTGGAGAATAAATCTCTTTTTCTTGAATCTTTTAATATGATGATATCTGATGGATCTGCTCGAGGAGCTGCTGTTTATAACTCTATCCTCTTCTGCCTTAGCCAAAATGGAATGACTAGAACTGCTTTGCAATTAAAGGAGAAGATGTTGAATAAGGGCTTCATTCCTGACCCTGTTTCTTTTGTTGCCTTTCTACATGGCATTTGCTTGGAGGGAAAATCAAAGGAATGGAGGAACATAATCTCCAATGATTTAAATGAACAGGAGCTTCAAACTGCTTTGAAGTACTCGCAACTTTTGAACCAATATCTACCTTATGGAATAACTTGTGAGGCATCACTTATTTTGCAGAACTTGATTAGAAACTGCAGCTACGAAAACCAAAAGGAAGATCTCAAAGTCTCTATAACATAGAGGAGGAAAAGTCCCAAGTAAAACACCTCCTCTGGGTTTACTAGAAAGACATATGGAAATGAAAATAATACTTAGTTGGCTTCAAAGGTGAATTGCTGGTCCTAAATGAGGTAGAGGTGGGTGGTTAACTGCCACTTTCACCTGATCACTCAATGAGTATATGGAGAACATTTTTTTGGCTGACCTTGGGAATCATTTTAGCTCCAAAGCAACAAATAATGACATGGTGTAAATCAGGTAGTGTACAGTCTTCTTCAGTTTCTATATTGGTGGAAGCTTAGGATGGATAACGACAATTATGGGCTAATCTCACTAATGGTGCTTCTGTAGGTGGGTGAACTATACTTACATTCTATCAAAGCAATTATGTCCAGCGAGAGATTCTGGAGCAGAATTGACTTGGAGGTATTTAACAGGATTCCTTTACTTGACTCTTAATATGAGTGTAATCTTGAAAGTGTCTATAATTAGTCTTTTGCACTGCATAAACAGTTAGTGGCAAGTTGCTACATTCAGTCTTAAGCACATAATTGAAATTTGACTTCTGAAGTAGTTAATGAGCTGACAGCTAAGTAAAATATGAATCTAATTTATTGGGTATACATTCTAAATTAATATCTTGATATCATCTGGAATTTTGGTTATGAGATAAACTGATTTAGATTTTATATTCTTAGTTAAATTTGTTATTAATTGATTTGATTATTTTATTATTGGGGCAAAAATGTTTTTATCTGATATATAGGATAAGAAAATTCTTACCTGATTATACTACTATAAGATGCATAACCTTTGTTGGCTGCCTGACATTACAACTTGTGTCTGTGATTGCAAATTTGCAATATATGGCTACATTTTTTCCTTTACTTTTGGATAAACATATTGGCTGTATATCACCCGATACATAAACAAGCTTTATTGTCTGATTGTCAAGATTGCTCATGGCAAGTGATTTATATATAAACGATAACTCTGCATTGGGCAGTATGTGATGAAAGGTGATTTACGTATATATAACCGTGCATTGGGCTGTATGTGACGGAATTCAACAAATTCCAGGTCATTTTTTTTATAGTTTTGATTTTGGGAATTGCAAGTCAAGAAGATGCCTCCTCTTCTTTTTCAAGTGTTAAAAACATATTAATTTGCTATCAAACTATGAGCTTGGCTGGATCTTGTGTTGGGACCTCATGAAGAGAAGGCTCTCGGGCAGAACTTTGAACCTAACAAATGGTTTCATAGCTGGGTATGGAGTTTGATTTGGCTAGGTCCTCCCCCCCCTCCCCCCGGGCCGTGTTTTTCGTTAACCAATGGCTTTTGTTCTTGGTTATCAAATATCTGAAGATGTAAGGATTTTTTATTTGTAGATATCAAAAATCTGAAAAAAAAAAAAAAAGTATCATTTGCTAGTGTAAAAGCTATCATCAGTGTCCTAAATCACATCCAATCCAAGGATCAAATTTTAGGTTAAAAATGATCTGAAAAATGCAACATTAATTCCTTCTTGTACAAGTATCCTAGAAAATAATCCATCGTGCATCTTAGAGCATATAACTTCAATGTTGTTTTATATAACAAAGGTAACTGAATGTGATCTCCAATGTGATCTGTCCTTTTATGTAACAGCCTCAAATAGTTGTTGCTAAGGCTATGATTCGATTGAGGGAAGGTGAGGGGAAGGAAAGGAAAGCAGAGGAAATAAAAAAAAAAAACTTTTTTTTTGTTTGGTTTATCATTTACCTTTTAATAAAAGAAAGTAAAAGAAGCTAATTGAACATACCTTCCTTTCCTTCAAAATTTTCAATTTTTAACTATCCCACATTGGAGTAAACAAAAGGAAAGTAAAGGATTAAAATTTTTTAAATATAAAATAATTTTTATATCTTTATTATATTTTATTATTTTTCAAAAAATATTATTATAATATTTAAATTTAACTATTGATGTTAACAATTGATGCTGCATTTAAATATTTTGCAACTCATTTTTTGACTCGATAGGAAAATATTAATACTTAAATAAACTTATGATTAATTTTATCTTAATAATATATTTTTAAGTTTTTAAGTTTCTCATTTCTGGATTAATGTCAAAAAAATTTTGTAGTATAAAAATAATTCCAAACATAAATTTTTTATGAATTAATTATTAATAATATTCTCTTTAACTGAAATTATTTTTAATAATTTTTAAAATTATTTAAAATAATTAATATCAAGATTATTCACATGATAGAAAAAATATTTTATTTTAAAAGGATATAATTACAGCTAAATAATATAATATTTTTTTTCCTTTTCACAACTTAACCAAATAAAGGTTGTGATCAATTCATTTCTTTCCTTTTCTTCAGTAATTTTAGTTATCCAAATAAGAGAATGAACTATCATTTCTTTCGCTTTCAAAACCTTTCTTTTCCTTTCCTTTCATTTACAAACTTCAATCCAAACATAAGCTAAAGTTACTGACAATTCTTTCAATCAGTGAAAGAATTTTGGACTTCGTATTAACATCTTTATCACACTTCTAATATGTTCACTATTTGCAATTTCTTCTTACACAGGCAGAAGCTGGTACTTTGATCTGATTGTACCCATGCTAGCTACTCTCTCAAATCCTGCAACATGTCATCACTCATCATAGTTAAATTCAGAGACAAAAATTCCATATAGCTTGGTCTGCTCTGTTTTCAATTGAGAAAAATGAAGAAGATAAAGAGGTATTTACTGGATATATTCGATATTGATTTTCCTTCCACGTCGATGAGAAATAGTTGCAAAAGCATCCTTGGACAGCATAATTGTAGAGGGGCATGGTGTGACGGGGCAGAAATCCACCACTTTGACATCAATGGTTCTACGCTTACAAGGTCTCTTGGGTCCGCTTAGGCATCTTAATCTGTAGCGCCTCCCACAAGCAGCACCATTGTCCCATAATCCCTCGCTAACAGCAACAAACAGATTCCCAGGTGGAAACTGTTCTTCTTTATTACCGTCACATTTTGTTGCTGCAAAAGAATGAATGATCCAAAGGTTTAATAAAGACGGAATTGTTTATAATTCAAGTTCTGAACTGCTATTCCAACAGGAGAGGCGTTTGAAGGAAGTTCTGCAAAGAGAAAAACGTAAAAAAGGAGAAGAAAGTAAAGATACTCACGTATGTACGGAGGGCTATAAAATGATGCAGTGCCAATATCACCATGGACGAAGCAGGCTTCTTTGCTTATCACTGCAGCAATCACAATTGCCAGGACCACGAGTGCCATTACCTGAAGCAAAGAACTACATAAACTATGTTTTCAATGATGCCTTGTGCAAATCTATGTGCGGGTTAGTTTCACTCTTCTTCCCCTTTTTACTCCTGAAAAATAAGTTTTCTAACCATGCCCAAGTTGGAAGGAGTATATTTCTCTTATCTATCATAGTAGGAAACTTTCTTCAAGAGTGATATTTGATGTGAAGTTGTCAAGGAAACATTGTAGATGACCTAAAACACCTTTAAGATCACCAAACTTGTTAAGTATAAATTGCTTGACAGCTTTGGTTAGCTTGAGACAAGATCACATTCGTCAAGACTAACGCTAACCTATAACGAGAGTCAATTTTAGAGTTGGTAATTTCCACCTAAGGTTTTGTTTCTTTCTTCTTTTTTTTTTTTTTTAATTTATAAGTCTTGTTTTTGGCTTGATTTGTGGCTTTTGTTGCTATCTTTACTAGTTGTATGCAGGGAAAAAGCAGAAAAAGATTTTTAAAAATTAAAAAAGACTTGCTTACTTCTAGAAGGTGCATTTAGCTTGAGGTATATAGCTAAAATCATAAATTATTGGTATTAATTTTTAGTAAATTTGATAATTTATGTATTTGTATTATATTTGTTTCATGTTAAAAATATATAAAACACGAAAATTATCAACTAACAATTCATGTTAATGCATTAAATGCAAAATACATTTTATATTTTTGTTAAACTTATATACGATATTTACAAAAATTTTAAATCATGTTTACATTTTTGTAACTTGTTATTGTATCATATTTAAAATTATCAAGTCTATTTTTTTATTTTTTATACAACAAGGTTGTGTTTTTTTTTTCTTTTATAATAGAATTTAGTAAAACAAAAAGACATACATAGTAAAAAATAACAAGTATAAGATCCCTTATGATTCTGTTATTTCTTCTAGCTTACATTTTTCACTAGTGGAAGGCACAAGGTTAGCCTAGTACCATGTATGTTAACTACAAAATCTTTAAGTAATTAACAAAAGTGGTCTATTTCATTGCTTGTTGCTTATGTTTATGTTCACCATCAGTTAAATAGCCACCCACCAACTTGTGGTTGTTGTTTGCTTTGCTTACAAAGCATGCCAATTTCTTGGTTGTTTTCAGATTCAATGCCCACTTTATATTTTTGGATGCAATTTTACATGACGGTGTTTCTATCTACTTTCATGCAATAATAGATATCGGAGAAAGAAAGTATTATTCATCAAGTGAAGTTAATTCAACAGAACAAAATTTTTTTTAAACCAATAGAAAGAGAAATTTTCTATCATAGAAGTAAACCACAAGAAAATTTTTTCTTGATGATATGACGTAGATGAAGATGGAAATTTTCTATCACAAAGGTAAACCATAAGAAAATTTTTGCTGATGGTATGACGTAGATGAATATGGAAAAGGCTCGATGAATATGGAAAGGATTTGTTTGTTGGATGACGTAGAAAAATGTGCTGATTGGCAAGCCAATCAGCACATTCTATGATAGCCTGGTAAGTAAGTCAACAGGTTTTGGTTCTGAAAATGGAGGACTTTGACCGATAGCCAGCCAACTGTTCGTGGTCCTATCCAATTTCTTGATGCTTTTGGTCAGGAAAAAAAAATTCTAGATGCTGAAGTAAAAACTCATCAATCCATCAGGAAATCAGTTTGCCATGGACATTGGACATGGGACACGGCACTAGACCAGTCCATTCCCCCTTGAACTCCTCATCATGGCTTCAATAAAACGTTTTTGAGGATCAAAGGAAAGAACCCATTTCTAGAAAGGAGAACCCTGTAGCATCAACTCTCCCGTGTTAAGCACAGCCTCTGATAAATTCCCCTTCACTGTAACATCATTTTTTTTTTAAAACTACATACCCAACCATGCCTAATCATCAAATCTTACTTAGAGCAATGTACCAAAAGACGAGCCCAGTTCTACAATATCAAGACCTGCTTCTTTTGCCAGGCAAAAGTAGAAAAATTAGAAACATATTACATTGGAGTGGCTAACTAGCCAGAAAGTGTTTTGCATTTAAGCTAATTACACAGTATGTTTCAAATCTCAAGAACCCGAGTTAAAAGGGTTTTAACTATCCCATAGGATTTCATACCAAAAGAATACCTAAAAAAATTAACAATGAATCGTCACAAAAAGGAAAAATGAAAAACTTATCTTGAAACTACAATTTGAATTCACAAAAGCAGTCTGGCAAAGCAGACCCTCGCCCCATGGTAAAATCATCATTGTGAGCCTTCCGTAACGCTTGCATCAACTGTTTTCCTTCCAACCCTTTGGAAGTAAACTCGGCAAAAGCTCTTCTGCTTAAGAAAAGAGTTTTGTACAATCCTTTAAAAGCTCGCATTGCTGCCACCATCTTATCCATGTTTCCAAAGTATGTAGCCACGTAAGAATCACTATTTATAGATATATAATAATCCAACGCAGCTTTTGTGTTCCCATGCATGCTTTTGAAATCCTCACTGCTAAGAAGGGCAGACTTTGTAAATATATTGGTAAAAGTAGAGGTTAAACCTTCAAACTCCATCAGTCCATCCCCAGCTGCAAGATAAATATTTGTGTTCGTGGGTATAGAAAGTGCTTGAAGTATAAAGGCAGTCTCATTAGAAGTAAGAGGGCACTTTCCCCTATTCCTCCAAATTCGAGCTGCTTCTCCAGTCCACGGCTTTCTATCATCTCCGCGTGCAGCTTCAATGGCTTTCATCGAGGTAGGAGAAAGGCCTGAGTATTGACATTGGCTATAAGCTACCATGTCTGGTTCAAACCGAAGATGAAGGGAGAGGAAAGGCTTGGGTATGGCTTCTAGAAGCTCAGTAGCCTTCTTCTCCAAGGATTTGGTCAGCCTTAACGCACTGTAACAGGCTTGACAAAGGGCCGCTTTTGCATAGTGAGGGTACCTACAAGATGTCATAGCAAAAAACAGAAATGTGCTCTTCATCAATGCCATAATTCTATCTAACTAAATTGTGAAATTTTCTAAAACAGAAAAAGCAATACCTATCCCTTCTTTGGCTCATCGCTGGTGTGATAGAGATGTAATGATATTTCAACAAGGATGGAAGAACACTTTCGATGTAATCAAATTGACCTTTCCGTTTACTACAATCTACTCGATGGGGTTCTTTTGATGATATCTCTGGTGGCAATTCTCGAACAACTTTGACAAAACCATTCATCCGTTTTATGAAGTAATTGACATCAAATACATCTGCAAAGCCACTGTGGTGAAAGGAAAGCATTATAAAGATTTTAATAAAAACATAAAATGGTAACATAACACATTTGGATATCATTAGGCACTCTACCATAGGAAAAACTTTGGCTTTACTCATCTGACAATAAATTATGTGTAATACTACAACAAAAGAAGCCATTAACAACAACTACAATCACAATTGAAATAACTATGACCAAATTTCAAGCACTCAATAAGAAATTTCTACCGATAATTATTTATAATTCGAATATTTAAACAGGAAAAAAAAAAAAGCCGATGGGTACCTCTATGAAGAAACAATAAAGCTCTAGTAGCACTTGAATCATTCACAATATGAATTTAAGACAGGACAGTTACGTACAGGTTCAATTTCCTAAAAAGAAACTCGGTTGCTTGAACCAGAAAATTTATCCTCCCCAGCTTCAATTAATAAAGCCTTCACTAAATTCTCCCCCAGTTTAATAGTTCATAACTTCAGTAACTTAAATTCAAGCAACATGTGCAATGCTATGAAGTTCATCCCTTGACAACTATCAGCAAAATTTTCAAAAGAGAATAGCACAAGCATTTATCAACCTAACCACAAACATCAATTTGATAAAGGAAAAGGAAAGTACAACAATAGCATAGGGCAAGTGTTGGTGTCTGGAAGACATTATTAGCAACACTAATCCCCACGACTACCATACTATAGTTAATCAGGTATTGCATTGGTTTTCATTTTACACTCAATTTTTGTTGTAATCCTAACTTCAATAAGTAGGTGCATAATTATTAGAATTAGATCACCACCTGCATTCACTACTGTCTAGATCTCAACTGTCTTAACATGTTTAAAATTGTTCAATAACAATTCAGAAATTACAGGCCCCCTCAAAACAAGATATCCTAGTCACTTCATTTCTACAATCAACATTAGCAATGCCAAAAAATACCTATCCGTACGTTGAGTTATGACAAATAGTAAATATCGATGAGAATTCCAAGAGGCATACATTACCTCGATTCATTCCAATATGCAGCCACCTCAAACTTTGGCAACACCAAAGTAGCATTTAGCAAACGTGCAATACCAACACCATCACAGAACTTCCCTCACCATGAAAAATAAATGATTTTTAGTGCAAATTAAGTTTATTTTAGAAAAGATTAAAAAAGAAAAATTACAATAGATATGCACTCACATCTCTTCTCATCTGATTGAGACCACCATAGCAATCCACACGGATATACCCATTACTCTTGGCTGGTAGAGCTGCAGGATTTCAACAAAAAAACCAATGCAAATGTCTGCAACGATAACCAATTAAAAAAAATTGACTCAGAATATCAAAATCCAAACAGAAGGCTTTAACCTAACCCAAACAACACTTCTCACTCCTTTAAAACTATAACACAACTTCCCAAAATGTACCCCTTTTCCATATACTCGTCCCAAATCTACATCAATCAAATCGATGAACCTAAGTCATTAAACCATATAATATTAGTATAATCCAAATATTACTTTTGACACTGACTAAAACAATGTTTCCCTATCTTTTACATGAAAAACTTGAAAAACCCAGTTCCCAAATTCTAAAATTTGCTCCTTTTCTTTCTCCATTGGCAGCTAATCATAATATCTATATATATATATATATATATATATATATATATAATATGTACACCCACATATACCACAAAGAAATAATCTTAACTCCAAATACATCATTGAATTTCCCCCAAAATCTCAAAAATAAGGCAATAAAGATAACGCAATAATAACTATATATGTATATAAAAATAAAAACAAAAAACAAAGGAATACAGTAAATACTAACGAGTTAAGTGGGATTGAAGCCACCAATTGCAAGGTCTCCATTCTACGATTCTCGTTACACTCCATATATCCGATTTAGAACTGTAATTTTACCAAATCAACAAAGATTCACAAAAAAATTTATCACACATATGTATAAAGTGAAATTGAGAATGAATTGGTAACCTGTTGGGAGAGTTCAACGAGTGTGAAGGCTTCCAAACCGGCGTCGAAGGAGAGAGCAAAACGACGGCCAAGAATAAGGAAAGTGTCGATATTATTACGAACAATAGCTTCACCCTCATTTCATCCAAATTTTTTTTATTATGAGTTTTAGATCAGATTCGATTGGATTTGTTCCTTCTTTTAAATGTGATTTCGACTTTTGGGCTAAAAAAAAAAACAAAGAAAAAGAATGGGTTTTTAGAAGTTTTACAGAAAAATACGTGTATACATGAATATTGAGTGCTGGGCTGGATTAGTAAGTCATGTCGTGCGGACAGATTGCCATTTAATGGTTCGGGTTGAACCGGAGATCTACGACACCGGTTTTTTTTTTCCTTTTAATGGATATCATAGAATGTCAATATTATATTAGTAAATGTTAAGCTTAATATTATCTTATTAAAGTATAATTTTACTATAGGATTATAACATTTAAAATAATTTAAATTTTAAACGATAAGAAAAATAATTATAAGTATTAAAATTTAAATTTAAATTTATCAATTAATATTTATTAAAAGTGATCACATACATAAATTAAACTACATTTCATTACACGTTTCCCCAGCTATTTGAAAAAACCCCGTTAAAACATAAAGAGTTTTAGCAATGAAAATCACTCACATATATATGAAGCCTACCTGTTTCATATTTCATCATTTGTCCATATCAAACAATAATCTTTGTTTTAATCAATTTCTCCTTTGGTCCTTCAGCCTTCGCCTAGATTGCTACGTTCTCAAAAGTTTCCACTTTTCTTGGAAGCTTATCTTACAACCAACACAAAAAGTCTTTCATTGATATTGGAAGTCACACCTTCTATCTGGATCAAAAGTTTTAGCACATCATGGGCAATATGTTCTCAATCTCATGCTCAATAGATGACACCATCCGTTGCTGCTGGGATTTCACTGTTAGACAGGCAACTTACACTTGTAAGCTTGACGAAAATCTTAAAGAATTGAAGGATGCCGTAGAAGAACTGAGAGCACAAAGGAATGACCTGAAGTTGGAGGTCGAGCTTGCTGAACAAAAACTATTAAAGCAACTCAACGAAGTTCAACTCTGGCTTTCAAGGGCAGAAACTTTGATAACAGAGGTTGAAGAATTGATAGACTTTGGTTCTCAAGAAACAGATGAAGCATGTTTTGCAAGCTGTTGTTCCACGAATTGCAAGTCTAGCTATAAGCTTGGTAAAAAGGTCGCTAGAAAATGTAAAGAAATAGCGATTTTAAAGAGTCAAGGAGTTTTCGACAAGGTTGCTCTTGGACGGCCCCCGGCTCAAGTGGAAGTAATGCCTTTTCAGCCCACAGTTGGCCAGGAATCAACATTTGATGAAGTTTGGAGCTGCCTCATAGAAAAGGATGTGGGACTTATTGGTTTACATGGCTTAGGAGGAGTTGGAAAGACAACACTCTTGACCCAAATCAATAACAACTTCGACAGTATACCAGATGGCTTTGACGTTGTAATTTGGGTGGTGGTGTCGAAAGATTACACAATCGAGAAAGTTCAGGATAAGATTGGGGAGAAGATAGGTCTTTCTGATAATCAGTTGTGGGTTAATAAAAGCTCATATGAAAAATGTAATGATATCTTTGAAGTTTTGTCAAGAAAGAAGTTCGTGATATTGTTGGATGATGTATCGGAGGGGGTGGATTTGATGAAAATTGGGTACCAGTACCGAGCAAAAATGGTTCTAAACTGGTTTTCACTACTCGGAAACTTTCCATATGTGGTGAAATGGAAGCTCAGAGAATAATTGAAGTGAAATGTCTAGGATCAGATGAAGCTTTGAAATTGTTTGAAGAAAAGGTTGGACATGAGACCCTTGCCAGTGATCCAGAGATTCCGAAGCTAGCTAAAATGGTGGTTGCCGAGTGTGATGGACTGCCTCTTGCTCTAGTTACAATCGGTCGTGCCATGGCTTACATGAGGAGCCCACAATCATGGAGAAATGCAATTGCTAAATTGCAGCAATCAGCACATGAGAAAATGGAAAGGGTATATCATCTTTTAAAATTCAGTTATGATAGCTTGGATAATGACAAAACTAGATCATGCCTCTTGTATTGCAGTCTATATCCTGAGGATTATATGATTCTCAAATCTGACTTGATCAATCATTGTATTTTTGAGGGGTTTTTGGGTGAGTTTCGCAACCTAAGTTCAGCTCAATATGAAGGATATGACATTATAGATTCTCTTGTTAGTGCTTCTCTATTAGAAAAAGAAGGAAACGAACATGTGAAGATGCATGATGTGGTTCGTGACATGGCTTTATGGATAGCGAATACTAGAGAAGCACAAAACACTAAATTTTTTGTGCAAGCAGGGGCTCAGTTAACTGAAGCACCAGAATTTGGGGAATGGAAAGGTGTCGAAAGAATGTCATTGATGCAAAATAAAAAACGAAAACTTGTTGGAAAACCCGAGTGTTCTGCTCTCAAAACTCCGTTTCTCAACCAGAATGTGTTGAAGGTGATCAATGATGGCTTCTTCCACTCTATGTCCAATCTAACAGTTCTAAACTTATCAGGGCATATCAATCTAAAAGAATTGCCAAAGGATATTTAGGATCGATTTCACTAGAATGTGTCGACCTATCAGGGACCGCTGTAAAATAGTTGCCAATGCAGCTAAAGGCCTTGGTGAACTTAAAATATTTGGGCCTGAATCGTTTAAATCTCAGAAGAATCCCACAGAAACTGATATCTAGTTTTTCAATGCTGCAAGCCTTCATGATGAATTCACCCACTGAGACTTTCATAGAAATAGTGGAAGATAATGTGCTATCTTCTGGTGATAATGATAGTTTAATAGAGGAATTGGGGGGCTTGCAACATTTGGATATGCTGAGTATGGGGATAAAATATGATTTAGCTTTTAAATCACTTTTATGCTTTCCCAAGTTGAAGGGCTGCATTCAAGAACTGTTGCTTGTGTTAACTACATCAGAGATTTTGCATTTAGAAGATATGGAGCGTCTAGAGAAGCTACAGTTCTGGTACTGTAAAAGTCTAGAGATCAAGATACAAACCTCGTGGATTGCACGTAATGCATGCTTTAACAGCCTTCGATATGTGGTGTTGAGTGACTGCCCCGAAGTCAGGGAACTGACATGGCTTATTCATGTTCCCAATCTGAGGACTCTCGATGTAATGGACTGCAAAAAGGTGGAAAAAGTAATCAGTGAGGTGGTTGAGAAACCGAATCCATTTCCTGTGCTGGAACACCTTTACTTAAGATACCTACCACAATTGAAGAGCGTTTATTGGGATGCTTTACCCTTCCAGCATCTGATCCATGTATTAGTGCTTTACTGTCCAAAGCTTAAGAAGCTGCCACTGAAGTCTGACAGTGCAAAGAAAGAAAATTTCATCATCCATGGACAGAAAATGTGGTGGGAAGCGCTTGAATGGGAGAATGAGGCCACTCGAAATGTTTTTCTTCCATATTTCAAACATGTCTGAATGAAGACAACTGAAAAGACTTCAAAATGTTTTGAAATTGGCAAAGGATGTTTCCTTTCATCTTTTCCATTGTTTTAAGGTTAAAATTCCTTTCTGCTTTACAATAATTATGTAAAGACTATCATAATGTGAATCTTTTTTCAATACTTCGGTTTTGGATTTCAGTGACTAATCTTTCTTCAGTATGTATGAAACCTATGAAATTGCCTTGCCTGGAATGTCTCAGTCTAGGCTACACCAATTCTCAAAAAAATATTAATCTCGTTGTCTTCTTATTTGCTTTCTTTTTCCACAAACTCGTTGAACAGGTGCTTAGAAGAGGAGAATCTGGCCAAGGAGCAACATGATCCTCTGGTGCTTGGACAATTTAGCTTGTTTTATGAAATAGCTAACATTCACAATAAAATCAGCATTTGGAGTAGGTGGAAAAGTGGTAGAATAAAAAATTGTCAATTTCCTCTCAATGGTCTATACATTTATCTTGAGAAGCAGAAGATAATGAAGATTGCAAAGTATTGTTTGTTATTTTGTTCTCCTTGTTTTTTGCTTGTCTTGAATCTCTTGAAGTAAATTTTATAAAAATTTAAAGACAACATACACAAACTTTATCAAACTATAAAATCCAAACACCAAATTTCCATTTACTTTATATGAATTTTTTTTAGCGGCAAAGGCTTAAATATTAAGCACATATTTAAGTTGTATGGTATGAATTCTATTTAATTATCAATAAAACTATTGCCTTTTGCCTTTGCTTTAGGAAGCAAAACGCGAAGGAAAAAAAAACTAACACTTAGATAAAGAAAAACATTGAATTCCATGGGAAGATTTTTCTCGACAATGATGCTGAACCTATTGAATTTCTATATAAATATTGCAATTATTTTTCCCTAATTGCACAGATTATAAACCATCGTAACCTTAACTCAAGCTCTTTAATTTAAAATAAAAGCCAAAATTCCTTGGTTTAAACTCAAAGACTCAACCTATTTTACCATCTCTCTGTGTGCTCTTAGGTAACAAATAAAAGACTTGTACATAACCTTATTTAAGGATGAACTTGAGATTGATTTTGTATTTGAGAAGCATGAAACTGAAAGCAAGGTCGTTTTACTCACTTTCAAGCTCTGTTTCTTCACTTCTTGTTCTCCTATAGGCTGTTTTACCTCTCATTGCATTTGCTAACTCTTGTATTGAGCAAGAAGTGCTTCGTGCCATCTTGTTTGCGAGTATCTCAACATTGTCCAAGAATCCAAACCCCAACAACCGATTCCTCACTAACTCAACAGTTGAAAAATATGGAGGTATACCCTCATCAATCATCATCTCAAAATATTTGCAAGCCTCCTCTAACTTACCTCTTTTTTTACATAAACCATGAACCATGACAGCATAAGTTGATACAGAAGGATAAAATCCTTTATCTGCCGTACTCTCCCACAGCTCTGTTGCCCTATCAAATCTTCCTATGCGAATTAGTAACTTGAGTGCCATGTTGTAAGTGTGCCTGTCTGGTAGACATTCATTTTTCTCCATTCTGGAAATCAATCTAAGAGCCCTATTAACCTCAGAATGTTCACAATGATAAGCCAGGATGGCATTGAAACTCCATGTATCCGGAGTAATTCCCCTCTCAAACATCTCGGTTAAAAGCTGGTAAGCCTCATCAACATTATCATTGTTGCAAAGCTTTTTGATAATGCAATTGTAAGTGAACAAATTAGGGACAAGATTGTATCTTCTCATTCTATCAAGCACCCTAAATGCCGCATGAATATCATTGGCCTCACAATATGCACGAATGAAAACAGAGTAACTGCAAGCATCTGGCTCAATCCCACTCGAATCCATTTCTCCAAACATCTTATAAGCTTCCTCCACGTTACCACCTTTGCACAAGGCTTCCAACAAGCTATTATAAGCAAAAACATCGATGGAACAACCTCGATGGACCATTTCGTCAAACATCTTACGTGCATGGTAAGTTTCACCGACATCCCCCCAACCCCTCACCAAAATGCTATAACTTTTTGCACTAAGCTCAAACTCATGCTTAACTCCATCAAAAAACCCTTGGGCTTGTTTCACATGCTTCCTTTTACATAACACAAACAAAAGTTTATCAACATCATGAACACTAGGCTTAATTCCAAACTCCACCATTCTATCAAATGCCCTGATAGCATCACCAGGCAAATTTGCTCCACAATAAGCTCTAAAAATAATCCAGAAAATTTCTGGGGTTATCTCAAACTGTTTGCTATCTCTAATTTCTACCAAGAAATCCCATAAAATAGCAAACTGTTTGCTACTTCCTAATACATCAACCAAAATATGGTAGCTTGTATCACTGTGTTGAAAACCCGGAATTTTTTCAGCCCAAAGAAAGAATCTGTGGGCAGAAAAGCCGAGATTTTTGCAGCGTTTTAGGACTTGCTCGACGAGTTGAGTGGATATATGAGAAGAGAAGCCGGTGAGAGAGGGGTCTAAGTCATGGTGAGGACTCCTGTGGTCGCTTAGTACGCGACAGATTTCATTTACGAGGTTTGCTAACGGCGGAGATACAGGCTGCTGTTGGGTGAGAGAAGAGAAGAAGAAAAAGGGTTTGAAGTTGTGGAATGAGCAAAGGAGATGGTGAAAGGGACGTGCTTTGGAGAGAGATGCAATAGCCATTCTAGACAAGGTGCTGAAACATAGCTAGAAACTAAAAATATGGGAAGCGAACCACGATAATTAAAATGCCTATTAAAAGTTTGCTGAGGAGTAAGAACCAGTTCGGAACACGATTCCTTCTTTGTCCTCCAAACTTAAAGGGCAGGCAGCCCGATCCGTCTCCGATTAATTTGGGGACCCGATTTAATTCGACTTTTTAGAGTCAATTTAGGATCGAATTTTAAGTAAACTCTTGATCCAATGTAATATACATTTAAAATTTTATTTTTTAATTATTTATTTAATTTTATATTTATATTAAAAATAATATTTTATTATTTCAAATAAAATTTCATACAATATTACTTTAAATTAAATTCAAATATAAAAAATAAAATTTTATTTAATTAAATTTAAATATTATAAATATAAAATCAAATCGAATTCTAATAAATATCCTTCGATCGATTACCGGCCCTATCCAAACTCAATTAGCTGCAATCAAAGTCAATCTTGCTCCCTTGACACTGACACAATCACACAACTAATGTGGGCTTGGTTTAAATCCTGCCCGCGGACACACATCCTTGTCCCAACAATCAGGATTGGACAGTGGACAATGGATTTGTCCTCGTTTGCCTGGGTTTGTAGATAGATTACCATGCTTATGGGCCGTGGGGACAATGATCCTTGGTTGATGGTTTTTAAATTTTAGCAAAACCTAAACCTAAACAGATGAAGTCCTTTGAAGTAATTTGTAATTTAAAGTTAGGTTAAAGGCAAGGACCAAATGACCATCTTTTCTAAACCAAACCCTTAATTATTGCCATGATTATTTTAGAAAATTTGTCGTCTTATCATGATTATTTAATGAATATTTCATCAACCAAACACTATAATAATCAAATATATCCATTAATATATTGACATAATCAAACAATTAATCTACTAATTTATTCTCTTAAATGCTTCAATACAAATACGTAAAAATCCTACTATTAAGATAATATTTGAAAACCGTGAATGGAAAAGAAATACTACAAGGATTGAAATGTATGATTTGAACAGAACACAAGGAATCGGAAGTGATTATGTAGATATACAGTGGCATTGGCAATAATCCCTTCCCTTTCTCTCCATTTGTATGTTGAGATTTTGAAAAAAAAAACAAAATTAATATAAACAAGTACAAAAATCATTAACGTATCACAAATACAATTAGGTCACAATAATAAATTTAAAAAGGAAGCTGAAAAGCATCACTGGTTAATCATGCATGCTATTATCTTTAGCAAAACCTTTTGAGTTGTAGCTCTCCTACTTTTTAATTCTTTATTAATTTCATTATGAATTTTAATTAATTATCAACCGCCGAGTAATAAAATATGAATTTTTTTATTTTAATAATTAAAATTTAAATATTGATAATTTAAAGTAAAAGAGTCTTTAATTAATTAGTAATAGTTGGTAGATTAGGATTAAATTTAAAAATAATAAAATAAAAGTACTTGTCACGAAAGTTGTTAATCTGTAAGTGATGTAATCACATCATATTCTATAATTAACATGTTTAGATTGTGCATGCTGACAAGGATAAACGTGGAAAGCTCGAGATGTTGTAGCAAATTGACAATGATAACATTTTCTTTCACTTTTTGTAAAATTAAATTCAAAAAGAAGAAAAATGTGCAAGGGAATCCACTCATTTTTTTTTTATTTTCTTCCTTCACTTTCCATCCCACCAAATACTAACACAAAGGTAGTCAAATTCAGAGTGCTAGTAAAATGTTGTTTTCAGGTATAATATAAAAATTTATTTAAATTAAAATTAAATAATCATTCAATTTTATTATAATTAATTGAGTTCCCAAACATTTATTTTTATTAATTTTTATTAGATAAAAATTAATTAATCTCCAACATTCATTTTCATTTAATTAATAGTTTAATAGATGAAAATTAATATTTAAAGATTTAATTGGAGTAAAATAAATTTTTAAATATTCAAATATTAGATGAAAATAAATGTTCGTGAACTTAATTGATTATAGTAAAAGGATAAAGACTTAAATAATTATTTAATTTTTGTTTAAAGATTTTTTTGTTTTGAATATAAGGGGTTTTTTTTAATATATTTAAGCCTTATTTTTATAATCTATGAGTAATTCAATTCTCTTTATATAAGTATTTATTATAATTTGAGCTTAAAATACACAGTTAGCTGCAAGATGGCAAGTTCTCCCAAGACAGTTAGTGTGAAAATTAATTATATTGAATTTTACGTTCTTTTAAGAAAAAAATTTTACTTTTATTAAAATTATCAAAATTTTAACAAGTGGTTCTGTCTTTAAAAAAAAAAAAAAAAAAAGCTAAATGATGATGTCTCTAAAATTATATATATATATATATATGAGACATCATCATTTATTTTTTCTTCTTTTTCTAGTCGAGAACAAGAATATTATATAATATATATTTATATATATACCTTCACCATATTTGTAACAAATTTCCAGGTTTGGTTTCACCTTCACCAGATTTGCAACACATTTCCAGCTTTGGTTTCTATTCTGGAGCTCGAGACAGAACCATTGATGTATAATATTGTACCAATAATTTGACCCCTCATCCACTACAATAAGTAAATAAACATTTCCTATATCATTTCTAATATGTGAGAAATGGTTAAAAAAATATATGCTTTCTAATTCTTATGCATGTAATATGAAAGCTGCCTGCTTGATCCATCAGTTGTCATTTGTAAATTTATCTCTAATCATTATTATTATTATAATGTATCATGTCTCCTTGCATGTGTCTTCTTCAACCTTTTTTTTTTCTTTTCCATCCTCTTGTCCTTTTTTTTTTTACCTTTTCTTGAGATTTCTTGAAAGCTAGCACACAAATTCGATTTCAGTCTACTTGTCTAGTGCTATTTACATTGTTTTTAGCCTAAAAATTAACATTCACGAATCAGTCACAGATTTCGTTTGGCACATTATGTGCTAGTCACAATTTTATAAAATGCAAATGCTCAAAGTAAAATGTAGGGTTTTTTTAGTTGGAAAATCTTTTTAATTATGCATCCAAGCATTTATCTAAGTAATTAATGCATGATTTTTCTAATAGAGTTGATGCATGATATTTGCTTGTGAATCCTCTTTCTCTAAATAAAAAAAGTTAATATGTGATTTATTTTTTGAGTTATATAACTTCTTACGATACATATTATAAAAAAAAATGGTTTAAAAGGTTTATTTAAAAATAAATTAACGGTTAATGATTTTATTTTTGTGCAAATTAAATAGTACAATTTTATTTGAATGTAACAAAAATATAAAAACTTATTTAAATAAACTTATAAAATTTAAGAACTTTTTTATTATTTTAACTTTGAAGAAACAAAATTGGAATACCTAATCATGAATTTTTTCTATATACCAAATTATATTAAAATAATATAATTCAAAGATCAAATTACATAATAATCCATAAAAAAACTGCCAAGCAGGCTTCACAGTCGACAAAATCACCATAACTGCACAGTCTACCTCAGTTTTACTGGCTCTTCTCATAAATTTGATTGAAGATTCATTAACATCCCCCCCCCCCCCCACTTTGTTTTTATTCGATGTCATTCTCAATCGCTTTATTGCAAATAGCAAAGAATTTGAACAGAGCAAGCTGTGTTAGTGGAAGCAAGTTGACAATTGTTTGTACCAGGAATAGAGGATACCTACTTTGAAATTGGACACAGCAAGCTTTGTTAGTGGAAGCAATTATCTTTGCTTGCTAATGCTTGTAAGTAAAAGACAATTATCACTTGGATCCCACTCTTCAACTTAATTAAAAAAAAAAAAAAGCTTGTGTTTTGTTTTGATTTTGGGTCTGGAAAGATCTTAAAGGGAGAACGAAGGTGAAGACAATAACAAGGACGAGTGAAATAAAAAAGGTGATTTTTTTTGGTTTTTTTCTAATTGGTTTTCATTTATGAGATTTTTTACTATTGATTATTACACTAATCGTTTATTAATTCTTATTTATAAATTATAATATGTAAATTGCTTGAGTGATGATTATTTATAGTATTATTAATTGGGTCATTTTAGCTTCAAATTAATTTGAATGGGTTTCGTTTAAACAATCTTTTGGTAATTTTGGTTGAATATAATTATTATTTTTTGTTTAATTACACAAAAATATATTTTTCAATTAAAAAAATAAAACAGAAAAAACAATAATATCACGACATAATTTCTCGACCACATAGCACGAGACCCACACTAAAAAATTACTGACAAAAGAAATAACAAATTGATAAAAAAAAATTATCTCCATTACTATTTACTGATCATTACTTTTGAAATGCACATTTAAACAAATTTATGATTAGTATTTATTTAAATAATTTTTCTTTTTTTAGCTAATTTCGTTTATCTTTTTATTTAATTTAAATTTATTAAATTTTAGCCATAAATTTATTTAAATGTGCATTTTAAATCTTTAGATAAAAAAATTGCAAGTGTCCACTAACTTTTTTAGTATGGGAGAATATCTTTTCTCTAACCACAGTGATTATATCCTATTTAACTCCTAATTATATTGTCTGCCAGTTTGTCACAGACCACATGACAAAAGGATCCTAACTGGACTATCCTAATTTAAATCTCATTTAACTATATATCCTTATATAAAGATACCTGAATTTGTAATTAATAGGGTAGTAAATAATATATTAATATTTGTAAATTATTTGGATTTGGTTTGAATAAAATTTTTATTTGACTCGATTTTAATAAATTGAGTTTGAATTTAAATAATTTAATTTATCAAAAAAGTCAAATTCAAGCATTTTAATATTTAATTTGAATAACTCGTAAGTTTAATTAAGATTTTAAATTTTAATATATTTTTATTATTTCTATTTAAAAAATTATTTATCTTTATATATATATATAAATACTAATTCAAACTTGAATTTGAGTTTAAGCACATAATTAAATTTAAAATTAAATATTAAAATCGAGATCATTTTTATTAAAAAAGTCTAATTGAGCAAAATTTAATAATTTAACTTCTACTTCGAATCGAGTTTAAATTTTAAAAATTAAAATACTACACTTCAAATAATAAATTTTGAATTAAATTTGAATTTAAACTCAAATTTTTTACTTTATCAATTCGATGATGAATACGTTACTAATAACTAAAAAAAAAAAAAATCAGATTGGAAGGTTTAAGTTGTAGACGAGGGCTAGCTTAAGAATACAAATGATTTTATTCTTTTCTCTTTTATATAAAGTCTAATTTCTTTGGTTCTTAGAAAAATTTTTATTTTATTTGGAAGCACAAAGTGAACATATAACTATATAAAAAAAAAGCACTATACTTTGAATATATGATTCAATAATAAATGTATTTTTTTTTACTCAAAAATCATTTTGAATATCTTGTTACTGATTTCTATTTTAATGCTTCAAATCAATTTTTGATAATTTTATATATCGTGCATGTCAGTATGACTTCTAACAAAACAAGCACCATTACCTAACCTATCGCACGAGCCAAAAGAGAAGAAATCATATTTGGTTTTTTTTTTTTTTTAATGTATGTGCATGGATGAGTCTTTCTCTCTCTTTTTCTTTGTTTCATTATCTTTATCTTTACTTGATTTGTAAATTTGAAGGGTAAACGTTTCCTTTTTATTTTTTAACTTAAGAACCATTGAGTTTGGTTTGATATGTTTTGATGTAATAATGGTGAAATTTTTTTAGACAATTTGTTAGCTTTTTTTTTTTTTTGGAAATTTATTTGAGATATTTTGGAGAATGAATGTGACTTATAATTAAGATTATCTTTAGGATTTGCTTGAATCTAATTTTTTATAAGATTTTAAGAATATATTTTCTCACATCAATATGTTATATTCAAAATTTTATTTTTAAAATATTTTCTTAAAACTCCAATTGACGGAAAAAAACTCTTCATTTACGGACTAGATTACCATTTATTATTTTTAATTGCAAAATTTTCTTTATTTTTTTTACTTTTTCTAATTTCAGTTAAAATAAAACTAACAAAAAATGCTAAATGTAGTCCGTACATTTGGTCGAAAAAGATAAATTTTATATATTTATTCATCAAAAAAGAGTTAGAATTCTTTTTTTTTTTCAAATAAAAAGAATACCAAAAATTACCGCATCAATCCACAATCATAAATCTGAAATTTTTTATTAAGAAAGGGGCCCAACAAGTGTTGTGCAGAAACAGACACCTGATAAAAAATAGTTATAATAAAGAAAAGACACTTGACAAAGTTACCCGCCGAGTCCGACAAGAAGCCGTAAAAAAATCAATCTCTGACCAGAATCTTTCTGTTTGGTTCTTTGTTGCACTCCTAGTCAGCAGTGGTGTCTACGTGTCAAAATATTCCTATTAAAGACACGTGGCATGCATGTAGAGGTCTCCATTGCCTCTTTCCCTCTGTATATAATGCCCAATTATTTTGCTTCTGTTAGTGGAGTGCCGTGGCTTTCTCTTTGTTTCTTCACTTCTAAACTCGTTTGTTTTGTTTGGTTTTGCTAATTATAAAATTTCTGGTTCTCACATCTATCTGTTTTTCTTACTCATTTTCTCTCGAGAAATCTTTATCTGCTCTTTCCCTGGGGTGTTTGTCTTGGTTGAAATTTTTTTCTTGGAAAAAATAAAGATGAAGGAAAGTGTGGAAAACCCTCTTCACCTGAAATCTTTGAACCATATCTCCCTTGTGTGTAGATCAGTTGAGGAATCCATTGAATTCTACCAGAAAATTCTTGGGTTTGTTCCCATCAGGAGGCCTGGATCATTTGACTTTAATGGGGCATGGTAATGCAAAAAAAAAAAAATGATCATCTTGTCAATCTTAATTATTTGTTTGAAGAAATTTCCTCTCTAATATTGTGATGAAAAGGGAAAGAAACCTTGGGTTGATCTTCATTTTTCAGGTTATGATTTTATTTGTGTGGGTATTTTTGTTATGCAGGTTGTTTGGATATGGGATTGGGGTACATCTTCTACAATCAGATGATCCAGAGAACATGCCAAAGAAAAAGAAAATCAATCCCAAGGACAACCACATTTCTTTCCAGGTCAATTTCTTTCTTTCTTTTTTTTTTTTATTTCAATCTGTTCCGTTTGAGAATAAGGCACTGCAAAAAAAGACCAGTTAGCAAAGTACAAGTGTAATACCGATCTCTTTTTATAGATTGAAGATCGAAACTGAAAATTTTTAAGATTTATTTTGGTTGAGTGAGTCTTGGACGTTTGCATGACAAAATGACAACATTTTGATGCTCTTCTGAAAAGGAAAACATCCTTCTTTTGGAGTCCTTAACCAAGGGGACACTTCATTGGTTATAGTTTAATTGGACTCCATCTTGGAGGTCTTGAAAGAAAAAAGAAAGCATCTTACTCTGTTTCACTTTAATTATTCTTGAAGGTTCACTGAAGGAATGAGTGACCAGAATTAGGTTACAATTTCTTCTTTCATGAAAAATTGGTTTCAATTTCAATATCTGTATCGGTAGATAATCATAATAGATGTTGTCTACTTGTTATTTAGTAATAATGCAAATGCAACTGCTAAGGATTTGAATTCTGATAGCACCAAGTCAAAGAAATCAAGATACCTTGTTGTCTTTCTAGTATTTGATCCTTTCTGATACTAAAACCACAAACCACTGTTCATCACCTACCTCTTTTTCAACCTTTTTTTCTCAAGAGTAATCATGTTGGATTATTAGTAGGTAGGGAAGAATTATATAAATAGTAAAACTTGAAAGGTTAATTGTATGCATGGCCGGCCATGTCGATTATTGAATTTGTTTGTGCTGATCATGGAATTGACTAACCTATTGATTGTGTTTTCGTGTTTAGTGTGAGAGCGTGGGGGCAGTGGAGAAGAAGCTGAAGGAGATGGACCTGGAATACGTGCGGGCAATCGTGGAAGAAGGTGGGATCTATGTTGAACAACTGTTCTTCCACGACCCAGATGGGTTCATGATTGAGATCTGCAACTGTGAAAAGCTACCAGTGATCCCACTGGCAGGTGAGATGGCTCGATCATGCTCCCGAGTGAATCTGCAATTGCTGCAGAATCAACAGATACAGCAAGTGGTCCAGCAGTAAGAGCACACCTGCAGCAGCAGAGCTGAGTCATTTGACAACCATATGCTTTGTTTTTGTCATGCTTTTATCTATGTATATTCTATGTGCAAGTACTACTTTTATTAATTTTGCAATAAAGACAAGGCAGAAGTGATCATTTTGTGAGCTTATTTTAATTAATTAAGAAATGGACTCTATTCTCCAAAGTTTTCTTTATGTAGTAATTATGTATGTTCCAAAGTGTTTATGGACACTTTTAAAGATTGAAAAAAAAAAAATGAATGAAAATATTAGCTTAGAGACTTTTTTTTTCTTCATAAAATTGATAAATTTATCGTACTTATATACATTATAAGTAAACTAAAAGAAAATTATGATTCACCGCTAGCTATTATTAATTGATATACAGCGTAAACAACCATCCATGTGAGTTAGAATCAGTTTTTTGGAAACCATGTTATTTGGAATGAGACAGGAACTTCTGATATTTTCAATTTATTTACCCATCAAATTATTGTCCAAAGTATTTTGATGTGAATACGTTTAATTTGACATAGAAAAGACCTCTCATTGAAGAAGAAACAGGGTACAATATTTAGAAAGTGCCTGATTTTTGCTAGGGTTTTGATTATAATCATCAGGGTTGATTTGATTAATGATTTGAAAAAGTATTATGATAGGCAGAGAAGAGTTAAAGAGAGAGAGAGAATGTCTAAGAGTTTGGGTAATTTTATTCATATTCACGTTGAGATGTTTAAGAGTTGTTGAGAGTTGTTGATGGGGTTTTGAAGCCCACAAAATCAAAGCCCCATCCAAATTCCAGGATTTTGACGGAAGTTAGCATAGTTCCCTCGAAAGTTGAAACTTGAATTTTTTTTATTAATAAGAATTTAGATGAGAGAGGCCACCATTTTAAGATAAGAGTATGTCGCAAATTTTAATGAAAATTTATATTGAAATTATAGATTGCTCAAGTTATAGAAAAAACTTACGAAATCAAACGAAATATTCAAATTCTTACAAATTCAATTAACCTCCATCCACTAAACTTGAAATTTTGTTCCTCTGTTAAATTGTTTAAAAATTAAGGCACTGCCATGTTCTTAAAATTGATCATTGATTTGGCTTTTGATTTACGTTTGATGCCTTATGTATCTCATGTTCATACTATTACTAGTATTTATTAAAAACTAAGATGCTCAAGTTAAACAAAATCTCTTCTTTCTGATCACTTTTTTTTTTGCATTACGGACAAACATAAAATCCAATTAAGGACTCGTATATGGCATTCTTTAGAACTACTTTTCATCTATCAAGCTTTCCAGTTTAGACATGAAAGACAGAGATGGGAATTACAGGGGAAAAAAGGACAAGCAATCATCAGGAAATATAGAACGTATTACAAAACAAAAAGCTTGTATTTATAATTATATAATAATATGAAGAATTATTGTTTTACATAATTTCAACCCTTATATCATCCATATGTATCCATTCATAATAGAGAAAATTCAAGCTAAAGAAACAAATGAAACAATCGGAAGAAGCTAGCATGAAGAGGGGAATACCAGTGCAGGTTCTTGGAGATAAAAGAAGGGCAACACGATCAGAGCCCTCTAGCCAACATTTGCTCATAATTTTCAATAGATTCAATCCTCTGGAGGAGAAGTTGGTGCCTGAATTTCTGGATGAATGCCTCGGCACTTTCGTTTATGTCGACAGATGGCTTTTTCTCTAGCTTATTTGAGGCTGCAGCTGGCTTTTTCTCTGTGACATTGGACCCCGAGGCTCTATTATCTTTGAAGTTATGAACATTGGGTTCTGGGATTTTGGAGCTGTTCTTCATTGTAATTGTAAGATAGTTTTTTCTCTTGTTTTTCTTGCAGATCTCTCTTTCTTGTTAAGGTGATGGTGAGGTTTCTCCATATTTATAGAGAGGAAGTCAATTGAAAAATAGGTTATTTTAATAGGCTGCGATTCCATCTTACATTTTCTATGCAGGAGCACGCCTTAGTAGAATTTTCAAATACAAGATATCAACAAGTCAAGCCAGATGGAAAACTTTTTGGGACGTGATATCCTGAGCTGAAAAAGTATATATTCTTTTTATCCGATGATTTTTTCAATCATCTTAAATAAGTTCGGAATATAAATTTTAATATTTATAATTTTTTTATTTAAAAAAATTACATTTTTAATAATTTAAATTTCATCTAACAATTCTTATATCTTCTGTAAAAAAGAGTGGAGATCTGCAATTAAAATCCTCACTTTCCTTTATATGTATATCCCATTGTACTAAAAAAATGATGCCCTTCCTCCATTCCAATACTATTATTTCTATGTCAATTAATTGGATAAGATACTTTAGATAAAAGTTCAAATGGTAAAAGCCTAAATTTACATATTGGCAAAGGACTAACAAAGAAAGATGTTTTGGAAAACCATCATACAGCTCAACATTACCCCATTTTTAGGCAAACAAGATTCCTTATTCATATTCACTATCTAATGATAGAATTAGGGATATAAATATGTCACAAGAACTCATATGAACATTATTGTGTTTTTTTTTTACACTATTATTATGTAAATTAATACCGTAAAACATTAATAAAATTTTAAATTTCTCAAAATTATTAGTAAAATTAGAAGAATCATATATATAATTTGATAATCTCTTTCTTAAAAGAAAGTGATTGAGTAACTTGTTAGTAATAACCAAAAAAATTTACTAGAGACTAATGAGTTTTAGTAAAAAGATTTGGATAATAATAGAATGAAACTATCACACTGTTATTTCAATAATATTAGAGTCGATTTTAGAATTTAAAATTTTAAAATTTTACTTAAATCGTAATTTAAAAATAAAACAATCAAAAAACATGGGGAAACTATTACTACCTACTCTGGCAATCTTTTTTGACTTTGAAGAAAGACCTAACTCATAATTTTCTCACACGCATTTAAGTAGACAATTCAAAAGAAAATTGCGGTTTAAGAAAGGACTCGGCTGCTTGAGGCCGAAAGGTGTCCATTCAAGGTGCCATTGTTGGCGATTTAAGGACAAAACATGAACTTGCATTCCCATAGATTAATTGACAATCACAAGTCACATACATATGTGGGCATAATGATAATTGTATTATTATTTTTAAAAATTATTAGGAGTTTCAAGAGATATAAATAAAGGGGAGTACGGGCATCTATGCCTAACTGCCTAACTTGTAGAATATTCATTGTATGTAAAAAAATAATAAAAAATAAAAATAAAAATGTTCACTTTTGAAGAATTGAAATAAAAGTGGTGTGGCCATATTAATATTGCACATGTTTTTAAGTTTAAATTATGGGGTATAACAAGCTGTCACCCATATGGGCGCCCTTAAAGATAGGGTATGGCTAAATATTAGGTTTGGTGGTGATGTTATTTTATTCCATGTAATTAGAAAATAAAAGATTAGTGAATCAAATGCTCAGATGATTCATTTCATTTTCCAAACAAAATAAATTAGAAGAGAGATTTTTGAATGAAATTTTAACTAATAAATACCTAATGCATTAATTTTTATATAAAGTATACCTTATCCCAAACCCATTCATGCTAATGGAAGGATCAGTTAAGTTGTATATAATTGGTGATCTTTATTTGTTTTATGAGGACTAGAGCTAGCAACCAAGAAGCAACTAAATCTGCATTAGATTTTCAGATTAACACTTGAACATTCTAGGAGTGAGTTTGAGCATGATCCGAAGATACCTGCTTTAGCAAAAGAAATTGTATAAAATTTAAAGGGAGGTGCGTATTTAAGATTGATACAATTACAAATGTCGTGATCATCCAAATTAATTCTCCTCAAGTTTCCAATTACCAAAATTGTACTAGCATTGAAGCTCGACAGATTTTCCCCCTTTGGCTTACACCAAAGCATTCGAATGTCGTGTCTAAAAAAGTATCCTAGAACGAAAATATAAGAAGTTCACACAAATCTCTACCAAATCCACCTTCAAAGAAATGCCAAACCTTTCATCCTTTTACTTAACACTTATACATCCTTTCATCCTTTTTACATCCTTCCTCAAATCCAAATCTAGAAGCAACTTCCTCAAGTCAAACTCTTGCACAATTTCAAAGAAAGGAATATTTCAACCCAAAAGGAAAAAAAAGTGATTTATTTTTGGCTTCCAACTTATTATGATAAAGGATTGTCTAGTAGGAAAGAGAAGTTCATTTTCTTTGCTTGATACAATTTAATTTTTCCGAAATAAAATTTTAAATACGTCAAATTAATACGATAAAATGTATTTTTAAAATCATTAAAAAGTAAATAGATCTATATATAATATATATTTATGATTTCAAAAGTCCAAAATGATTTGTAATGTGACTTTCCAATATTTTTTGAGAAAAGGTTTTCTTCACTATTTCAAAAGTAGTGAAAGTTTCACTACTTTATTTAAGGATCTATAATGCACATTTTCTTCTAAATCTATGGTTAATATTATTTGAATCATTTTTATTTTTTTAATTATTTTTGTATTTTATTAAAATAATTAAATTTCAACTATAAATTTAGATGAAGATATATTATTAACTCTTATATAAAATAGTAGAAACTTTCACTATTTTTTAAATAGAGAAAAGGATCTTTTCTTATATTTTGTAAAAAAAAAAAAAAAGAAAAGAGTAGGTTTTCTAGGCCCATCGGAAGCTCAAATTCAGAATAAACCAAACTGATCCCAAAAGAAAAGTTGAAAAAGAAACCCAAGACCAAGACAAATTCAAGTCAAGCTGAAATTGAGGCCCAATCTTAGAATCCAATAGTAATGAACAAACAGTTGCCATTCGGCCATTGCCCTTAAACCCTTTAGCTTCAAAAAACCCTCCTCTCGAACCGTGAAATTACGCCCACAGGCGACCATGGAAGTATTTCACAAATTCTCACTTCGTCTCTTACCGGCAACTTTTAGCCTGAACCCCGCCAAATCAGCCCCGCTGTATCTTTCGACCAGAATACCCGTTTTGAGACCCACATTTCCCAACCTGGCCCCACGCTTGATTCCCCCGAAACCTCTTTCTTCCTCAGCGGTTGCCAAAGCAGGTTGGTTTCTGGGTCTTGGAGAAAAGAAGAAAACGAGCTTGCCCGAGATAGTTAAAACGGGTGATCCGGTTTTGCATGAACCGGCCAGGGAGGTTGACCCGGCTGAAATTGGGTCGGAGCGGATACAGAAGATAATTGATGATATGGTTCGGGTTATGAGGATGCCTCCTGGTGTTGGTCTTGCAGCTCCGCAAATTGGAATCCCATTGAGAGTTAGTTTTTCAAACTATCCATTTTTGGGTTTTTATTAATATCATTCTTATTGTTCTTCTTTTAACAAATTATGACATATTTGTTAATAATTGCTTAAGCTCTGTTTTTTATTTTTTGTTTTGGTTCAAAGTTTAGGCTTTGTTTGATCATTGGTTTTACTTTCATTTTGCTTTGAAAAGAAAAAAAAAAGGCAAAATAAATAAAGATGTGACTTTTTGAGCTTAACAAAATATATGATTTTATTTATATATAGAATGAGTAATGTTACATTTTAGTCTAACATTTTGAGGAATTAAAAAAGAAAGTGAGAAAAGCAACGATGCAATCCCTTCCCTTATCTCCGGGTTACCGCATACTTTGTACACAAAGCCTTGATCAATGGAATCGTTGTTATTATATGTTGTAGCTTGAGTTAAATTATACCTTACCAAGCAGTGCTTCATAAAAATGAAGTTGCTATAACTTTGTTATATATTTTGCAGATCATAGTGTTAGAGGATACAACAGAATATATTAGTTGTGCGCCCAAGGAAGAGATTAAAGCGCAGGATAGACGCCCTTTTGATCTTCTGGTATGTTAATTTATGTGAGAATAGAGAACATGTGAAAATTGAAATGATATCTGCAGTGCTACTGATCCAAAAGTTTTTCACTTTACTATTAAGATTTATTAGTTCTTTTGAGTCAGGTTATCATAAATCCAAAGCTTAAAAAGAAGAGCAATAGGACTGCACTATTTTTTGAAGGTTGTTTGAGGTAAGATTGTAATAGTGAATTCCAAAAGTCCACAATTTTTTAGTATTACTTTTGCTTCTTCCGACTTGTCTGTTACTAATACAAAGTATCTTAATAATCTTTGACATTTATTACGTTGTTCTTTTTGTAAAAAATTTAATTTTTTTAAGGACAATTCTTTGGATGATTTTCCATAACTACTTAATGGTGGGACAAGGGGTAGGAGAGTTAGCATCCCTCCCACCCAACCCCCACTCCTTTTTTTCTTCTTTGTCCTCTTGTTATGTTCTCAAAGCAAAAAAGAACTTGTGACTCCAAGGTCGTCTTAGCATATGGCCAAAAAAAAAAAAAGATCATGATATTAATGAAGATGGTCTTGATGTGTGCTAGGATGACTTTGAATACATTGAACTTTAAATGAGAATGACATAATCAAGCTAGTAGAATATCGTTTCATGAGATCATAACATAAACTTTATGGTGTCATTTATGAACGTAGCTGCTTCCTCATTAAATCCATCTTAGTCCTTGGATAATGGGCTTTACTGATATATATATATATATATATAAGGAAACTTTGGACAACAAACCTGGGATTAAAGAAATATTATTCTTGACTGCTTAAGCTGGTATCTTGAATAATCATTTATTCAAACTCATGGTTTCGGTCCAGCTTATCCTTGAGCTGAAAATAAAGAAGCTTAGAGTCCTTTCTCATAGCCAAGCTAAACTATTAATCCGTTCTGGATATGGACATTTCATGCACGCTGAAGAGTCACTAGGGGATTTTGAAATTATAAACTCTGCCAACACAATGGGAGTATTTAAATTCTCCTCAATGTCATTTTCTTGCTTAATTTAATTTAATATTATTTTATTATAGTTAGGATAGTCTATATCAGAGTGACATAGTTGTGTTAGTAGTGTAGGTTTGAAATGTGCTTTGTTGGTTTCCTTAAGACATTGAATTAGTTAATTAGTCAAATTTACATGATTCTAACCTGAAATTTTACCAAAATGCAGCTGAATTTGACATCTAACAATGCCACTTTCTACTTTCTTGTATGTTCTCATGTGAGAAAACAATGCTGAAAATCTGAAACTATCAAATGCTTGATGATCTCAGAATAGTTTTACTAGTAGTATAAAATTATTTAGGATGGTTGCACCGTTTGAACCAACTTATAATTACCAATTATAAGGTGCACAAAAGAGTAGGTGACAATTTAAAATTTCAATGCGAACCTTGACATGATGCTTACAGAGCTTTAAATTATCTCTGGTTGTAATCTTGTATCTATTACCTTACTGTCATATTGCAGTGTTGATGGATTCAGAGCAGTTGTGGAGCGACAACTTGATGTTGAAGTCACAGGTTTGGGTCGTGATGGCCAGCCTATCAAAGTCGATGCTTCAGGCTGGCAGGCTCGCATTTTGCAGCATGAATGTGATCATTTGGATGGAACACTCTATGTAGATAAGATGGTCCCAAGAACATTCAGAACTGTTCAAAATTTGGACCTGCCTCTTGCTGAGGGGTGTCCACAGCTTGGTACCCGCTAGCGTCCAGTCCAAAGACGCACGAGAAATGAAGGCTTAAAGCTAGTTTATGAGGCTTCAAAGTAATAGATATGGTTTCTGGTTACACCTCTCATTCAAGTTGACAGCATTGGAAGTCAGTGTTCAAGGATTTCCTTGAATGGAATGCAGAGTCTATTCATTCACGGCATTTTAAATATTTGGGTTTGAGCTGTTCATGCACTGCAGACTAATTCAAAGAAAGTATCCGTTTAGTGTTGAATGCTCTTTCCTCTGAATTCAGGGTTGTACTTTTCTTCTGTACAAGGAGATTTTCAAACTCTAGATTTATACTCAATCCCTGTGTCATGCTTACCACTTGAATCCAGCCAAATAACTACCACTCAATCCCGTACTATTTCATTTTCATGAAAGCAATATGCTAAATATTTTGCTTTGCAAAGTGATCCCATTTAAGAGGTTCAAAAGTTGTCCACTTGTTTATTAAAATACAGCTTTCATAAACAATGTCAAATTCTTGAAACCAAATACTGGTAATTATGAGCGATCGATTTGTTGATGCACTTAATTGCCTAGAAGATAAATATATAAACATTCAAAAATTCAGAAACTATTATACAAGAATATTCCCACTTGGTGTAGTAAAGGAGAACTACATTATCATCTTTGCTCGTAGGATAATTACAATCTTAGATCAACTGCATCTTAAGGGACTATAATTTGCTATTTTGCCGTGATATATATATTTTTTAATGTGGTAATGTACCTGTGTAATTCTCGTAGCAGCTCTTATATGCTCTTTTGTCTATTAGGTGGGTTGTCAAGAGAAACTTGCTGAACATCCAAACGGTGTTTTCAGAGTTTAAGAAAATAAAGCCCTGCAGCAGAGCTCTAGAGATTCTGTCCTTGCTGACTCCAACATGGTTGGAAAAATGTATTATGATCTCTGCTCAAAAGGAATCAACAGCCAGGACAGAAGGAACTTTCTGCTTAATGAAGCTGTCAGGGCATTTCAGGCATGAAGCAGGCTGCACTAGACCAGAACTTGAGCCATAAGCTTCCCAACAAAAAGATTTAGTTACGCCCCCAGTGTATGATACAAGTTGAATATCTTCCAAATATAATCCTTCACATGGCAAGCTGTCACTGCAAGCAAATCTTATTGCTTCTTCTGTAGCTGAAGTTCCTTTAATGTGCACAAAGGATATATTGTCCACTTTAACAGCCAGTGTCTGCATTCAGATTAATTGTTGACACAATTACCATTACATGAATCTAAGACCTCAAACCTCCATCAAGAAAATTCTTAGGGTAGTAACATTGACAATGAATACTTCCAAAAGAATCTGCTGTAAAGTGTCCCAGAATTACGATCAGGACTTCATTTGTGCAATGGTAACTATTGTTAGCGTCTATGCAACAAATATAAACCCTCGGATGATATAGAGTGTTCTCTCTCCCCTTCCCCCAGGGAAAAAAGAGGAAGAAGAAAGGAAGAGAAGAAAACTTTGGAGGGGATGAATTCTTTATAACTACTTTACATTTCATTGAATCAAAACCAACCAGAATTGTGCATTCAGAAAACCACTTATTCTAATGACAGATTTGTGTTTAAGGCCAAAGGAGGCTTGGCACCGCCCTTGCCCAAGCAAATCTCCTATACCCACTCTTCCATGCTATATTCTATTGTTATAACAAGCTCTTCACTTACTCATTCCCTACCCCATCTTAACCCCACCAAAGCACAAAACAGGAAAGTGTAAGCCTGTTAGACATTTTATGTATTCCAATGATCTGATCTGTGATTTCTATGCTCCAAATCCTAGTTTTTCCAACCAAAGTATATTCAGAAGTTAAGATTTGAGAAAAGTCACATTTTAACTTGTCTTTCATACTTTATACTACCTTTTTCTGGATCATCTTTGTACAGAAGACAACAGGTGGGGAACAACTCGATTAAAGAGAAAAAAAATCTACCAAATATAAAGTTTATTTTCTAGGCATATTCATTATTAAATTCTTCGGAGGGTTCAACTATTATACAGAATTCATACCTGGTTAGCACATGGCAGGTCTGAATCACAGTAATATTGATCAATTATGATAGGATATGATACATTGTCCATATATACATTCTGGAACTTCATATTGGAGGCATAACCGCTACCTCCCTGGCAAAGATAAAAGAAAACACAGATTCATCAAGCATAAATTCCCTAGTAACTAATCCCATTTTCCACACACATGAACATAAGGCAAAGACATTTATGAGAACTTGGTGCTACCTGCCATGTTTTGATCCGCACCCCATTCTCAGTGTTTGAAATGAAAGCTCCATCAACAAGTACATTATGAACCTGATCCCATGAGTTTGATTTTCCCAAGCTTCCAATGCTAATGGGAGCACATCAAAGTTAATTAACTTACTCATGCTAACCCTAATCTTAACCACTGTGAAAAATGATTTTACCTTACACCATGGCCAGGCCCACAGGCAATGTTTCTGATTTTGACATGGGAAGAATTGCTAACTATTGAAATGCAGTCATCTCCTAAAAGAATATTTTGTGTATAAAATCAACATAAGAAACTCCAATAGATGTAATCATGAAACGAGGATGTAAGGTGTTATATTTTACTTGATTAATTACATACCACACTGGAAAGAACAAATGAAACTGAGACCTCTACTTAAAATCAAAAGACAACATCATGTACTAATCTTTAACCTTATTGTGCCACTTGTGTTATTCTAAATATGATCATCTTAAGGTAATCATCAGTTCTCAATACAGACACATTAGTAGCAAACATTTTGATTCACAATCACTTTGTTCTACGGTACTTCATAAGCTGAAACCATTAAAATCAATGGCATTTCTAATAAAGTATAGTCCAACTACTATTTCAAAGTTCATACATCTAAAAGCTGTAAAACAAAATAAAAAGATGGAAAAGGAAAATTATTATTGCTAGGAGCAAAATGTTACAGCAAAAATGAGTGCAGAACCAACCTGTTCTGACAATGCTATTCTTGACTTCAACACCACGGGATGCACTGATGTGGATTCCATCAGTATTAGGGCTAGTTGCTGGTGCTATCACTTTAAGATTGGATACTGTAACCCTTCGACAATTAGTAAACGCTATGTGCATCTGTTGACTGTTGACAACCATAACATTGTGGACTTTCAAATTCTTGCACTTATGGAAAGTCAAAGCCTGCATTTCGTTTGTAATACTGTATTAAGACCTGAAAATAATTCGGAAAACATAACATTCTCAGGGAGATACTAGCAAAAAATAAGATATATGGAACTAACTATCATTTCTCAAGTAAGAATGGAGGACATACAGTTGGAGCATGCCGACATGGCTGCAACAAAAGAAATTGAAGCCACTTTAATGACAGTTCAGAGAAAAAACTGAGAAAGAAAAATAGATCCAAAAAATTGGAGCATCCGTACGTTTGTTTTGTTTCTTTTGCACGAATGAGCCCACCATTCCTGTCCCATCCCATTGATAGTCCCTCCCCCAACTACATGGAGGTGGTTCACCTTTTGAAAGTAGAGCCACTTACGAGGATTCAAACCATCCCATTCATCAGGACTTTTGGGAGCAATAATGGTACCATAGATCTATTAAAACACAACTCCAAGCAATGACCAGATGGGAAGTCAAGTACTACTATAAGGAAGAGAAATATTAGGAAAGAAATGTAGCTTATAACTTTGAACGATCTCACTCGGATAGCTTACCATCAACGTGATCTTTGATTTGCAAGGCCCACCAAGCTCAACAGGATGAACCAGATAAGTAAACCCAGCTGGTATTAAAATCCTAGTTCGGACTGGGAAAGAACATGCTATCTTCCAGGCAATTTCGAAAGCCTAAAACATGAATAATATTATGATATCAGCAAAGAATTTTATGTTGGTCATTGCTATATCAATGACCCTTATTAAATAAACCAGACTTCAGGAAGAAAAGCAGATAAACATATTTTAAAGATTAAAAAAATACAAATGGCTTTTATTTGGTGAACTAAAACGTGTGCAAAATAAAACCATTGGCCCTATAACATCATAAATTGCTCCATATAAAGTAAATCAGCTCACCTAATTATTCAAGAAGTTCTCATGATCGGAGAATCTTCGCATATAATTCTATCCAAATTGCAAAATAAATTAATTTTCACCTACATTATTAACCAATCCATGAATACTATTCTGAAAAACAAAGCTTGAAAGGATATTACATCCACCTCCATCCCCCAAACATTCTGAAATTATTCCAAAATGAGATAACTCTGTCCTGAAATTTCTGCCTATGATCAATAAATTTTTCAATTACTCAAAACTTTCCAATAAAAGGGTACGATTTAACTCACAGTTACACCAAACAAGATGCATCATAGCATTACTTACTAATTAAAAGACTCACCATTTCAAAAACAAATAGATATTTTGAAGACATAAAATTGTTACCTTGGTGTCATCATGGTAACCATCTCCTTTAGCACCAAAATCACCAACAGAGAGAACCCCTTTAGCTCTGGGTCCGATTCTTGGTGACCCAGATCGTGGAAGCTGCAAGAGTGAGTCAAATTGAAAGCCTTTTGAATGTACTACAAAATTGGAACAGATTAACATAGAAATGTAAATGAAAACAAGAATTGTACATGTTGAACATGAACACAAGAAGCCCATGTTCTTCATGTTCTGTTAATAGAACATTAAAACAAGAAAGAAAGAATAGCTGTTAAAGATTTGCTTAATGATGAGGCTTTAGAATAACCTAGGAAGCTTCAAAATGTCGGATGTTATGCGGTTTCTTTACTATAAATATAGATTCCTTTTTCTGTTTTTTTTGTTTTGAGACTCGGGCAAGGTTGTTGCGAGAATGTTGACTTGGTTGGGGGTGAACGGTGTCGGTCTAAGACTCCGGAAAGGATTTTTTTTTGAAAAAAAAAAATATATATCAAACAAAACGAGAACTCATCGAAATTCAAGCAGAGGTGGTGATGGGTAGAGTCAGGCTAAGATTAAATTTATTGGATCTATATTTAGTATTAATAATTTATATATTTATTTATATTTGATTTGATTTTTTAAATTTAAAATTTTTTTATACTTGATTTAAATTAAAAGAAATAAATTTTCAATTTATTTGATAAATTTAATTTATATAATAAAAATTAATTTTTTAGATAAAATATAAAAATTAATATATATATACTTATATAATTATAATATTTTAATTATATATTTTTTATTCATATTGCATTGGGCCAACGTCGAATTTAAATTTTTTTAATATTCATTTTAAAATTTAAATGAATTTAAAAATTATATTCATTCTTTTAATTTTTTATTTAATTTTTTTGAAATTTAAACAAATTTTTTAATCTGATTGAGTAATCCAACTTTTAAATAAATCTATTTCAAAATTTAAATTAAATGATTCATTTAGGTTAAATTTTTATAAAATTAAAGTTGATACTCGTTATTTATATTGTTTTAAAATTTTTTTTAGATTTTAGTCGCTTAAAAAAAAAAAAAAAACTCCACCTTACTTCCTACTTCTATCAACTCATTAATAGAAAAATATTGAAATTCAAATTTGGTTATTTTAAGTCAAATTTAAAGAAATGTATCTCAAATCTAATAGAAACTTTTAAAATTTTTAAGAAAATGAAATTTTGATACAAAGACCCAAGTTTTGACTAAGATGCAGTGTGCAGCCTTGCACAATGCATCAAATAGCCAAAGATAAAAAAAATCATACAGTAATTTCACAATTACACAATTGGGAACAAGATGATTGAGAAAATAAAAATTATATAATTTTATATACAATGTTTGTTTTATGCAATTTAATAGCCCAAAAAATGTTCAAGAGATTATTATCGATTGGGATCAAAGAATTAATTATCATATGGTTTGATCATCTATTTAAAATTATACGATTAAATCTATTTATAATATATAAAAAAAAAAATTTAAAATAAATTTATGATTGATATTAGTAAAAATTTAATGCTAAAGAACAATAAAAATAAAAAATAAATATTCATTTGTTAATCGAATCTTAATCATTTTAAATATATATTAAAAAAGTAAAAAATCAAATATACTTTGTTTGTCAACAGCGATAAGAGCAACCAAATATGCGCTGATTAGCTTTGAAGCTTCGGAGTACTTTCCGACTCGATGATCAATTGGTAAAAGTGTTCACATTTAGAATTGGGGCCGACAATCTTTGGTTCGCCATCTATCATTTTACATGCAACATGCACCTCCTCATCACCATATGATTATATCAAGGCTTTGGTAAAAAACAATGTCATGTCGTCGATGGGCCAATGCTAGCTACAATCTGATTTTATTTGGATTGAGATTGACAGGGACCCTAAGCCACTGTAGAACGTCGATTTTCACACCACAGTAGTTGAACCAACTAGACACGAGAGCAACATCAAACCGTGGATGATGTAGACCTTTATTCTGCCCAATCTCTCTGGCCAGAAGAAATAAGAAACCAGAAATCTGCATCTAAATTTCTTACTTCCCATGTTATAAAAATAATTTTGATAAATAAATAAATTATTATATTTTAATTATTATACACATCAAATATAAAATAAAATTATTTTATTTTATTTATAATATTATCTTATCATATTTTATTATAATCTTGTGTATCGAATATATTATTTTTTTTATTTTTTTAATATAATAAGTTTGGTTTAATTTTTTAGAGGATTAAAAATGCACTTCTTTAGGTAGGTTTAGTTTAGGATTTTTTTTATTTTTAATTGTTTGTATTGTTATTTTTAGATGAATTTGATTAAAAAACAGAAGATGTAAAGTTACCCTTTGTTACAAATAGGTAGGGAGGTTAATTAAGGTTGTAAATAAAATGTTTTGAAAAAAGTGGCAAACTCCAATGAAATTACCATTTTACATTTAGCATTTAACATCTATTGGGGATATATGGCTGAGAATTTCTCACCTATGCATATTTAGGACAGAGTAGGATTGATTTGTGATTGCGTTTTTCCTTCAATTTGGAGAAGGATTGCCTGATTTCAAGACACGTGAGAGAGGAGACAATGGAGTTCTGGGCAAACATCCCGACTCTTATCGCCTTGTTTCTTTTGTTTTATCAATTCAATTATTAGAGGTCGACATCAGGTCATGACGAAATGAGAAGCATATATACGCTTCCGCTTCATTTGAGAGCTCGATTGAATGTTTCAATCACATTAAATTTTGTGTTTTATGATTGAATAGTTAATATTAAAATTTTAAAAAAATTTAATTTATTAAAAAAAAATGACATAACAATAATCATATCGATAAAAAAATAAAATAAAAAGTGTGACATAAAAACATGCACTTAATTAAATAAAAATTATTCAAATAAAAAATATATTTTATCGTATCGTATAATCAAAATTTTAGTAGTAATAATTTTCCAACGTTTGTTTTTTGATTCGAATGGTTAAAAAATTTAATTATATTTAAATAAAACATTGATTTTGAATATTATAAATAAAAAAACAACGTTTTGAAAATTTACTTTCTTATGAGATTTTTCTTATTGATTTCGAATTAATCGAAATTTAAAATAATTATCAAACATTTAAAAATCTCAGACAAAATAATAATAATAATAATAATTTCCAACTAAAACATTAGAGATTATGAACATCTCCAGTTAAAGAAGACTCGAAAGTCATTGTTTTCCCTTTTAAAACATGTTTTGTCTAATTGAGATTTCAAGAGTTTGCTAATAATTAAATAGTAGAATGTTAAATTTGTAATTTTAATGATTAAAAAGTAATATATTTAGTTAATTAAAGAAAAAGACTTCAAGAATTTTTTGAACGTTAATATGAATGGCTTCAACTAATTTTTAGTTTAATGATAAGATTCAAGATCGAATTTTAGTCAAAACTTGTTAGGTAGGTCAATGGGGTATTACCAACTCCTTTGTAAAAATAAAATAAAATAAAATAATTAAAGAATGAAATCACAAAGTTCTTCAGCTTTGGAACAACAAAAAGGAAAATAGCAGGGTATTTAATAATTCATAAGATTAACCCAACCATCATCCCCTTCCTAACCAGTGGTCATTTAAGGACATTTCTGAGATGCTAATAATTTGGTTCAATTAGAAGAAAATTAATAAAACTAAGATGTAAAACTTTAATGACAGTGCAAAAGAATCAATCAACCAACAAACTGGTGGCAACCTGGTTAAAGGGTCCACTCTCCCCTGTTTGATGATCCCCAGAATTCCTGAAATTTTCTGCCAAAGAAAAACAGAACAGAACAGGGGAGAGATTCTCTTGCAACCTCACCCTTTTTCTACAAATTAATATAGAGAATTACAGATTCCCAACACCCCACAAATTTAAATCCTGTTATATATTTCCATTAGGAAGGAATCTTAAAAGAATCAAAAAGAAAAAAATAATAACAAAGATAAAAGTAGATCAAATCAAACCCAAGATGCCAGAGATGCCTTGCTTTGAGAAACAAAGAAAGGGAAAAGAGTGTGAAACAAGATTTTGCCTTTTGTGCATGTGAAAATTGTCTCAACAAGAACCAAAATTAAAACATTTACAGATTATTTTAATTACATATATCCACCCAAACCACAAAATTCTGAATGAAACCGAAACAAGAAACATTAACAGAATTAAAAAAATAAAAAAAAAAAGATCAAAGCTTTAAACACCTAAAGAAAAGACATCCATAAGCCGTTTTGTTTCTTTCTAAAAATCCCACATCTCAGTTCATTGAGATGGACTTGAACTTGAAGACAAAAACATATCATCTTGATCTACGCTTACCAGGCTTTTTCCTATGATTCTTGGTATGTTTCCCAAAAGCACTGCATAAACCACAAGCTGAAACCTTCGGAGAAGGCGGGTCAATAGCAGGGGACACCTTACCAGTACGGTAACCTCGTCTTTCACCATTGGATTGGCTTCTTTCGATGGTATTGATTGGAGTTGGAGCAACGTTTCTTGTCGGCTTAACATCCTTGATAACATCAAATTTTTCTGGGTTATTCTCTTGCGGCTGCCCTTGGTCATCTTGCTTCGTTTCTCCTTCTTCTTGTTCTTGTTTCACTTGGTTTAACTCCTCTGACAAAAACCTGTCATCCCAAACAAGACCTGAAGATCCTTGCCTCCTAAAAGACACTGCCGATCTTTGCAAACCATCCATGGTAGAGGGCAGCTCTCGCTAGATCTTCTTTCTTTTCTCTCTTTAATGAAACAAAAGGCTAATTCCTTATGTAAATTCCAACTGGTTGCACTTGCCAATAATCCTTCATTTATATACGGAAAGGGACAAGACTAGAGAAATCTTGAATATTTGGTTAAGAAAAAGTCATAATAAGGCAACTCAGTCAATATTTCCAAGTTTTTTCATAATTTTTTTTTCTGTCAAATGTTACCGTTGATGAGAAAAAGGGAATTCGGTGAATTTTGGATTAAAATATTTGTCTAATTGTAAAAGTTTATACTATAAAATTAATCATGCAAAATTGTAGTCATTATTGTTTAATATTTTGTTGACTTTGCTATAAAAAATATATTTTGTTTTTTTCGATGTATAATAATTAAGATTTAATTAGGTGGATGTAAATTTTGATTATGACAATATGAAAAAGATTTGTATGAAATTTTTTAAGTTAAGTTTTTTTATTTAAAATTATTAAATAAAAAATTTAAATTGATAAATTAAAAGGCTTTATTACATTGTAAAATTAAAAAAAATTAATTTTATATATGTTTTTATAAATATTTTAATAAAATTTGTATAAAATGTTTACTATTAATAAATACTAATCAAATTTAAATTATAAATTTTATTTTTTATTTTTTTCCATATTACTGATTTTTTATTAAAATTTTCAATTTATCAGTTTAAAATTTTTATTAAATTGTATCTAACAAAAAATTTTACAAATTTCACTTAAAAATTTTTATCTAAAATTTATACCTAACATTGATGATTTGTCCTTAATCCGCAAACCTTCTAAACAAAGGACCAATGGCAAAGGACAACTTATTATCACTTAATGCTAATAATTAATTTTGCAAAGCTTTTTGGCTAATTAATACTAGTGGAAAAGTAAGATCAATTGTTAAATTGGTAATTATATGAATAGTCATTAATATTGTCAATCAAGACACATGAAAATTATATTAATTATTATAGCTTGGCATCATTCACTATGTTTTAATTATACATCATGGATTCATGATCTTTATAATTTACCTCTCTCCCTAAGTATACAAGATATTTGAAAGGGTAGTTAACTCTACGAAGGATGCTACTTTAACTTTAATTACTTAATTGACTCTTGTATAGATTTGAAGTAGATATTATAGATTTTTATTTTATTTTTTTAGAGAAAATCTGGAATTCTTGATCATATAGAATAGTTTGGAAAAATCTCAACGAAAATAAAATCAAACATATCTTACCCTTGACTTATTTTTAGTTTTAAGGTTTTTTAAAACCACTAAAAGGAAGAAAAAAAAATTATATTATCAAAGCATATCTGGTCTTACCCTTCACTCAATTGATCATGATGCATAAGGAAAATACTATTTTTCCCATTAATTTTTGTCCCATCACACTTGTTCTTTGTCCCTCTTAATGTGTTAATAATTTTGACGTTTAAATGTAATCATTAAACTTAACCATGTTTTGATGGATCTTACCTTTGAATATATCCAATAATCAATGTCATTCTTTGAGAATAAAAATATTTAGGACAAAATTGATGGGACAAGTGGCATGTTACATTCACTAATTACTTAGGAGGGAAACTTACCTCGAAAGACATTTAGTCAAAAGTCTTACGTGCTAGCTGGGCACCATCTTGACATATCTCTGTCATGATTATGATTTTTGGCACATTGTTAATGCTTAACAAGGTTGTTTTCTTTTACTGTTTGCAAGTTGGTATTTCTTTTTTATCTTTTCAACTTTTTGAAAAAAATATAATGTTGCTTATGGAGTTTTTCCACTTCATTTACTATAATTGGGTTCTGAATAATCCATGGAAATTAAATTATATTAAAAGACATTTTTTTTACAAAGAATGGAAAAATAAATTATAATTATTGAAAATGAAACTTCAATTTTATTGAAACAGAGATGAATCATTCCAATTAAATTTTAAATTTATTATTCTCGAGGTGTTTGCTTATAATCAATTAGCACTTTCAATATGTTGTGAATAAGTTGAAATGTATTTAAAGCAAATACTCGCCATAAATAAAGTTAAAGGCATATCGCTATTTAATAAGTTACCATCTTTATAAGATGTGTAACACTGTTGTCTATTATGGTGGGATTAACTCTCAAGCAACCATGTATTTAGAAATGAGAATTTTCATTTTATTTTTAAGCGATAATCAAATTTTGAGACAAAATGAGCATATGTAATATCTAGACAAAGGTAAAAATAGGCAAATTGAGTTGAGTCTTTGATAAGAATTTGCAAAGGCCAACCGAGCTTAATTTAATTTTGTATTCAACTTAAAAGATACCTTTAATTAAATTTAACAATTTAACAATTTATATCATATAAAATATTAAAATTTATGTAATTATATTATATTTTATATAAAAATTACGTATTATAATTTTTATTGATTTAAACATATAAAATATATATTTGATTTTATTAAATTTATATATAATAATTATTATTATAAATTTAAAGCATATAATATTTATGTTTTATTTTTATATCATATTCGTATCATGTTATAATTTTTAACAAAAATTTGTAACCTCACCCATGTAAAAAGCAAAGGGGAAAAAGAAAGAAATTGATGGTCCACCTCTTTTAATTACGTTCATTATTGGGGTGTTGAAATTTTGATTAAAAAAAAAGGTAATGAAATTTGATTAATGTAAAATGTGAAGTCTAAAACTTTATCAATATCCCTAGTCTCCATAATTGTCCTTGTCATCTTTGATCATCACATTATCAACAACATTATCATTGAACACCCATTTCTTTGTTTTTAACAAAATTTACAACAAAATTAAAGCTATGCGGTGCCATGATTGATCAAATAATAAAAAAGAAATGAATCAAACGTATTTTTAGGGGGGGGGGGGGGGGGAAGGGGAGGGCTCAATGATAATGACAATACAAAGTAGCTTGACCTTTTATTTGTCCTTTACAACTATGAAGCTAAATGTCATACTTAAAGAAATTGGGAACATGCTTGTGTGATTCGTTGAAAGTTTGTTTTGATTTAGATTCTATGGGGTTTGAAAAAAAAAAAATTAGTGTTTTTAGCTCATCATTTATATGTTGAACACTTATTTCTTTAGCAATATGCCGTGTAAAATTTGTATTCGCTCTTGACGGCGGCAGGCACTAAACTCAAGAGGCCCCCTCAAGTATACTATTGCCGATATGGTTTTTTTTTTTTATAAATATTATATACATAGATACATTAAATACGTATTTTTAAAAAATATATTTTTTTCCAAAATTTTAAAATATATTTAAAATATATTTTCGTACCATTCTCATTTTATATTATTATATTATTTTAATAGTTAAAAATTTGTTAAAATTTTAAACATAAGTGAGATATATTAATTTATTAGTTTGAAAGAAAAACTATGCATTAGGACCAACCATCTGATTAAAATATATTATTTTATGAGGGTGTGGATTATGCTTGGGATTAAGGTAAAAAATTATCATTGCATCGTGAGTTAATATTATACTTTGCTACTGTAATCAATTTCGTAGAATCTTGTTATTTTATTCTTCATTTTGTCCACTTTTTGATAAAAAATAATGAAATTTATGAAAATTTACTATTTGAATTGAGAGAATATTTCGTACAATATTTAAAATTTAATATTTTTGTCGAAAAATCAACAAAATTGTAAAGTATAGCAAACAATTTTACCATTTGCGTTAACATCATATTTTCATTTCATTATTTTTTTCAAAAATTAAGAAATTAAAAGCTTAGTCCTGACCAAAATTAAATAAAATTAAAATATAATTTAATATTCAATCTTAACATAACGATTAATTATATGTTTAAGATTGCATGTATTTGTTTTTAGGATTTTAAAATTATCTTTTTAAAAGTGTGATTATGTGATATTTGATACTTTAAGAGTCTATCATTTAATTATATGTTGCTATGTCATAAATGAGCAAATAGAAAAGTTGAAAAGCTAATAAATTTTAATTTGAAGAAATTAGTTAAAATAAATATGAAAGTTGGAAAGGCTGAGTTTCTAGGTAAGGGGTTCTTAACCAAAGACAGATAACCACTATACTAGTTGCATTATACTCAGCTTTCATAGCTTTTTTTTTTTTTTTTTTTTTTTTTTTTCAATTATCAAAAAGAAAAAATTTCTTGAAGATTAATATTTTCAAAATAATAAAAAAAGGCATTGAGGAAGATTAATGGCGTGGTTTGACAGGTTGCCCAATGTATGATGGGTCACCAAGGAAATATTTAAACAATAAAAATGATACTTCTGTGCTTGGGATGCAAAATTAATGGATATCTTTACTAGATTGGAGAGTTCACAGAGATAAGAAAATTTTTTTAGGCATAAAAAAAGTTTTTATAGAAAATAAAATAAGAAATTTATTAATTATTTTTTTAGCTAAACAAATAGTATAATTTGTGAATTTTATTTAAAGGACTTATAAACTTTTATATTTTCTAATTTATAACGTGGTAACATGTAACTATTGCCATTAATCATATATAAAATTAATATATTATTAGTGTATCAAACATAAATTTATTTTTTTAATTTTTTAATTTTAAAAATAATATTAAAACCCATAATAATGCGGCTAGTGATCTATGAATCAATGATGGCTGCATAACATATTAAAGCCCCAAAAGCCTAATACAAAAATTTATACATTCAGTGGCGCTAATTTTAAAATTTTATAAATCACCCGCCAAAACTACTAGATCCAAGGAAACTTGTTTCTCCTCCATGCCCAGTACAAAATCTCGCGTTTCCTCTTCTTCCAAACACCCAAAATAGGTGCTTACGCTTCATTTTCTCTAAAACCTATTTTTACTGTTTTCTCAACTTTTTCAGGCTTCTCTTTTTACACTGTTCTCAAAGCATTATCGCAAATTTGTTTTTATCTATACTTTTTAAATTATCCAAAGCGTTCGATGAAATGTCTCGATAAATATTGAATTTTGAAGGTAAAATAGAGTTGAAGGGGCAGTGAAAGTTTTATCCTTAAGAAGATGCACGGGAGAAAGGCGTACGAACTGGTGAAAGAGCTTGCCAGTGGTGAAAAAGGGCATCCCAAGATTTTCAACGTAAGGCTACTTGCTTGCTTGCTTTTATATACAGATTATTCTTCTCGCACATTTAAAAATGTTTCAGAAATGAATGAACCTATTTGCTATGATGTAATTGAAAATTTGCTTGGTAATGGTGGGTATGCTTCTTCTCCTTGAATTTGGGTGGTTATGCATAAGTATTTGCTCAAGATATAAAAGCTTTGAAGATTGACTGTTTGTTTCCTAAAGCATCATTACCTCTGTAAGATCCATGAGGATTTTGCACGTTTTGGATATTTAAGGCTATTAGTAATTTGGTATGGATATGTTCTTTATATTTTCGGTATAAATTCAAGATCTTTCGCATGCCAACAACATGCTACCAGCGTAAAGGCCTCAAATTTTGAGCACATTTCCTTTATTTCCTATGTGAAATGATGAGAGAATACTTGTTTTGATCAATTTTGAATAGGGGCTTTTGAAAAGAATTCATTTTTTAGAGTGCATCTGACCTTTTTTTTTTCTTCTGATTTGCCTACCTTCATTCCTCCAACCCCAGTTTTATTAGTTTTTTAGCCCTACCTCATTATATTTTGGTAGAGATTTTTTTTTTAATTTTTATTTCATGAATATATGATGTCAAAGCTGTGTTTAAGTCGATTTGCGCTGGTTTGAATTGTTGTATGTGATGTGATCTTGCAGACTGAGCTGTTTGAACGAGTAATTGAAGAATGCAATGAACATCATAATGCACTTCAGTCATTGATAAGGTAATTCATTTTTGCTATTTTGCTTCTATAGCCTTTTCTTTCTTGTTATTTGTCCTTCCTTATCCCCCTTTTCCCGTAACTAATTCTGCTGAAATTAGGTTGTGCTGCCTCTTTGATTTCTTTAGTCAAAGGGTGAGCATCTGACTTTCACCTCTATGCTCCAAGTTGTCCTACCACCTTCTAGAGATTTAATTCTGTATGTTTTGGAAATTTCTTAAAATTAGAAATGTTGGATGCCAATTGTGAATAATTGATGGTAATGCTTAGAAGTTAGAACTTTCAATTTTTGGCCATTAATGTTTAGAACTTTAAGATAGCGATAGTGTTAACAAGTGGACCTTTAAGTTTAATTCATTTCTGTGGATACTAATTGCCGTAGGCTGTGTGCATAGGCATGCAATGGAGCTTGAGGTTGAAAAATGACTAATGAAATATCCTTTCCAAAGATTTTGGCTACACAATATACAATGCACTCTAGGTGAATGCCTCCTTTTATTTTTTCTAAATTTGGGGTGTGGGGTGGCGGGTTGGGTTTAGACTTTAGGAACAAACTTTAGCTGCATATATATCACTTCTGCACATTAACATGATTTATATTACAATAGGATAATGCAAGATGAGGGACTGGAAGTCCAAACAGCAAGAAATGCAGACCGCTATGGAGCACTCATCCACCACCTTTCTTTAATTCGCAACAAGCGTTGCCTAATGGCATATGTGTAAGCATATCATATTATGTTGTCATTTCTTTAGGAAGCTGCTTCTTGTTAGTTTGCATGTTAGGATTTGGTTTATTTTCATCACCTGCTAATTTTTATACAGGTATAACCGAGCAGAAATTATAAGAGATTTGGCATGGAAGGTAGGGTTGCTTCATGAACTCCCAAGTGGAATTCAGGAGAAGTTTAGTGACTCAGAGGAACAGTATTTCATAGATCATTCAAAATCTTTGAAATTATACATGTCACAACTGAGCCTTGACGTGAATGTGGTAATGTCTCTCTTCTCATATGAATTAAACATTTTACTAGTAAGACCTTCCAACTCTAGGACTATCTCAATGCAAACCTTCTATGATTAAAATTTAAAACGGAGGCCTTACGATTCAGCTGTTAGTGTTAAAGAGAACTGAATGAAATGGTTTAAAAGATAACGTTCCAATAATGGAAACAGGCTAATAAATCTCAACTGTAATTGAGCAAGTAATTGCATTGTATGTAAACTGGAAAAAGGTGGTCTTCTGATACAGATTTTATTCTCTCACAAAGCATCTGTCACTGTCAACTAGATAGCAATGGCTAAAGTTCTTGGTTTGTCAGGATATAGTACCTCCAAAAGATCCCTACATCAAGGTAAGAGTTCTTGAAGATTTGGGTAGTGGAATAATTCTTAGTGATAAATCAGCCAATTTTGCTCTCCACTCGATGCATTTTCTCAAACGAACTGACGCTGAGCAATACATTGCACGGGTGAGTTGCCTTTTCCATTTGGTTGGCTCTACTTGTATCACGAGAAGGGGCTGCCAAATCCTTACTGACTTCTCAATATTTTCCTTGCATCAATAGGGCTTAATGGAGGAGCTGACAAGCTGAACCTGAGAGAGGTCTTTCTGTGATGCCTTCTCCCTCTTCTCTAGGATAAAGATGTTTCATACTAACATGTATTCAGCAGCCATTGCAGTAGCCTAATACCAGACCTGTTTGTTCATCCATTATAAGTGCATTTTAGGTCAGGGACAGATGTCACTTGAAAAAGAAGAAAGAAAAAAATTAAGGAAATTTAGTTATATTATCTTTTTTTTCCCTTTTAGATGATATTGATGAAATTATCTAGTTGTTCACGGTAATTGGTGTCAATACTAACTAGATAGAGCAGTTACACTGGGGATCTCAATGGAAGTTACTAGTTCTCATTAATTCTGCATATTTTGGCTGTTAAGAGATCTGAATGTTACAGAAACTGCATTTTGAAGGTTCAATTATCTCTTGTCAAAAAGAAAAAAAAAAGGTTTTAATATATCTATGTATGAAAAATTGAGATAGCACTTTATTCATCTTTCAACAGTAAATCTCAATCATATTTTGCAGCGAGAAGAACAGGCTTTATAGAGCCAGCCAGTACAGGTCACTCTCTTCAGTTTTTAGATCACTTCTATCTTCTACCACTGCTACTACTACTTGCACCTCTTGACCCTCCAGAGAGGAAAGCATCTAAAGCTGCTAAAATCCGAGCTTCAGATTTGTGGCCTTTCAAGGAGGTCCTCACCTTTCTAACCACCTGTTGTTTCATCACCTTCCGCTCTGCCATTGAAAGATGCTTACACTTGTCCATTGCTTTCAGAAATCCAACCACATTTTCACCAGAGCCCCCACCAGTTTTTTCTAATTTTGTGAGTTTCTCCACAACCTGCAAAGATAACATCCGCTCTAAGCGGGCCTTATTTCCCAGCTCAACTATATCCAATACAAAATGCACGTTGACCTCTCGAGTCTTCACAGATTTGCTCTCAAGGGCATGAGCTATCTTATCTATTAGACCCATTTGAAAGATCTTATTCAAAACAAGAACTCCACCATTGCCAAAAAGCATTTGATGCAGAGCCGTGTAGGCTGAATCCTGCAACTCTGCAATGTGGCACTGCATCATCTTTATCAGTTCAGGAATAACATCATACTCCAGAAACTTCTTAATGCAGGGTTCTCCACCAGAGTAAGAAAGCTTCATGAGTAAAAAGGCAGATTCAGATCTCACAGAATTTTGTTCTGCATGTCCGGATTGCAGAAGTTCTGATAACCTTCTGATAAGGGGACTTTGTACAATCATTTCTCTGAAACTTGGATCCCCAGCTTTTTCAATTATTGGTATGAGATCCTGCATAGCCTCCAACACCTGTTTGTAGTCATTGTCTAGCACCTTGTGAACGAGGTCTTCAAAAGTTTGTGGTGTTGGTAAAAGGCGAATGTTCCTGTCTGGCATAACAAATCTTTCTAGACGAAGTCTCACTTGCCATGGCAAGAGGTCTAGATTAGCAGATCGAAGAGAACTATTTGAAGAAGGGCCCGCCAGCTCATAAAATGCCTTCAAAGTGACAACGGCATGGTGTTGCACTAGTTCAGAACCACTCTCAATAAGTTTGATAAGATTCTTCTCAATCTCAAAAGCAAACATTCTCTCAACAGCTTTTGACTTTCCAGCTTTGGTCAATGACATCAATATTGTAAACATGCTCTCATGCCATTCCTGGGCATTGGGAGAGAGCAAGTCAGCAAGCTGGTTAAAGGGGATACTCTGAAGCACCTTATTAACAGTCTCCGGGCTTCCAAATTCTGCAAGCTTGGCAAGGATGGTTAAAATGTTTATTTGGATTACAGGATCCTCACAATTTTCTAATATATTCACCAACTTGTCAACCACACTGGCAGTTTCAAGGGATGGAAAATAGTTGCAGTAATCACTCTTACTAAATATATTTATGATGGCTTCTGCAGACACTGCAATCAGAATCTGTGAATTAGTTGAGATAACATCTGCAATTCTGGGTCCTAATATCCTACTAAAGCTTGCCCTGCTTGCTTCAAGTTCAGAAATCGAGTTGCTTGCCATGAAAGCCTGAATAATGGATTCTAAGGTGATAACCACTTGCTTTTCTTCTAAAATGTCAAAGAAAAGCTTCATCCTCTCTTCAACAATCCTTTTGACATTCTCTTTCCCAAAAATAAGAAGCCAAGGGCAAATAAATGCAGTTTTTTCAGGTGTAGATCCATGTAGTAGCATCTCAGTTGATTCGGTAGTCTTGCTATCAAGGTACAATGAAACCATGTCATGTACTTGGTACAAAGGATCCATGTCTACTTTCATCAATAAAGACCCTTCGACAAGCTTGCAGACAATGAGAGAAAACAAGCTCTCCTGCCCCAAGAAATGCCCATACAGCCTCTACACATGCTTCTGGTACAGGTCCTGCCCATGAAAGAGCAGCAAGAGCAATGAAGAGCCTCTTTGAGTCTACAGGCATTGCTTCTAAACTGAAATCAAACGAACCAAAAATGGTTAATGTGTCCTCAGCATCTTTCTCATTCACATATGAGACAGGACCTGGTGCACACGTAGCAAATGTTGATAGGTTGGTTATTGCCTTCTCCCATTTCTCAGCTCTGACTTCTTTCCTGAGAGCTTTTCCCATAACAGCAACAGTTAGAGGGTGGTGGCCACATCGCTCAAGTAAGCTCTCTGCTATGCCCTATTAGGATAGGAAATCAAAACAGAAAATAAAGTTCATTGAATAAAACTATTAAACAAAATGCAATTAGAAAACAAGAGTAAATACTAATCATTGACAATTATGTAATAGGTTTAATTTCAGCATTTTGGATAAATTTTTAGACTGTGTTTTCTTTCCATTTTTCCCTTCCGAATTACATTCCCTAAATAAACATAAAATTACAGTTTTGAGAGGTTAGAAATTTTTAAGGTTTTCAACTTCAGTTTATATTGAACTCTAGCTAACTATTAAAGTTCTTGAAAATTTACTCAAGTTAACCAAAACACCTTAATTACTGTTGCAATCAGATATTTGAGAATGCCTGAAAATTTGCATATATAGATCTTTGAGAATACCACATGAAAATTCACAAAAGTTGTTTCACAAAGCTGTGTAGGAGGTTTTATGTCACATAAATGAGATATGCAACTTTCCTCAGAAAAAAAAATTCAACTCACACTGAGCAATGTATTAGCATGCCTATTGCTTCAGGCAATATTAGGCAACAGTAGCTAGATTGCATCAGAAGGTGGGTGAAGATTAAGTAGGTTTGCCTTGACTCCTATTTCTTAGAGCAAGTATATGTGCGGCATTCATGATATGCAAGGAAAGGAGATAAAAGGAGAGCATTCAGTTTCTTCCAAGCAACGATAGCACAGATACCATGGAGAATGGTGCAGTTAAATCTCAAAGGTAAAATACCCCTATCCTGCAGTGATCATTTATAGTTACTAAATTTCTCAGATTAGCTCCTGACTAGTAGAAAGCATGTAAGTCTTTGATGTGTTGATTTACAGCACTATTCAGGTTCGATTTCTATACACAAGTCTTTGATGTATGAAAGCAAAGAATTAGTCAATAATAAGTTTTGTGATTAATCTAGGAAGAAGCCTAAAGCAAAATGACTTCTTTTCTCAAAATGACAACTTCTTACACACCGGAAGCTCTTCTTCGCTGAGGAGGCTATGGTAGAGAAGGATTTTCTTGCTTATCTCTTTTATTTGATCCTTGCTTAGCTCTACCTTTTCAGCTTCTGTAATTTCATAAACAGCTTCATTTCTTGTTGTAACTAAGTACTTACAATCATTATCGTACAGTTTAGCAAACCGCTGAACTATGTCCTGCTCCCAAACATCATCAAGAAGGATTAAAATGCTTTTCCCATACAGGGCTTCTTGAAGCAAGCAACAAACGTAATCAAGATCTCCACTGTTCTCTTTAATTTTTTTCCAAAATCCAATCTGCACCAGGAATTTACTAATTTTCCTTGCCAAACGCTTCTGATATTCAGCCTTACTGCCATTGCAAGCAGCTCGACTACACCATTGCCCAAACCCAAGTTCAACCGCTCCACCCACAAATTTTTTTGGTGGATCAGAAGCTACTTGACGAGCTAAACAGGACTTTCCAATACCGGATAACCCCACGATTAGAATGACTTGATGGGAATCCTCCTGTTCAAGTAGATCCCTCACAAAGTTACATTTGCTAGAAATTGGGAAGCCGTGATCAGTCTTTATTTTCAGTCGAACTGGGATGTCTTGTGCTGTTGATTCTATTACTTTCTCTACATTTTGGGCCAACATTTGGGTTTCAAGCCACCAATTTAAGTCATCTTTAATTGAATGTGTCAGTTTTCCAAGTGGATCTCCAGCCATCGAAATCCAAAATACTTTAGCCAAGTTCTTAGTTTTACTTTGTGATACAATTGTTCTCACCTTGCTGATATTTGGGCGCAGCCTTTCTATCAGGGCATGCAAACTTTGAATTTGGTAATCTAACTGGGCATTATGAAGCTTGTCGGCATGTTTTTGCCTCATTCGTTTCGTCAAATTCTCAAGATCGCACACAAATTCTTCTAGGCTTCGGATTCTCTTTGGAGCTTCATCAAGATTTCCAGAGGCTTGTTCTAGTGCACCAACAGCCCCGACCATATTGGATATTATCTCTGTTGCAGAAGCAACAGCCTGTAACGCATCCATGAGCACTTGAAACAGCAGGGTAGCTTTATTTTCAAAGTTTCACCGGGATCCTAATTATGATGAAACATATTATTAAAGTGACTCCAGTAGACTACATGAGAACTTCCAGTACATAATCCACGGTCAAAGCAAATAGCAGAGATTTCCTTCACCAATTCGTGACAGTAATGAACAGTCAACTAGGAATAATCCAAGTGAAATAGTATATATAGGCCTGTAAACTCACCAGTAACTTAGCCTTGAACCAGGCAACCAGCCATTACAATAATCTGATTTTGCTCAGAGAGAACAAGAATGCGGCCAGAATGAGTCTTCCGCAGTGCCCCACAATCTAGAATCAGGACACTTCTTTAGATCCATAATGTCTCAGACAAGTCAATCCTAGAAGGAAAAATAAATCAGCTGAAATATTGGAAAATTATTGTAACCAAAAGTTCCCTAAGCTGTGCTGCCTAACAGAAACCTCAGATTCTCAAAGTAAGCAATGAACCATTTTTCAAAAAAAGCACGTCACATACAAATCTTTCCTAAGAATATCGATTTCAAATCTAAAATCTGTCCTTAGATTACCAGCCCAATGAAGAGATCACCAATAAAAAAAAAAAGAGAAAGAAAGAGAACCCAAAGTAACCCAAATGCTTGGACACCATCAACATTCAAAAGCAGCTGAAAAAACCCATAGTTTCTATAGAATGAGGTATATATCATTTATATATGATTCTTAAGAGGAGAAGAGAAAAAAAAAAGCCCACTAATCTTTTCAAAGTTAGCCATCATAATTAACACCCAGTTCTTCAAGTACCTTTAAAATTTATCAGAACAATCTAAACCCAGTTCTTATGGAAAAAATCTTAATAAGACCAAGCAACTGTAACGCCAACATATAAGAAGCATCTTGAGAATTGAAACATAGATCAAGCACGTCTAAAAAAAAAGGAGAAGATACCTTGGATGAGTTGAAGAGAAGTTTAACACAAACAATGACTTCTTCTCCGGCAGCTTTTCAAATGTCAGCTTTTGACAGGCCAAAGAGGCTTATATATGTATAACACAAACTAAGAGATATTCTTAGCATAATGCAACCTTTATATAAAATCTCGCTAGTCAACTGAATGTAGCTGAAATGTAAAACATTTACAGGTAGGCAATGATTTGTTTGTGACAGACCAATGAAATTACGGCTTAATTTGCAGGTGTGAGCAGAAGGATATGCTCTTATCCTTATCTTAACTCCTGTTATATCTCGACGGTCACATGGTATTGTCACCGACATGGCTACGAGATCATTGTAATTTCGTGCAATGTCTGAAATGCGGAATTGTTGGAGAGGAAAAACTTAAAAAAAGAAATATTAAGTGATATTTTTTGAAATTAAAATTATTATTTTAAATTTTTTTTCACAAATTCCATATGTTTTTGTTAAATGCATTAATTAAGGCTAACAATCTTTTTCCCAATCTCAGCAAAGCATTTTTTATGTAATATTTTTTGGTAATTTGTTTAAAACTAACGATTAAGTTTGTATCTAACTTGGTAAACCAATAAAAAAGATTAAAAACTTATGTGTTAATAATGATAGGTTAGTACTTTTCTATTTTATTTCAAAATAAAGTTTAGATTTATTTATTTAAAATTAAAAATTTTTGTGCCTATTTTTCTTGTTCATGTTTTCAGATAACCAAAATTTTTTGTCTTCTTTGAACCGTTATTTAAAGTAATATTTTAAATTTTTTTAACCAGTATTCATTAACCCTGCCAGCCTTATCGAGGGACAAATGCAAACTGCTGCATAATAAAAATTTTCAGTGGATATTGGTGCTTACTTTCATGATTGCTGCTGATTCCATTATTGCACTCAAGTTCATAACTACCATAACAAACCTGATTTTGTTTTCGGAGCTTGATGCTTGAAATTGTTAAAAAATAACACCAATATTTACTACTACTAATTAATAAATAGTTTTCCATTGTAAACTAATATTGCATGCAACAAATTGATAGATAGTTTAATACTCTTAATTAGGCAATGTCCTAAACCGAAGTATTCAAATGCAAACGTGTGATCAAAATGACCCCGTGGTTTCAATCCATCACAAATTATTTACCACAATAACTTCTTCCTTCTATTTATTTCTCTCCTATTTCCTCTCTGCAACTTTCTTTTTTTCCTTTTTCATTTCGTGGGTGATTTCTTTCTCCAATGGCTTCTTCAAAGGAATGGGCAAGCTACATATCCTCCATTGCTTTTTTTGTGTATTTCCTTCTTATCATCTTCCAAATCCCTCTTTTCAGGTAAATTCATTTCTCCTCCACTTTATTTTGTTTTCCAATTTAGTTGATAATGATGGATTTGTAGTTTTTAGTTTTATCAAGGAACAAGGGACAAAAGCATAATATATTTCTTGGATTCTTTTTTTTTATTCATAGAAACAGAACAATCCATGTCATGTATTGCTTTTCTCTCTTTTTCTGGCCATCACATGTTGTAGAATCTGGTTTCTAGTCCAATTTTCATTCTTTCATGGCATAGTAGGCTGCATAAAGATCCAGGATTAATGCAGCGTTGGTCTCATTCAGAATCTGAAATCACCTCATAACTCTTCTGCAACTGATAAAATATGTTTGGAAATCCTTCAGAATGCCACTATATTCTAGAAAGAACTCAACATATTTGCCAATCTTTTAGACATTTATTTACTCTGCTCTACAGGGTACCCTGTAGATTTGGAATATGCAAAACACCTATTGAGGTAACATCCGCTCAGTTGATTGCCAGTGATCTCTTCCCCACCTATGTAGTTAAGGTCCTTCTGTATCCAGGGGCTATTGCCAATGCTATCATCAAGAACAGGGCTTTTCCAAGCTATAGCAAATTGTTAAATTTATATAACATCAGCAATTTGAGAACAGCTCCTGCAGCATCTGATCTTCAACGCCTAGAGGTTGGTTTAATTCAAATTTAAACGGCAAAAGACTAATATATTGCTTGATCAAATCTCTGATTAGATATAAATTTTGGTTATTCAGTGATTTCACATTCCCTTTTTTGCATTACACCAGATTCTTTCAGGAAGCTACTTGTCTGTGGTAGGAGCTTTTGTAGGTCTCTTAAGGCATGGAAGAATGAGCCTCTTTGGGACTATGCTTATAATATGGGGCCTTCTCAGAGAAATCATTCTGGGACAATTTTATAGCACGGTTCCCACAAAAGCTATTCATATGTACCCAACAATGATAGTTGCTATGGTTTGTGCTTTTTTGTCAGTTAGAAGGGATGTAAGAAAATTAATCCATAGTTCCTCCAAAGCAAGGCGGGTCAAATTCTTGTGAAGGCAGATGCAAGCTGCACATTAGTTGATACTGCAAAACTTGGTAGTAACAGTATTGAAACCACTGGTGTAAAGAGCTAACTATTAGGCCCACCATTGGGATCTCGGAAAGGAAAGAAGCAACATAATTTTTATGAAATTGAGCTTAATCACAATTTTTTTGGGTACAAAATAGACCGCAGCCTGTTATAGGAAAAGGGATTATAGGTACTGCGATTTGAGTATTAAGATTACTAGATGTCACATCTTAAAGATGATTGGGTGAACCTTTGGGTTCAATAACAATTTGGATTTTAAATTGAGAATATGTATTTCTTGAGCAGCATTGAGATCAGACAGGGGTTAGGCACTTGGTTGACCTAGAATTTATTGGAGTAGATTTCACTATCTTGTAACTTTGCTTCTTTCCTTTATGTAAAAACTTTGAGGAAATGGGGTTTTTACCCTCTGACATTTACATGAAATGGCTGATTGTCCCATTATTCAATTTATCTAACTTCCTCAAGATTTGTTCCTAGAAATGCAGCATTTGTCTATTACAAAAGGTTGCAGTTGACATATATATATATATATATATATATATATATATATATATATTACAAAACTACCGCTAATACAGCATTGTACCTGCAAAACACCAATCACATGAAAACATGAAGAAAAGGGACGGTTTATCAAAATAAGATTAGTGTCAAAGGTTGCTTTTATCTGTCTGCGTTTTCCAATCCTAAACCATTCCGTGAACTTGACAATATATCCACAGAAATGACTTTTGGGCACCTACAGACAATAAGAATTGCATCTAAAGGCTGATAATTCATCACTGAAGATGGATCAAAATCGTGACTGGATGAGAAACACTTCAGATCCTTCTTTTATTTAACACGTAATAATTTTTTACTTATTGAATTATTCTTTCAGTAATTTGACATGTTGAATTATACTATATGCATAAAATAATATTCTTTAATGGTTGTTTTATTTCTCTGCCAGATTTTCATCGATACTCTACTAAACACCAATCGAACCAATTGGAGTTTTACACAAAATTGCAATCCCACTTCTATGATTTTACTTCAACGTCAAATTTTTATTTTTTTATTTTTAAGAAAAAGTTTAAGGTAATGGAAGGCTTTATCTATCCAATGTCAGAATAGATTGCAAGTTTTTAAAAAAATTTACATTAAATTTATAAATCACCTATAGTAAAAAATTGTTGGTAGCAAGAATTGAACTTAAACTTTATAAACAAAATATTCTATTCTTATTAACTCAACCAATTCTCATTAACATTTCAATGTCAAATTAAACCTTTATAAGCAAGTTACCAAAACATAAAAGCTATTATTAGAATTAGGTTGTGCGTGGCAGGGCATCTAGTCTTATTCTTAATGTTACAAGTCAGAATTTTTTTTTCTTTTGGATTTTGGGAAGATGAGACTCAATCTCGCAGGGACTATTACAAGTATTGGACGTAAATTTATTATGTGCGATCTTTAATTTCAATGATCAAAAGTTTAAAATAAGATAATTTTAACTACCAAAAAATTTTATGATGTGTCCCTGCCATGAAATCACACATTTATCTTAACAGGAAGTGCACAAATGGTAGAATATTTTTCAAAATAAAAAGTGAGAAGTGTTAATCTCATGGAAAAGGAAATGTGATACATGTGAATATTGGTTTACAACTTGGGCAATGTAGACAAAGTTCTAAATGGATCATATTTGGTTATTTACATACTATGGATAAAGGGACTTGGCATTGACACTTGCAGGGCATGGTCATTTAATTAGGTTTTTCACTTTTAAAGTTTAAACCCGAGTCTCCCATGACAAGGGCTTCAAAACAATTTTCTTAGCTTTGCTCGAGCGTTGAAGCGTTGTGGACAACTTTTTTCTAGGTGTACTCGTAGCAAGGGTAGGAATTTGGATAAGACTGACCAAGATTAGTGGTTAGTATTTCTTGCTTAGGGATTTAATTCTATATTAATCAAATATAAATTAGAAAGTATTGGCTGACTAATCATATGTTATTATACCAAAAATACTTTAAAATTAGAAATGACTGGAATATCACTCGTAATATTTTAATATTTTTTGATTGACAGAATATTTTAAATATTGATCTAAAGAAAGAAAATATTTGAAGTACAGTCAAAATATTTGATTGGTTTAGGGTTATCTAAACTTCAAAACAGTACCAAAAGTAATCTCTTAAAATGAAAATTATAGTAAAATATCACTTTATTTTTTTATTGAAATTGTGAATATTATTTATTTATTTTTTGAAGAAGTGAATGTTATTTAATTGTATTAGTAGTATATGTGAAATTTATTCCCCTCTTTAAAAAAATTAAAAGTTGATGGCAGAGGATAGAAAATTAAAACAAAGAAAAAAAAAGTAAAAATAGAAACAGTAATAATTAAATTAAGTTAAATGGAAAAGCACAAAAACTGAGAAGGACATGTCAGAGCAGAATTGGTTCCTCTTCCCTGTCCCCAAGTTGCACATTCTACAAGCAAACGGTAACAGACAGTCTTTTTTAAGTTCTGTTCATCATTGCGTCACTTTGTTCTCTTTTCATTTTTTTCCACTTAAAATTTAACCAGAGTTAACAATACAGTTCAGTGAGAATATGTGAGATTGAAGATCCCCATAGTTACTCGAAGCACAAAGATTCTTTCCCACCTGCTGTCAACTGCTGGTCCATTTCTAAACCACTGGTACATATCAAGAAAACCTCAACTTTTGTGTCTTCACTTTGCCTTTGTTGATTTTGGGATTTTCTTTTTGGTTTCTTTTTTGAAGTCTGGCAGCATAGAGAGGAAATCCTTTCTCAGTTTGGAATTCGGTTTTGCTTTTGTGTCTGGAATGTGGAAGGATAATCCTAATTGGTTTGCTTTGTTAGAGTAGTTTTGTCGTTTGGAATTGTTTTGCTTTGTTTAGAGCACTTGTCTTTTGGGAGCTAAAATTAGAAAAAAAAAAGCTTGGCTTTTGTTTGTAGAGTTTATGATAAAATTTCTGTTTTTGAAGGCTGAAGATCGATCGAGTTTTGACTTTTGGCTAGTTCTGTAAGTGGGTTTTGGTCGTAGAAGGTAGAAATCGTAGAAGGAGATACTATAAGTGGTCTTTTAAATGGTTTTTAGATTAGCACTTTCTGAAAGCTTGGAAATTTGTTGTCAATATCAGAAGTTTCATGGTTTAATGTATGGCCTTCTTAGGTGAACTATGAATTTCTAGCAAAAATTCATTAGATTTCAGATTTGGGTTTCAGCTGCCAGAAGCTGATATTTGCCTGTGGAAGTTAGGATCTTATACTTGTCTGTTGGGTTTCATTTGACACTTTATATGTAGAGATGCTGGACAGAAGCTTGCAAATGTCACTGAATTGCCCATCTCACTTATCAGTCTGTGTAACTAGGCAGAGAAATCTTTGTAAGGGAAGGTTGAATCCGGTTCTAGCTATGTCCTCATCCTCAGTGATCTTACACGCTGGTGAAAGTGGGAAATTTCCTGAATCTAGGAAAAGTTCTAGTTCAGGTGCAGCTCTGCTTAGTCATCCAAACACTGTGGGAATAATTGGAGGGGTATCTGTTGGTTCTACTCTCAATTTCGTGAGAAAACTAGTGCATTGGAGTAAGGAAAATGAAGAGAATTGCATGCCTTTTGTTCTTTGCTCTGATCCAGTTTTGAATAGGGAGCTTTTTTCCCTGGAAAGGAATTCTTCTTCTCTCTGCTGTAGAAATGAACATTCACAATTCGATCATACCCGGATTGTTGAAAATCTACTGAGTAAAAGGGTTTTCCTTGAGAAATCAGGAGCTTACTGCATTGTTGTGCCTTGTCATATTTCACACTCATGGCATGATGAAGTGTTTAAGGAATGTTCTGTTCCTTCCCTTCACATGGGTGAGTGTCTTGCCAGGGAGCTCAAGGAAGCCAAGTTGAAGCCACTTGAAGCTGGGAGCCCTTTGCAAATTGGGGTACTTGCCACTGATGCGACTTTAGAAGCAGGGTTTTACCAAGAGAAACTACAGAATGAGGTAATTTCATTCTGTAAATTTTGTCTGTCTTTTCCAAATTGTTCCGTCCTGAGATATAAGCTTAGCGCAGCTATTTAGGAAAAATTTGTTGTTTGTAAAAGTTTATGTTCTTGTCCTTTTTGAGAAAAATGATTGTATTAGTAGGAGAGTTTGTGTTCTAACTAATAAACAGTTAAATTGATAATAATTATTCAAAAGAAAATGAAGATATTTCAGTGAGGTAAGAGGATCTTTCATGTGATTTGAATGGTTTTGAAGGTGTTATGTGGAGATCTGCATCCAATCTAAAAGGTTTTAAACAGACTAGTTTTATCTTCTTTTTTATGGTCATGACTGAGGCAAGTTGGTAGCCAGGACAGTGGGAGAGGAGGGGTAGTAGCCAAGTTCTTAGAGATAAAGAGCATACAGCTCATAATCTTTCACAGCTTCTAGGTCACCTCTTAGGTCTCAGCTTGTTTAAATTATATGTTTGGCATGATATGAGCACATTGTATTTGATCATAAATCATCTTGCAGAAAGGTCCAATGTATCTGTTTTTAAACCTGTGCAAGTTGTTCTCTTCAACTTCCATGGAGAATTGGAGATTGGGAGTTTGATAATTTGATCATAAATTCAAGTTCTTACTAAGAAGTTAATTTGTTGGTGTGAAAAAAGGGGTTGAGATGATGGACCGATTATTTCATTTTTATGTCTGAATTGCAATTTCACCATCATATTTCACTTCTTGGGAATTTTTCTGTAGATATGTTGGATAGATAGGGATATAATGTTCCCCAAATTTGATGGTACCTATGTTATTGGCCTTCAAGGTTATGACCTCCTTGAAATGATTTCTTCTTAAATCCTTTGCTGTCTTTGATTTGTTTTATCTTAAATTCAAAATTCACTTGTTATGGGGCTTTAAATTCCACAAGGTTTTTGTAGCTAACTAGTTTCAGTACAATCATGCTACTGATTTGGAAATTGTGAGCAGTGGTTCATTACTTCAATATATGCATGTAGGGTTTTCAAGTTGTGCTGCCAGATAAAGCAACCGTGGAACACACTGTAATCCCTGCAATTGATGCTTTAAATAGAAAAGACATGGAAGGGGCATGAAATCTGCTGAGAATTGCACTCCAGGTTCTCCTTGTGAGGGCAGTTAACACTGTAATCCTTGCATCTGATGATATGCGTGACCTCTTGCCTCAGGGTGATCCTCTTCTTAAGAAATGTGTTGATCCAATGGATGCATTGGCGAGGTCAACTGTCAAGTGGGCACAACAAGCTGTTAGGGACGGCAATAAAGGCTGCTAAATTAGTAGTTGTATGCATTCTTTTGTGATTTATTATTGTTATTATTATTATTATAGGGTTTCTTATTATCATTCTTGGGGAATAAGTCCTGAAAATGATCCCCATACTGTTCTGTATTATTTGTGTCAATTAAGAAAGCATAAAAGAGTAAAATATCAAGAACTTTTTATGGGCTTCCATTAGGCCACAAACCTGTTTGGAACGTGTAGTGAAGTTGGAGTTATGCTGTTGGTCTGGTGTAGGAACTCTAATTTTTGTTAGATCAACTCTGTCCCATAAATCATTTAACGGCAAAACTAGTACTCGAGATTCTGTATGTGTCTTGCTTTTCGCTAGAAATTCTGTACTTCTTTCACCCTTCCGTTCTAACCTACTCCCACCAAAAGAGAATATATGGATATGTGACAACTAAACTTCGTTAAAGGATCAGTTGCTGATTGAAACATAAAGCACAATAACACAACTAAAAAGTTTATGTAAGACGAATACTTGAACGAAGTGTGCGGGTGGGTAAGTAACTTTTTTTTTAGGACAAGTGAAAGTACATTTATCCAAAGGAAAACAGAAGTAAATCTGTTTTAAAGACAAATAATCCCAAGGTCTACAACAGAAAAGCAACACTGTAACAAGCAATCCGATTAAGGAACGAGTAATTATAATCTATACCACAATGATCACCAATAACCTTATTTTATGGTTCAGCAGCTACGTTTGATGGGCACACAGACAAGCTTTAAAGTCTTTCTCAATCTGCTAAAAAGGAGTAGCAGGTGATTTTGCTTTCTGGGGGTTTTTTCTCTTCTCTTCAGACAGGGCACGAGTGGCCAGATCAAGTAGGCCTGAGGATAGCAGCACCAAAACTGTCTTGCTGCCCATCTACAATATTTTTCAGGAATAAAGGAAAAATCATATCTTCTCTAAAATTACTCTCTGCAAGAAACATAGTATTTTTAGCAAACATAACTAAATTTCTTCAAAAACAGTGAAGCATTGGACATAGATATTCCCCACAACACTTCTGCATAGTATTTTCAATCAAAACAATATGCCAGGCATCATCATTACCTCCTTTTGATTGGTGCTTTTGCTTCAAAAACAATTTGCAAGACATGTTAGATAAACGTAGACAAAATAAATTAGATATTCAGATTGAACTTCTAATAGACAATATAAAAACATCAAGCAGTCTCAAAGTACAACAAAGTTGAACCAACCATGAAAGTTTCTACTTTTTACCAAATGACCAAGATTCACCAGAAACTTGCAGTTAACCGAAGAACATGATACAACCTAGAAAAGCGACAAAAGCTACATATGACACAACAAGTTCAAGACAACAGTAACAGAGATGGAGAAAGGTAAATGTAAGATTACTTACTGGCAATTTCATGCCTTTCTTTAAACTGCAATGAAACAAGGAAGAAAAGTATTTCTAGTAGATTCGTCCTCCCATTGCGGCTCTTTCCACCATTTTTCCTCTCCTTCAATGCTGATTTTGTTTCCTTTTGCACTGTTAGAGTTGAGTGGAAGTCTCCTCAGCTTTGGGCAATTTTGAACAAAAATTTCCTTGATACAAGAGAAGGGTAGTGCATTCCAGTAAATGCTCTCCAATTCTGGTAGTTGCTCTAAAGTAAGGTATTTGAGTGTTACAAATGGGGTTAAAGTTCCTACAAACTCTGCCACCTACCTCAGTTTTATCTCATTGATTATTTCTTCCATTTTATCGCATTCGCTTACAAAAACATCCGTCAGATTTGGAGCGAGAACAAGCCATGTTATGTCCCTCAATTTTGAGCAATGGGATATGAATACCTTGTGGAGGCTTTGGAAGCAATGATGGGTTTCAATCACAGAGGTTTTAGTGTGGTTCTGTGCTTTTATCATTCTGCCTTCCCCTGCCCACTCCATCTTCACTTCTTCCAAACTTTCACACTCTTAACGATATATATGCTAGAACTCTGATAGTGCTAAAGATAAAATATTCAATTGATTTGAGTCCTTGAACTCAAGCCCAATAATTCAGTAGTTTGATTCTGCATTCAAAATATCTATCAAGAGCAAAGCACTTTTAAACGTGATTAATATATTCAGTGATTATGCCGCAATCTTTAACATGAAGTTCAATTTTTTTTTTACTGCTTATCGAAAGAGATAAGAGTTCAACCATTCTCAATATTCGCAGCTTTAAAACCAGACATCAACCCTCTTGGATTTATACCGTATATGCTAATATAAGTTCAAACATTCAGTTTTGTAAGCCTAAAATTTATTGCTAGCCTTTTATACTTGTAAATGATAGTCAAGATATTCGAAATACCATTTATTGCAATTACGGCATTCTGATAATACCATAACTTCCACTAAGGCTTAGAACTTTTAAGCCACACATAAATTGGAAGAAATCATTGTGAATCACCTTCAACTGATGATTATTGTTGAGAAACAAATTTTGAAGATCGGGACAGTTAGGTGCTTCTGTTAGATTTTCAATCTTGTTTTTCATCAATGACATTCTTCGCGTACCTTTCCATCTTCCAGCGTCTGGCATTTGAGTCAAATGATAACCAGCTTGCACAATAAACTTCCATTTCTCTGCTTCACACGTACATGCTATCTATAAACTCATGTCACGAATTACATCATGCATTTTTATTTCCCAATCATTTACTTCTTCCAATAAGCATGCATTAATGAGAGAACAAATGATGTGGTGGCCGTGGTTTCGAGATTCCCTTATGGTGTCATGTTCATCCAAAAGTCCTTCCCCTATCCAGAAATCTATCAGTCATTCTTTATCAATTTCATAATCTTCCGAGAACAAACTACAATATAAGAGGCAAGATCGAACCATGTCATTTGGCAATATATCATAACTGCATTTTAGAAGTGGATATACCTCTTCACCTATGTTTGGAAAAACAAAATTGGCTGATTTCTTCAAGTCTTCAATTGTGTATTTCCATTCTTCGGGTGTGTTCTTGCAAGCCATGGCACGACCAATAGTGATGAGTGCAAGAGGTAGTCCTCCACATTCTTTGGCTACTTCTTGAGCTAGCCCACGAATATTTGGATGACTATCAAACACATCTTTACCAACATGTTGTTGGGAATATTGACTCAAATCACATAAGAGATTTGTTTGAGATTTGTTAGAGATTTGTCAGATATTGCTTGATGGACAAGAAGACTTGCAAAAGAAGAATTCTAAGAGAAAGAAGATTCTTAATAGGTAAGTTTGACTTGCAAGAGAAGAATTCTAAAAGGAAAGGGATTCTTAATAGGCAAGTTTGACTTACAAGAGAAGAATTCTAAAAGGAGTGGGATTCTTAATGGGCAAGTTTGTATGGTTATAAATAGGTGAAGTCTCTACAGGGTTAGGTATGAGAAAAAGATGTAAGAGAGTTGTAGGATTTTGTGGAATAGACACCCCATGTGTGTATGTTTGTTTGTGAGTGGACTAGAGGAGATTGAAAGGGTCCACATAGGTATGATGTATGGGAGCATATGTGTATGTGTTTGGTTTTGGGGCTCTACGTCTGGGTGTGTATGTTTGTTTGTGAGTGGACTAGAGGAGATTGAAAGGGTCCACATAGGTATGATGTATGGGAGCATATGGGTATGTGTTTGGTTATGTTGAAAGAGTGCACAAGGGTTTGGGTTTGTATTTTTTTGGGTTGAGAATACTCCATAGGACTAGAAGAGATTGAGAGTGTCTTATGAGTATTGATTGTTGAGTGAGATTGATGATATGATGTATGTTTGTAATTCTCTACAACTAGTGGATCTTGTTTCTCATCCGTGGATGTAGGTCAGTTGGACCGAACCACGTTAAATTGTTGTCTCTTATGTGTTTGATTTATTGTTTGATTTCACTTCCGCTGGTATGATTGGATTGGAGGCTTTTAGCCCAACAAATGGTATCAGAGCTGTGGTGTTCCCTAACACATGTTCCTCAAACAATTTCCAGGACTCTTCTTCGGGCAAACATTGCACTTCAATCTTCTTATGAGCTCTCATTTGGCCACACACCTATGTAGAACGAGTTGTAAAAATCAGTTTGGAACCATTTTCTTGAGTCGGGACAGGTATCCCTACCTTGAACAGGTCAACTCTTTCCCATATATCATCTAACAACAATACAAATTTCTTTTCTCTCAAAATCCTGAAGATGTCTATAGCTTTCTCTTCGGGAGCTTTATCACTCCAAATTCCATTAAAAAGGCCAATCCTCTTTGCAATATCATCTTGGACCTTTCCAATATAAAATCCTTTAGACAACACAACCCAAATAACCATATCAAATCCACCGGATGAAACACCAATCTTGTTATTGATTTCAGTCAAGAGCCTAGGCTTCCCAACTCCCCCAACGCCATATAAGCCAATGATTCCAACATGTTTTTCTTCAAAGCTATTCCAGACCTTATTGAACATGGATTCCAAGCCTACGACAGAGTCACTCGGTCTTTCAACCACCGGAGCTGCAGGTGACTCCGTAGTTAGCACTGCAAAAGCTCCGTTTCTCTTTAGATCCTTGACATCACGTAGTCTTTTGGCCACTATTTTGCTGAAATCGAGGGTAGACTTGCAATTCTTGGAACAACAGCCTCCCAAGCATAAATTCTTGATTTCTTCAGGACCATCAATAAGAAGTGCATCAACTTCATTTATCATAGTTTCTGCCCTTGAAAGCCATCCTCGAACTTCATGCAGCGGCCTCAAATTTTGTTGCACAGCGATGTTGACTTTCCTTTCCACATCATTCCTTCGCTCCTTTAATTCGACCAAAGCTGTGTTCAAGTCAGTAAGGTTTTCTTGAAGATGGCATGTGTAGATTACTTGTCCAGCAACACAATCCAAGCAGCGGGAAATTATGGTATCACACGACAATGAAATCGAGAAAAAGTTCCCCATAGTTTTCCACTAGATTATAATTCCAACAAAATGATTAAATTTCCCAAGAAAAAACAAGAAAAATTCTAATGACCAGAGAAGAAGACGAGTGTTCAACAACGAGAGGGAGAAAGAACAATAAGAAGCTTGAATCAAAGTCAACAACAGGTGTAAAGAGCACCATAGCTGAGTAATTAAATCTTAATTTCTTAGTCAGTGGCAATGGAATCTAACTTTTCAAAATTATCAAAATTTACAAATCATTCAAAGTAGAACTGTGGAAGTCAAGTGAGTAGACTTCTTGGATATTTTTCTGTACATATGTTGGATAGATAAGCATATAAAGTTCCCAAATATGAGGGTTACCTATGTTATTGACATTTAAGGTTATGACCTCCTTAGAAATAGTTTCTTTTTAAATCCTTTTTTGTCTTTGATTTGTTTTATCTTAAATTCAAATTTTACTTGTTATGGAGAGCTTTAAATTCCATAAGTTTTTTGTAACTAAAAAAAAAATATATTAAACCTATATGATACCAGTTTCAGTACAATCATGCTACTGATTTGGAAATTGTGAGCACTCATTCATTACTTCAATATATGCATGTAGGGTTTTGAAGTTGTGCTGCCAGATAAAGCAACACATGGAACACATTGTAATCCCTTTAATTGATGCTTTAAAGAGAAAAGACATGGAAGGGGCGCGAAATCTGCAGAGAATTGCACTCCAGGTTCTCATGGTGAGGGCAGCCAATACTGTAATCCTGGCGTCTGATGACATGCGTGACCTCTTGTCTCGGGATGGTCGTCCTCCTAAGAAATGCATTGACCCAATGAACGCCTTGGCGAGGTCAACTGTCAAGTGGGGACAACAAGCTGTGGGAGAAGGCTGCTAAATTAGTAGTTGAATGCGTTGTTTAGTGATTTTTTTTTTTATTATAGGCTTTCTTATTATCATTCTTGGGGAATATTTACTGAAAATGATCCCCATATCGTTCTGTATTATTTGTGTCAATTAAGAAAGCAAAAAAGAACCGAAACTACAGAGAAAATTACTAGTGAGGCGAAGTGCCCTTTTGGTCTAGCAAAATATTAAGAAAGAGAAGCCTTGGACCATTCTGCTTGTTGTATAAACAAGACTTCTTATTCAATTGTTCTAAAATTTTTATGTAGTTTATTGGTTGGATATGATCAGTTCATTGTACAAAATGTCACCCAAAATTTGTCTTTGAAGTACCTTGTGAGTTCAACTTTCGTTTATCTAACATCTTTGCAGCAAGTTCTAAGCTAACACTAATCATAGACCGGAGTTGGGAGTGAAAAACTGCCTATAGGAAATGCTTATGTCTTCTACCAATCACTCAGGTGGTGGCAAGCACTATTCTTTGAACTTTTTATGAGCTTCGTGTAATACCAGTAAAAAAAAAAAGAAGATTATTTTAAGTATTTTTATAAGTAGAGACTCTTTAATAAAGTATGAAAAATGCAAAGGATTTATTGATAAATAATCTAAAATTTTTTAATAGGGTTAACTTATTTAGTTTTCAATCGATGACTAATGGAAAGAAAAATATAAATTTATTTCTATCTGTTTCTTATACAGAAAAGATAAATCGAAAGATTCCAAGTGAAGGGTAACAATAAAATCTGCAAGAAGAATTGTCTCTCAAAAGTGAATAAATAATTTCTTTCAATTTTGGAGTATTAATTTTTAAATATTGAGATATAATTTGTAATCGAAAAATCTTAAAATTTTAAGATTTTCATTATCCCTCTTCAAAATTAGTTTGAGCAAATAATTTAGACTTTAATTAGGGTCTAATTAAGTGTTGAGAAAGTTAGTAATGTGATTTTATTATTGAAGCAGAAATTTGATGGGAATAGAAAGGAAAATTTTTATTTCGTATAAACCTTAACATAAATCTTGTGTTTGTAATGATAAATTAATGTTATATTCTATAATAAAAGATTAAATATTGCTATGATTATTATATATCGTTGGAAAACATGTTGAATCTACTTTATAATGAAACAAACTGGAGTCGAATTCGAGTTTTTTATGAAAAGTTATCTAATTTTTATTTAAGGATGTATAGATTACCTAGTAGCAGCAGCATGAAAGAATTACGAAATTCTTCTTAATTTTTATATAAGGATTTACAGATTAAATCATATATATTTAGAAAGCTTATTGAGTCAATTTTTCAATAAAATAAGCATAATTGAATTTAAAGTTTCCTATGAATAAATACATAATTTTTATGAGAATATATACATGCTGTTTGACAGCAGCATATGATATAAATTGCAAAAATTGTTATAATTAATCCACAATAAATCACAAGATGGGCTATATATGATTAGAAAGCTTAAAGAGTGTAGTTTTTAACGCATTAAAAATATTTTAATTTCGAGTTGGATATCTTGAGATATGATCATTTTAGTTAAAGTAGTGCAAGTTGTTAGAATTAGTTACTTGAGTTAATTCTTGTTTAACTTAATTGTTTTGATATAAGTAGTCTCAAATAGGTTGATTAATTACTATTATGTTAAAATTATCTTGAATAGGCTGTTAATTATTTGAGAAGAAAAACTAGATGGTGGAATCAAAAAGAGGTAAGTAGAATCTCTTACAATCTACTTGTTTTCAAATATATATGTATGTTTCTAAGTGAAAAAATATTTTATTTCATTATTTTTGATGTATGAAAATAGGATCAAGCATACGATTATTTGGCGTTTCTTTATATAAATGATGGATTATGCTTATAAATAAAATGAAAAAATGATTTATGTTTAAAGAATTATTTAATGATAGCTACGTTTTTACATATCTAAGAAGTGAGATCATTGATACTAAAACTAGTTCTATGGCCCTAGCTAATAGGTAGTAGTAGTTAGCATAGACATGATTATATGACCTTGTAAACAGATTATAGTAGTTAATGTAAGATCTTGGCTAGCGGGTTATAATAATTAACAATGATCAAAAGAATGAAATTGTCGATACGGTCAATGTCACAGGTTATAGCAGTAACTATAACTAACAATAAATGAATGATAATGATGATTTGTGATGAATAATTTTTTTTTTTACAAATTGATCCATGATTTGATGACATGTTTGATATTGATTTATGATATATGAATGTTTGACAGAATGCTGATTTTTGAATTATTTTTGATATTATAAGTTGATGAATATTTTTAGAATGATCTATATCATACATATGAAAACAATGTTTGATTCGATAAGGTGTGTGGGTTTATACTTATTAAGATATGGTTTGCTCATTTCCCATGTTTTTTTCTTTTATAGATGATATAAACGATAAGTATAATTAGTCTTATAAGGAGCTAGAAGAATCTGAGCACGAAAAAATTACTTAGAGAAGAGGTTTTTATGAAATATTATTTTTTTTAATTGTAATACTCAACATTGAACTTTTAAAAACTTATTATCTAGGTATTTTACTTAATGATAATCTTATTTTATTTGAGAAATTTTTAATGGTTATGGATTAAGCTTCATATTACTTTGAGATTTTATTTCAAGGTAATATTTTGGGGCGTGACACTTCCATTGGACCACAAACCTGTTTGGAACGTGTAGTGAAGACTAAATGGGAGTTATGCTGTTGGTCTGGAATAGGAACTCTAATTTTTGTTAGATCAACTCGGTCCCATAAATCATCCAATGGCAAAACAAGATTTCATAGTACTTAAGATTCTGTATGTGTCTACAGCCTTTTGCTCAATATTCTGCACTTGTTTTACCCTTCCATTCTAACATACTCCCACCAAAAGAGAAAATTTATGGAGAAGTGACGATCAAACTTTGTTAAAGGATCAATTGCTGATTGAAGCATGATACACAAAATAACACAACTAAAAAGTTTGTGCACGATGAGTACTTAAACAACGTGTGTGGGTGGGTTGAGGGGGGAGGGGGTGGGTAAGTAACTTTTTTGTTAGGACAATTGAAAGTACATTCATCCGAGAAGAAACAGGAAAACAAAAGTAAATCTGTTTTAAAGACAAATAATCCCAAGTTCTACACCAGAAACCAACACTGTCACAAGCAATCTGAAACGAGTAATTAAAATCCATACCACAATGATCACCAATGACCTTATTTTTTAGTTCAGCAGCACACAAACGAGCTTTAAAGTCTCTCTCAATCTACTAAATAAAAAGGAGCAGCAGGTGATTTTGCTTTCTGAGGGTTCTTTCTCTTCTCTTCAGAAATAGTACAAGTAGCCAGATCAAGTATGCCTGAGGATAGCAGCACCCAAAACTGTCTTGGTTCACATCTCATTTATCGATTTACTTTGCAATTCTCTCGGTTTTAATTGTTATTACAATTTAATTTTAATTCTAATTCAAAATTCAAGTATAATTATCAAATTTATCTTGAAATTTGAATAATTTAGGATAGTTTAAATTTAAGTATTTTCAAATTTTAAATTAAAATTTTGATATTTTTTTTGAATTTTTTGAATTGTTTGATTTTATATATTATCTTACGTGTCAAAAATATAAGTTATTTATATAAATATCTACATAATAAATTTTATCAAATATTTATTTATTTTGTAATATAATATTATATATGATTTCTATTTTCCAAGTAATGTTTTGGATGCATATACCGACATTATAGGTTTTCTTATTATCATTCTTGGGGAATATGTAGTGAAAATGATCCCCATATTGTTCTGTATTATTTGTGTTGATTAAGAAAGCATAAAAGAACAGAAACTACAGCGAAAATTATTAGTGAGGTTAAGTGCCCTTTTGATGTAGTAAATATATCAAGAAAGAGAAGCCTTGGAACATTCAGCTTGTTGTAGAACCTAGGCTTCTTATTCAATTGTTCTAAGATTTTTATGCAGTTTATTGGTTGGATATGATCAGTTCATTGTACAAAATGTCACCCAAAATTTGTCTTTGAAGCACCTTGTGAGTTCAACTTTCATTTATCTAACATCTTTTTAATGACAGCAAGTTCTGAGCTAGCACTAATCACAGACAGGAGTTTGGAGTGAATAACTGCCTATAGGAAATGCTTGTGTCTTCTACCAATCACTCAGGATGTATAGCATGCTCTATCAAACCCAGACCTGAAAATTCTGAGACACATTTCTTTAAAACCTCAATTGCATGAATCCATTCGTTTGATGTCTTCTTGCAGGCGATGGCCCGACCAATGGTGATAAGGGCTAGTGGCAAACCGGCACGCTCTTTGGCCACAATTTTTGCGAGCTTAGGAACATCTGGATGCAGGTTGAGAGTATCATTTCCAACCTTCTTCTGAAACAAATGCCAAGCAAAAGGTTGTGGCAAGCAATCTATTTTGAACTTTTTATGGGCTTCCATTATTAAACCATTAACCTGTTTGGAACGTGTAGTGAGACTTGAGTTATGCTGTTGGTCTGGTATAAGAACTCTAATTTTTGTTAGATCAACTCGGTCCCATAAATCATCCAATGGCAAAACAAATTTTCATAGTACTCAAGATACTGTATGTGTATATAGCTTCTTGCTCAATATTCTGCACTTCTTTCACCCTTCCATTCTTACATACTCCCACCCAAAGGAGAAAATTTATAGAGAAGTGACGGTCAAACTTTGTTAAAGGATCAGCTGCTGATTGAAGCATGATACACGCAATAACACAACTAAAGTTTATTTAAGATGAATACTTAAACAATGTGTGTGGGTGGGTTGAGGGGAGAGGGGGTGTGTAAGTAACCTTTTTTTTTAGGACAATTGAAATTACATTCATCCAAGAAGAAACAGGAAAACAAAAGTGAATATGTTTTAAAAGACAAATAACCCCAAGGTCTATAACAGACAAGCAACACTGTAACAAGCAATCCCATTAAGGAACGAGTAATTATAATCTATACCACAATGATCACCAATGACCTTATTTTCTGGTACAGCTGCTACATTTGATGGGGCACACAGATGAGCTTTAAAGTCTTTCTCAATCTGCTGAAAAGGAGCAGCAGGTGATTTTGCTTTCTGAAGTTCTCTTCTCTTCAGACAGGGTACACACAAGTAGCCAGATTAAGTCTGCCTAAGTATAGCAGCACCCAAAACTATCTTGCTGCACATCTACAATATTTTTCAAGAATAAAGGAAAAATCAGATCTTCTCAGAAATTACTCTCTGCAATAAACATAGTATTTTTAGCAGGCTTCATTATAAACTGACTGATGATAACTAAATTTCTTCAAAAACAATGAAGCATTAGACAGATATTCCCCACAACAGTTCTGCATAGTATTTTCAACCAAAACAATATGCAATGCATCGTGTTACCTCCTTTTGGTTAGTGCTTGTGCTTCAAAAACAATTTGCAACACATGTTAGTTAAACATATATGAAAAAAAATTAGATATTCAGATTGAACTTCTAATAGACAATATAAAAGCATCAAGCAGTCTCAAAGTACAACAAAGTTGAACCAACTATGAAAGCTCCTATTTCTTACCAAATGACCAAGATTCACCAAAAAATAGCATTTAACCAAAGAACACGATACAACCTAGAAAAGCGACAAAAGCAACCTGACACAACAAGTTCAAGACAACAGTAACGGAGATGGAGAGAGGTAAATGTAAGATTACTTGCAATTTCATGCGCTTCTTTAAATTGCAATGAAACAAGGAAGAAAAGCATTTCTAGTAGATTCATCCTCCCATTCCAGCTTTTCCCACCACCTTTTCTCTCCATAAATGCTGATTTTGTTTCCATTTGCACTGTTAGAGTTGAGTGGAAGTCTCCTCAGCTTTGGGCAATTTAGAACACGAATTTCCTTGATACATGAGAAGGGTAGTGCATTCCTGTAAATTCTCTGCAGTTCTGGGAGATACCGTAAAGTAAGAGATTTGAGTGTTACAAATGGGGTTAAAGTTCCTACGAGCTCTGCCACCTGTCTCAGTGTTATCTTATTGATTATTTCTTCCATTTTATCACATTCGCTTACAAGAACATCCCTCAGATTTGGAGCGAGAATAAGCCATGTTAGGTCCCTCAATTTTGAGCATTGGGATATGAATACCTTGTGGAGGCTTTGGAAGCAATGTGGGGTTGCAATTAGAGAGGTTTGAATGTGGCTCTGTGCTTTTATCATTCTGCCTTCCCCTGCCCACTCCATCTTCACTTCTACCAAACTTTCACACTCCGTAACTGCTAGAGTATGTAGAGACTTGATATTCGCTAAAGATAAAATATTCAATTGGTTTGAGTCCTTCAAAATCTCAAGCCCAATTTCTTCAGTGTAGTTGTGTAATCTTTCTGCATTCAAATATCTATCAAGAGCAAAAGCACTTCTTACAGACAAGGACAATGCATTCAAGTGATTCAAGCACTGCAGTTCTTCTAACAAGTGTTCATTATTTGTTTTTACTGCCTCATCGAAAAGATAAGAGTCACGCGTTCTCAATATTCGCAGCTTTGAGAAACCAGACATCAACCCTCTTGGGATTGTGATGTGACAGTAAATGTAACTCAAGTTCAAACACTTCAGCTTTCGTAAAGCCTTCAATTGAATTGGTAGCTTTCTTATGTTTGTATATGATAGGTCGAGAAATTCTAGAGATACCAATTTTGCAATCCCCACCGGCAATGCTTTTATACGATTACTTCCACTAAAGCTTAGAACTTTTAGGCCACGCATAAATTGGAAGAAATCATTGTGAATCACCTTCAACTGTTGATTATCGTTGAGAAACAAAGTTTGAAGATTGGGACAGTTAGGTGCTTCTATTAGATTTTCAATCTCGTTTTTCATCAATGACATTCTTCGTATATCTTTCCATCTTCCCCCCTCTGGCATTCGAGTCAAATGATAACCTGCTTGCACCAAAAACTTCCATTTCTCTGCTTCACACGTACATGCTATCCACAAACTCATGTCACGAATCACATCATGCATTTTTATATACAAATCACCTACTCCTTCTTCCAGTAAACATGCATGAATGAGAGAACCAATGATGTGGTGACCTTGGTTTCGAGCCTCACTTATGGTGTCATGTTCATCCAAAAATCCTTCTCCTATCCAGAAATCTATCAGCCATTCTTTATCAATTTCATAATCTTCTGGGAACAAGCTACAATATAGGAGGCAAGATCGAACCATGTCATTTGGCAAACTATCATAACTGAATTTTAGAAGAGGATATACCTCATCACCCATGTTTGGAAAAACGAAATTGGCTGATTTCTTCAAGACTTCAATCGTGTATTTCCATTCTTCGGGTGTGTTCTTGCAAGCCATGGCACGACCGATGGTGATGAGTGCAAGAGGTAGTCCTCCACATTCGTTGGCCACTTCTTGAGCTAGCCCACGAATATTTGGATGACTATCAAACACATCTTTACCAACATGTTCCTCAAACAATTTCCAGGCCTCTTCTTCGGGCAAACATTGCACCTGAATCTTCATATGAGCTCTCATTTGGCCACACACCTCAGTAGAACGAGTTGTAAAAATTAGTTTGGAACCATTTTCTTGAGTCGGGACAGGTATCCCTACCTTGGATAGATCAACTCTTTCCCATATATCATCTAACAACAATACAAATTTCTTTTCTCTAATAATCCTGAAGATGTCTATAGCTTTCTCTTCAGGAGCTTTAGCACCCCAAATTCCACTAAAAAGGCCAATCCCCTTTGCGATATCATCTTGGACCTTTCCAATATAAAATCCTTTAGACACCACAACCCAAATAACCATATCAAATCCACCGGATGAATCACCAATCTTGTTATTGATTTCAGTCAAGAGCCTAGTCTTGCCAACTCCCCCAACGCCATATAAGCCAATAATTCCCACATGCTTTTGTTCAAAGGCACTCCAGACCTTATTGAACATGGATTCCAAGCCTACAGCAGAGTCGCTCGGTCTTTCAACCACCGGAGCTGCAGGTGCCTCCATAGCTACCACTTCAAAAGCTCCGTTTTCTTTTAGATCCTTAACATCACGTAGTCTTTTGGTCACTATTTTGCTGAAATTGAGGGTAGACTTGCAATTCTTGGAACAAGAGCCTCCCAAGCATAAATTCTTGATTTCTTCAGAACCATCAATAAGCAGTGCATCAACTTCATTAATCATAGTTTCTGCCCTTGAAAGCCATCCTCGAACTTCATTCAGCGATCGCAAATTTTGTTGTACAGCGATGTTGACTTTCCAAACCACATCATTCCTTCGCTCCTTTAATTCGTCCAGAGCTGTGTTTAAGTCAGCAAGGTTTTCTTGAAGACGACACGCGTAGATTACTTGTCCAGCAACACAATCCCAGCAGCGGGAAATTGTGGTATCACACGACAATGAAATCGAGAAAACGTTCCCCATAGTTTTGCACTAGATTATAATTCCAAGGAAAAATTTAATAACTAGAGAAGAAGACGAGTGTTTCTCAACAAGCAAGAGGGAGAAAGAACAATGAGAAGCTTGAATCAAAGGCTGTTGCATTAAATCACAGCGGCTTTTATTTTTACTTGTCTTAGACAACAACAGGAGTAAGTGGCACCATAGCTGGCAAGCACAAAAGCAGATAGGTCTAGAACAACGTGCGTAACTGAGTAATTAAATATTAATTCCTTAGTTAGTGGAATGGGTTATTTTATGGGCAACTGAGTAATTAAATATCAATTTCTTAATTAGTGGAACGGGAAATTTTATGGGTAACCGAGTAATTAAATTTTAATTTCTTATTTACTGGAATGGGAGATTTTAATCTAACTTTTGATCAAATTTATTAAATTTTCCATTTCATTCAAAGTGGAACTGTGGAAGGCAAAGTGAGAAGACTTCCACTGGTCTTCCTATGATGGTAATTTGTGGTAAATATTCACTTTTCAATGAATTTTATATTTAAAATATTTTTTATTTTTACTCTTGATCTGAATTTGAAATATTTAAAATACTTTATTCAAAATACATATTAGGATTTTCACTTTCTAATAATTGATACTAGAATTGGTAGAAAAAAATGGTGTTTTGAAAACGGAAAAATATATTTTGGAAGCGAATAATCGATAAAAAGTGGGTATTTTGTTTTTTTTTTTAAATAATGAAAAGACATATATATCATTGATTTTATATTTTAAAATAATTTTATCTTTTGTTATAATTACCAATAATTGATTGAGTTGGTATTAATTTACTCATAACCTCAAATTTAATCATAAGTTTATAATAATATAGATATTTATTTTCGTTCGTTGTAAGTAACTCAAAGCTTCAAGTTTTACCACACAAACTTTCAATTGTTTCAAACTTATAATTGCAAGTTTTGAATAACAAAAACCTGAGTTTTAATATTTGAAACCTGATTTGAAAAAATTCACAAAGAAGATTATTATTGTTTTAGAACTAAATATTAAAATTAAACTCTTATTATTATTTCAATTTCGTATTTCTATTATGTTTCTCTTTTTCATTTCTAATTTTAAAATATTGGGAAAAATAATTAGCATAAAACTTTTAATATTTAAACATAAATAAGTATAAGTAAGAAAAAATTGTTATCACTAAAAGATTAAAATTTTTTATGAAATTATATTAAATTTTTTATAATTTAATTATAACGTCGCAACAATAAAAATTTTGATTGCACGTAATTGAAAGTTGTGGCAATCAATCAAAATTCAATGTCATAGTTTAAAAAATTATGGTTTTTTGCTTAAAATTCTCTTGAAGTTCTTTTGGTTAGACTGTTAGATTAATTTTGATGAAATTAAAAATAGTGATAGAGATAAAATTAATATTGTAATAATGATATTAAAATTTATGATAAAATATATATTTAAATATAAAAATAACGATAGTGATGAGATAAATTGTAATAAGAAAAAATAATCATTAAAGATATTAAATATATTAACTAAAAATTATATAAAAAATTTAAATTATATAATATTTTAAAATTAATAAATAGTTATTAAATTATTTTAAAATCAAATAATAGTTTTATTAATAAATAAATTTAAATGATTTTTAATTAATTTATTATATAATAATAAAATTTATTTTTATATTAAAGTAACAAAATTACTTTATAATTTTTAAATAAAAGACTTAAAATCTAAGAAAAAGGTAAAAAAACCAGAATAAAAAATATTAAAGAAAAAGTTAAAAACTGTTAATTTAAAAAAAGAAAAAAATTACGTTTGAAGTAATTAAAACCTTTTACTCCAGTAAATAACTGACGGAAATTTTAACACATTACAACGATATTTTAATATTAAAACCAGTGTTGATATAATTTTTTATAATACTTGCACTGTCTTTAAAGATCCGATGTATTTCAAATGAGGCCATGCACAATAAAAAACCTTTGCATGTAAAAAATTTAAAAAAGGGGAAAAAGACTTGTAGAAAAGTAGAATATTTTTATTTTCAATACCCCTTTTATCAAATTCCACAAATGATGGGCGCTTGCAGAGAAATTGCTCGGAATCTTCAAATCAGTCAATAAAAGCAGTAGGACCCTATACTCATAGCCGTTGGATGGTTATCACTTGTCCTTTTCGCCTTTAATATTTTACATATAGTTTTGGAAGCATATGCCGACATGATCTTTTTTCTTTTTTTTTTTAATCTCAAATTTTGTTTTTATAATTTCGTTTTTATTTTTTAATCTAAAATGCCAACTCAACCGAAAAATTAAATAGTATGTCTCCATTTCTTTTGAAAGTTTTGTTAATACTACTAATTATTTTTAAGGGATTTTAAATTTTATTGTAACTAAAAATTATTATTAATTAGATAGAGATTTAAACTAATAATTTTTAAAATATTGGTTATAATTAATTTATAATTATCACTTTATGAAATATGGTTGAGATTTAATTTTTTTGTAAGAGTAATTTAATTTTAAAAGTTTATGAATGAAATGAAAAAAAAAATTATGTTTAAATGTCGATTTTATAATAGTTACGAAATTATATCCTGTGAAGTGGAATCAGAATTAAAATTATTGAACAGACAGGAGTTTGGAGTGAATAGCTGCTTAGAGGAAATGCTTATGTCTTCTACCAATCACTCAGGATGTCTAGCATGCTCTATCAAACCCAGACCTGAAAATTCTGAGGCACATTTCTTTAGAACCTCAATTGCAAGAATCTATTCTTTTGGGTTCTTCTTGCAGGCGATGGCACAACCAATGGTGATAAGTGCTTGTGGCAAAACGGCACACTCTTGGGCCACAATTACTGCGAGCTTAGGAATATCTGGCTGCAGGTTGAGAGTATCATTTCCAACCTTCTTCTGAAACAAATGCCAAGCAAAAGGTGGTGGCAAGCATTTTACTTTGAACTTTTAATGGGCTTCCATTAGACCACAAACCTGTTTGAAACGTGTAGTGAAGTTGGAGTTATGCTGTCGGTCTGGTGTAGGAACTCTAATTTTTGTTAGATCAACTCGGTCCCATAAATCATCCAATGGCAGAACAAATTTTCATAGTACTCAACATTCTGCATGTTTTTATAGCTTTTCGCTTAATAATCTGCGCTTCTCTCACCCTTCCATTCTGACAAACTCCCACCCAAAAGACAATATTTATGGAGAAATGACGGTCAAACTTTGTTAAAGGATCAGTTGCTGATTGAAGAAGAAACAGGAAAATAAAAGTATATATGTTTTAAAAGACAAATAATACCAAGGTCTATAACAGAAAAGCAACACTGTAACAAGCAATCCCATTAAGGAACGAGTAATTATAATCTATATCACAATGATCACCAATGACCTTATTTTCTAGTTCAGTAGCAAACAAACGAGCTTTAAAGTCTTTCTCAATCTACTAAAAACGAGTAGCAGGAGATTTTGCTTTCTGCCTCTTCTCTTTAGAAATGGTTTTAGGATAGCAGTACCCAAAACCGTCTTGCTGCACAGCTACAATATTTTTGAAGAATAAAGGAAAAATCAGATCTCAAAAAATACTCTCTACGAGCAACATAATATTTTTTTGCAAGCTTCATGATGAATTGACTGATAATAACTAAATTTCTTCAAAAACAATGAAGCATTGGACATAGATATTCTCCACAACAGTTCTGCATAGTATTTTCAACCAAAACATTAAGCAATGCATCTTCATTATCTCCTTTTGATTGGTGCTTTTGTTTTCAAAATAAATTGCAAGACATATTAGACAAATATAATTAAAGTAAATTAGATATTCAGATTGAACTTCTAATAGATAATATAAAAGTTTTTTCATTTGGACATTTCTAACAAAATAGCAAGTATGCAAATTTCCATAAAATTTAGTCATTGGTCAAGACTCCATTTAGTAGCAAAATTTTATTAAATTTATATGAAGAAAAAAATATAATTGTTTCTCTTTTTTGGTTTTCTTTATTATCACAAATTAAAATAATTAAAAAATTTACCTAATCTAAAAATTAAAATTTAAATAACCAAATAAATAAAACTAAAATTTTAAAAATAGTACGATCAAAATTTGGGTGAAAACCTAATTTAGGCGCCCAAAACAAGTCTATATGGGCTAGTTTGCCACTCAAATTGGGCCGCAAGTCAGAATTAGGCTGTAGGTCTCAGCTTCTTCCTTTGGCTACCGAAACGACAACGTTTCAATATCCAGTAAAATCCCAAATATCGACAGGCTGATCTCGGTTCTTCACTTCAGTTTCTCTCTCTAATCCAAAATTCCTATCCCTTCTCTCTAACCTTTTTATAAAACTTAACAGTAAACGCATCGGAAACTTCAACCGAAACTAGGTTCTGAAGAAGCTCTATAGCTGCCACCGTCGTCCATCATCGGTGCTGAAAACCAAAAAAAAAAAAAATTCCTATTTCGATTTTCCTCAATCTCATCTCTTGTTTTGTACCTGCTTCGATTTCCCTGAAAGGCCCTAGACTTTTCTAGATCTAATCTCAAAAGAGGGGTTTTTCTGGCCCTCCAAACGCCACCGACCGCTTACCAAATCCTAAAATAGAGACAATAGCTACATATGACACAACAAGTTCAAGACAACAGTAACAGAGATGGAGAAAGGTAAATGAAAGATTACTTGCAATTTCAGGCCTTTCTTCAAATTGCAATGAAACAAGGAAGAAAAGCATTTCTAGTAGATTCATCCTCCCATTGCAGCTCTTTCGACCACTTTTCCTCTCCTTTAATGCTGATTTTGTTTCCTTTTGCACTGTTAGAGTTGAGTGGAAGTCTCCTCAGCTTTGGGCAATTTTGAACACTAATTTCCTTGATACATGAGAAGGGTAGTGCATTCCAGTAAATGCCCTTCAATTCTGGGAGAAACTCTAATTTAAGATATTTGAGTGTTTCAAATGGGGTTAAAGTTCCTACAAGATCTGCCACCTGACTCAGCTTTATCTCATTGATTATTTCTTCCATTTCATCGCATTGGATTACATGAACAACACTCAGATTTAGAGCGAGAATGAGCCATGTTATGTCCCTCAATTTTGAGCATCCGGATATGATCACCCCGTGGAGGCTTTGGAAGCAATGTTGGGTTGCACTTACAGAGGTTTGAATGTGGCTCTGTGCTTTTATCATTCTTCCTTCCTCCGCCCACTCCATCTTCACTTCTTCCAAACTTTTACACTCCATAACTTCTAGAGTACGTAGAGACTTGATATTCGCTAAAGATAAAATTTTCAATTGCTTTATGTCCTTCAAAATCTCAAGCCCAATAGCTTCAGTGTAGTTGTGTAATCTTTCTGCATTCAAATATCTATCAAGAACAAAAGCACTTCTTACAGACAAGGACAATGCGTTCAAGTGATTCAAGCACTGCAATTCTTCTAACAAGCATTCATTACCTTCTTCTACTGCCTCATCGAAAGGATAAGAGTGATGCACCCTCAATATTCGCAGATTTGAGAAACCAGATATCAACCCTCTAGGTATTGTGATGGGACTGAATATGCAACTCAAGTTCAAACACTTCAACTTTTGTAAAGCCTTCAATTCAATGGGTAGCTCTCTTATACTTGTCCATGATAGGTCGAGATATTCTAGAGATACCAATTTTGCAATCGCCACTGGCAATTCAGTTAGACCATTACTTCCACAAAAGCTTAGAACTTTTAGGCCACGCATAAATTGGAAGAAATCATCGTGAATCACCCTCAACCGACGATTCTCGTTGAGAAACAAAGTTTGAAGATCGGGACAGTTAGGTGCTTCCGTTTGATCTTCAATCTCGTTTTTCATCAATGACATTCTTCGTATACCTTTCCAACTTCCAGCCTCTGGCATTTGAGTCAAATGATAACCTGCTCGCACAAAAAACTTCCATTTCTCCGCTTCACAACCACATGCTATCCATAAACACATGTCACGAATAACATCATGCATTTTTATTTTCCAATCATTTACTTCTTCCAATAAGCATGCATGAATGAGAGAACAAAGGATGTGGTGGCCTTGGTTTTGAGCTTCACTTATGGTGTCATGTTCATCCAAAAATCCTTCCCATATCCAGATATCTATCAGCCATTCTTTATCAATTTCGTTATCTTCCGAGAACAAACTACAATATAGGAGGCAAGATCGAACCATTTCATTTGGCAAACTATCATAACTGAATTTTAGAAGAGGATATACCTCATCACCCATGTTTGGAAAAACGAAATTGGCTGATTTCTTCAAGACTTCAATTGTGTATTTCCATTCTTCGGGTGTGTTCTTGCAAGCCATGGCACGGCCGATAGTGATGAGTGCAAGAGGTAGTCCTCCACATTCTTCGGCCACTTCTTGAGCTAGCCCACGAATATTTGGATGACTGTCAAAGACATCTTTACCAACATGTTCCTCAAACAATTTCCAAGCCTCTTCTTCGGGCAAACATTGCACTTGAAACTTTTTATGAGCTCTCATTTGGCCACACACCTCAGTGGAACGAGTTGTAAAAATTAGTTTGGAACCATTTTCTTGAGTCGGGACAGGTATCCCTACCTTGGATAGGTCAACTCTTTCCCATATATCATCTAACAACAATACAATTTTCTTTTCTCTCAAAATCTCCGAGATGTCGATAGCTTTCTCATCGGGTGTTTTATCACTCCAAATTCCATTAAAAAGGCCAATCCTCTTTGCAATATCATCTTGGAGCCTTCCAATATAAAATCCTTTAGACACCACAACCCAAATAACCACATCAAAACCACCGGATAAAACACCAATCTTGTTATTGATTTCAGTCAAGAGCCTTGTCTTGCCAACTCCCCCAACGCCATATAAGCCAATAATTCCCACATGCTTTTGTTCAAAGGCACTCCAGACCTTATTGCACATGGATTCCAAGCCTAAGGCAGAGTCGCTCGGTCTTTGAACCACCGGAGGTGCAGGTGCCTCCGTAGCTACCACTTTAAAATCTCCCTTTCCCTTTAGATCCTTAACATCACGTAGTCTTTTGGCAACTTTTTTGCTGAAATTGAGGGTAGGCTTGCAATTCTTGAAACAACAGCCTCCCAAGCATAAATTCTTGATTTCTTCAGGACCATCAATAAGCAGTTGAACTTCATTTACCATAGTTTCTGCCCTTGAAAGCCATCCTCGAACTTCATCCAGCGGCCTCAATTTTTGTTGTCCAGCGATGTTGACTCTCGTCTCCACATCATTCCTTCTCTCCTTTAATTCGTCCAGAGCTGTGTTCAAGTCAGCAAGGTTTTCTTCAAGATGGCATGGGTAGATTACTTGTCCAGCAACACAATCCCAGCAGCGAGAAATTATGGTATCAAACGGCAATTGAAACGAGCAAACGTTCCCCATAGTTTTGCACAAGATTATAATTCCAAGAAAGTGATTAAATTTCCCAACAGGAAAAACAAGAAAAATTTCTAATGACCAGAGAAGAAGATGAGTGTTTAACGACAAGAGGAAGAAAAAACAATAAGCAGCTTGATTCAAAGGCGACAACAGGTGCAAAGAGTACCATTCACCTGAGTAATTAAATATTAATTTCTTAGTTAGTGGAATTTTATCAACTTCCACAAATGATAGGCGCTTCCCAAGAATTTGCTCGGAATCTTCAAATCAGTCAATAAAAGCAGCAGGACCCAAAACTCATAGCCATTGGATGCTTTGCACTTTTCCTCCTGTCCTTTAAAATTTTTATATGTATTTTTGGAAGCATATGCCGATATGACCCCTTTTTATATTTTTTTCCTCGGATGCTTATCACCTTTCCTTTTCTCATTTGATATTTTTATATATATTTTTTGAAGCATATGCCGACATGATCACTTTTTTTTTTTTTATGGTTTTCATCTCAAATTTCGTTTTTTTTTTTTTTTTAAGGACGTAGCAAAAGATCACGCATTGCGGCGGATCAAAAATTTTTTTGTGTGAATTGAAGAGTTTAAGATGGATTTAAAATTTAGAGTCAAAATTTAAAGGGAATTAAAATTCTTTATGATATAAGGTTTTTTGAATTTAAATCCTATAAATACACGCTTATAGCAAGCAACAAAGACACATAAAAAGATATACAATGAGACACAGAGAAATTTAAAAAAAATTGCAAAAGAAGCTAGAAAGTACGAAAATTTAATTGAAAGATTTTTTGTTTAAAAAAGAAGACTTTTTAAAAAATTTTTTTAAGAAATTTTAGTTTTTGATTGAATTTTTCAGCGACATTTGAAGATTTCAGAGGCTTTCCGATGAGATTCTCAATTTTTGTCTTTAGTTTTTCAAAAATTGATGAACTTTTGGTGAACTTCTAGTGACTCAACCCAGATTTTAGCATAAATTCCCAAAATTTGATGTAGTTCAATCGGTGTTCTTGGGGTTCGAAAGAGAAAGAGAGAGAAAAGAAAAGAGGAAAGAAAAAAAAGAGAGAAATTTAAAGGAAAAAAAGGAATTTTACCCTTTTATACGCCTAGTCAAACAACGTTGTTTTGAAGGTTAAACAACTTTAGGATCTATGGAAAGCCAAATACAATCAAAGTCTACATCAGTTCGTTATGAATATGCTCATCAATTGAAAATCAAATTAGAGGAAGATCAAAGAAAATAGGGTAATTACTTGTTTGAAGGTTTTATTTCATTGTTACATGAAAAAGTTTATCTCGATCTCTAACAAAATGACCTAGCTGACCTTAGTAATATTTAGGGATGCATGAGTAGAATAAGACAGAAGGTATTTGAGAATAAATATGGAGACATAGCTTCACTACTTCAAGTGGATGTGGACAATAATTTGATCAGAGCCATCTTTTAGTTTTGGATCCTTTTTGTAGGTGTTTCGTCTTCAATGAAACAAATATAATGCCAATAATTGAAGAATACATGATCCTACTTCGCTTTGATTTGCCAAACCTAGCTGGGACTTAGCTTCCCTCAAGTTGATGCATATGTCAAGACAAAAGGTGAAAGTAAGGCTATCCCATGAGGTTTTTTTTTAGACTTCATCCAAGGATATTTAGATGATGATCAAGGGTTAATGGCAATGGCTATAGCTCTATATAGATTGGTAATCTTTCCAAAAGTTATTGGCTATGTTGATATCGCAGTAGTAGACTTATCGATCAGTTAGAATACAAAGTTCATACAACACTAACCATTTTAGTAGAAACCATTCATTCTTTGAATTTTTGTCCCAAAAATAGTAAAGGTCAGTTTAATAGGTGCTTACAATTACTTCTTTATGTATGGATAAATAGTTATATTAAGTGTGAAAAAGCAAATTTCATAAACCATACCTTCATTTTGGTATTTCAATGAAGGAGTTTTATTGCAGCACATAACCTAAAGCAAAGTCAAAAGAAGAATGGGTTTCATATTTTCGTTTGCTTGATAGCCAAAGGATAATTTGGAGAGCACTTTGGATGCATCATGATACAGTGTTATATAATTATGGGAATTAACCTTAGGTTTTCTTATTGGGCCTATAGGTGCTGTTACTTATGCCTTAACTTTGGTAAGAAGACAATATGGATATGAGTAATTTATTTCAAAAACTTATGGACTTAACCAGTGAAAATTTTTTTCACTAAAAAAAGGGCATATAAAATGATTGAAATGATAAAAAAATGCATGGAAACAAACCATCAGGGTTAACCAGGAGAGGCTTACTTATGATGTCATCCCAGAATATATTATGCAGCATATAAGGAGGGGCCAAGGACATTATGCTTTCTTGAGAACAAATAGTTGACTATCCCTCAAAGTTGATTCTTTGATATTCCTTGCTCAAAGTGAAAATAGCTAAAAGAAAACTCCAAATTGAGAAAAATGAGCTAGAGCAAGAAAATAAGCAATTGAAGGTAGAAATGAGAGAAAGTTTAAAGTTGCAAGAGCAGAAAATCCAAAGCTTCAGTGAGTAAAAAGATCAGTAGAAAGTTTTATTCAATGAGCTAGACAAGATAATTTATTAGTCACATTCGAGCTTACCCGACTCTTAAAAAAAATGAATTATTGAAAGTAAAAGTGGAACAAGGATAAAAGACCATTGCTAAAGCACATAAACATAGCCAAATGCTATAAAGGATAGTGGATTAGTGTATAGCACAGGTAGAAGTTTTAACTAATGAATGCAAGAAACATGCTAAATAGAGTGAGCTATGAAAGGGCATATGCATGAAAAAACAGAAACATCTAAGGCACTTGTTTGATTAACTATGCATTGTTGCAGATAAAACGTTAGAAATGAAAGAAAAAATGGAAAAATTAAAGGGCGTGGTGCAACCAGTAGGAGCTCATGGGCAGCGATTGCTTGACTTCTTGGATAAGGCACAAGATCATTACCAGCAAGTTAAAAAATTTATAAAGAAGCATTAGAGTAATGTTTAGGAAATATTACATTGATGTTTAGGACTTTAGAATATTGTTTTGGCTTTGTTATGATGTAGTTTTTAAATTTTATCAAATAAAGTTTTGAATTGAGATTTCTTTTATCAATGATAGTTATGTAACAAATATTAGTACATTCTATTCATGAATTAAAATACCAAACATAAAATATAGCATTTTTGATAATTTAATTATTGTACTTAAGGTTCAAAGATAGCTCCATCAAGTAAGAACCCTACACAATCAACTTATCAATATAATAAAAGAGCTCAAACCAAACAAATAGAATAAGAAAATTTTAATCATCTTAAGAAAATAAAAAAAGCTTAAGAGAATTTTGAAGGCGAGCTGAGTAAGATTTTGAAGGCTTTGAACAAGTTAAATAAAGGGAAAGGTATAGAGAAAAATACTAGCCAACAGGATCATCCATCACAAGAGGTGACTAACCCTCTATATCTTCCTGATTTTGGTTGGCAATAAGCCTAGTTCACACAAGAGGCACCATCATAGCAATTCATATGCCCTGTAAGGTATACATACCCTGAAATACCATCAACTTCAAATCTAAAGTATTACTAGAGCTACATAAATCTTTTTTTTACTGAGAAAACAGTGAAACCAATCTAGGTCTCTGATTTGAATTATCCAAAAGAAAAAAAATTAAAACCAAAAGGGATCGAGTCACTGAGGGATTCAATATTTGATAAAAAGATACATATGCTCGATGAAAGGTTACGAGAGATAGAAAAAATTAGTTTCTATAGTTCTATAGATGCTGCTGGGCTCTGTTTAGTCTCAGATGTTATTATTCCTTCTAAGTTTAAGGTTTAAAAATTTGATAAATATGATGATACAAAGTGTCTAAAGATTCATATTATCATGTATTATTTAAAAATGGCTACCCATACTAATAATGAGAAGTTGTTGATGTATATATTCTAAGATAGCCTTACTGGCTCTGTTGCTAAATGGTATATTCATCTAGACAAGACTTGCATTTAATCTTGAAGTGATATGGTCTGTGACTTTATCAGTCAGTATTGACATTCATTGATGTAGCTCCTGATTGCCTTTCTTTATAGAATATAAAAAAAAAAGCAACTAAATCATTCAGAGAGTATGCCCAGAGGTGGAGTGACATAGCAACTCAAGTGTAACCTTCTCTAATTGAAAAGAAGACCATAATGTTGTTTGTTAGCATTTTAAAATCTTTTTATTATAAAAAAAAAAGATAGAGAATGCAACAAAAAATTTTATCATTATAGTGATTTTAGACGAAATCATTGAGAATGCCATGAAGAATGGCAAGTTGAGAGGAGGAAAAGCTTTTATCAAAAAGGTACCAAAAAAGAAAGAGACTGAAGCTCAAGCTGTGAGCTTTGACAGACAACAGTTTAGGAGTTATCTATCCTATCCACCATAAGGTTATTCCTCATATTATCCTACTGTAAATAATACCTCACCCTACTTATATCAGCCTATCCTACAGCCATTTGATCCACCAACATATCAACCCACTTTTTGGCCCTAAGTTACCATGCATAGTCTTAACACTCAACCTCCTGCAAGACTTCAAATTTGTCTGCTAGCCCAATAAGTGGTTCACGGGAGTTACAAACTATCTGAGAAAAACTTGTATTTGATTAAATCCCTATGTACCAAGAGCTTTATGATAACCACTTGATTACCCTCAGTCGTTTAAAGCTACTCAAGCTACTTTATTTCAAGTTGTATGATCTTACAGCTTACTATGACTACCACTATGGAAATGCTGATCATTCCACTAAAAATTGTACTACTCTAAAGCCTAAAGTACAATAATTAATCAAGGATGAAATGATAAACTTTGATACATAAAGGATAACAACATTTAATGTTAGTAGCAATCAATTGCCCAATCACAATGTTAATATGCTAAGTGACGATCAAGAACGAGTTTGATTTGAAAAGGCTTAGTGAGCTTTAACGAATCAAAGGGGGTCAGATATCAACAAAAAATCCTTCACCTTATCACATGGGGTATAATTTTGAAAATGACAAGGATGTTAAAGCTAATTGAAAGTTGCTTGTCATTTTGAAATTTCTTTTAGAGTAATGTTAAAATTTTTTTTATGCAATAAGATTTTATTTTTTATCATTTTAATAAAAGGTAAGTTGATGCATTTTATTATATTTGCTCTCTCATTCAAACCATTATTCCATGCTTTGTTATAATTTTTTTTTTATTTTCATTCTTAAATTTTAAATGATGAAT